TTAAACCCTTTTTATTCCCTTATAGTTCATTTTTCAGGGGTTGGTTTGGACAGGTGAAAAATAAGTACACAGAAATCTATACACATTTTAGTTTCACCTCTGAACTCCTCATCAGTTAACCGCTTTCCGTGACTTTGCAGGTACTCCATAAGGCCCTCGAGGGCCTCGGGGTCTCCACGTGACACACAGTCAAAGAGGACAGAGCGGTTGAATGTTTTCATCACCTTTGGTGGTTCTGAGCTTGGACCATCATCAATGGATGTCTCGGTTTTACTGAGGAGACAAAAAAATTACGATGTTATTGTATATCACACATTCAAGATGTTAAATGATTACAACAATATTTGGAATTATCTTTAAATCCATTAATTCTATTATACATTTTGTCGAGAGAAACCACCTTTTAGGTAATCACCCACACCCTTCAGCGCTTCAGTAAATGGAGCTCTGTGTAGTATATGGGACAGGTATGGCAGCCAGAAACAGGCAGCAGCCTAAATATTACCTCAACGGCTGCAGAGGAACCAACAACATGCTCTCTGTTAGATCACTGAATGGGCTGAATGAAGGACTGCACTGTGTGTGTGTGTGTGTGTGTGTGTGTGTGTGTGTGTGTGTGTGTGTGTGTGTGTGTGTGTGTGTGTGTGTGTGTGTGTGTGTGTGTGTTTGTTTTTATGACAACATTTTTCCAAATCAGGCCTTTTGTGCCAGTCTGGGTTTATTACTACCAGTAAGACAATAAGGTAAACCCCTAAAACCAAGAAGTCTAAAGGAACACACAACTATTACATCCTGGAAACACACATAAATTAGTTAAGAGTCAGTGAGGCCCCCTCTCACCCTCTTGGAAGCTTCTTCCTGCGTTTCTTCTGGTTGCTCATGTGGCCGTAGGTACCATAGTCAAAGAGTGAGTCCATGGGTGCTTTCTTGGGGCCTGGAACCACATTTGAGTCATATATGGTGGATTCCAGTAGGTCCATCGGGTTGGAAATGCCCTTTTTGAAAGCGCCCTGGAATTTCATCCGCAGGTTCTGTCTGCTGTCTGCAGGCTGGTCGGGCTGAACCAGCTCCACAGCTGAATCCTGAGTTGACGGGGAGGCATCCACGCTCTCGAACAGGTCTGAGAGCTCAGACAGGGGGAACGCCACCTCGCTCTCAGGCTGAGTGGCCTCGCCATTGCCTGCGTCCACAGAGAGAGCAGCTTTGGCCGGAACAGAAGTGAGTGTGTCGGCCTTGGACAAAGCAAGGTGGCACCTTCTGAAGAGAGCAGAACGGCCCTGAAATAAAAACCATAACAAAATATTCTGAGTGAGCTGCATGGCCTTAAGGTAGATAGGAAAGTCTTGTACAAATGGAAAAAGAAGTCTTAATCTCTTCAAATCCAATCAGTACACATTTCATTACTCAGAAACTGTCATCTTAAAATGTTTGGCTTTGGATCTTCTGTTATCTCTGGCTTTTACTTCTGTTTTGAATAGGTGCATCTCCATTTCTACAACTTGTCTCCTTTCTTTCCTCGCATGCACATGTTCTTGCTTATCAAAGCAGCAGAAAGAGAAATATGATGTCCTTAACGATGGTGGACCTGTTCAGTTTCCAGATCACATGAGGACAGAGGAAGAACAAAACAGAGGAAGGAGGATAGGAGGATATACAAATAACAGATAAGAGATGCAGTCAGTAGTAATCACCAACAGGCCAAATTGGTTACAGAACAGTGTGACCAGCAGCACAGTATTAAAAACTATGAAAACCTTTTTTACTCACAGTTAATGTTGTGATGTTTTTGTTATGATTCTAGATGAGATTTTCAAAAAGGGGTAAATATAAGCCCAAGAAAAATCTTCAGTCAAGATGGTAAACCACCCAGATCCTGACTCATCTCATGATCAGTTTAGTTAGTAGACACCAGCCTTAAAAACAGCCAGAATTTTTAAACATATGGCATTTGCTGTCTAAAGTTGTATGATGCCATTGTTGCTCTTTAAACTTATAGTTAAAGTTTTATTTAATAAAAAATTGATAATTTTTCAGGATCTGAGAAGGTGTGGTCTTTGCTCTTGACAAGGTGGTGCATCTCCGCTACTCAAAGAAATAGCAATGGGGACAGGAGCAACTTGGACAAAAAAATAAAACGATTTAACTGATAAGAAATTGTTTTAAGCCTAGAAAAGAAACCCTGGAAATTTGAAGCAGATTTTGAAGTATACAAGTGACATTTTATCCCTCTGTACCTCATTCATCCCTTTTATCACAATGATGTGCCAAATTCCTCTTCAGCGGAAACTGGAAATGATGCTGAAGCATGTGGGCACCCTGAAGAAACAGAAAGGAGGAACCATCATATGAATTACTGCCACAGAAGTACAGACAAAAGCGACCTGTATGTCCTAAGTCATATAAAAAGAGCTCAGTCATTTGTCGTTCGGATCTGTGGAAAACATAGCAAAGGACTGATGCCAAAACCAACATGAGTGTGTCCACTCATTGGTCAGAGGGACGTGCTTCCTCTACAGGAAGAATCACACCACCTGTCTGTTTAACACAGGACACACGCAAAAACTAAATCAATGCCCTTCCGACATACTCATTACAAGCGGTATACAGTATAGCCCTATATTTCCAATCCTCTCTGCACCTACAAACACACTCTACTGCTGCAGCATGCTATCACAAGGGAATTAGAACAACATGACATCCTCACATGTCCCTCCGCAGGCTTCCTTTTGAGTGATACTCTTTCCTGAGTTTGTTCGTGACATTGACAACTTATCTAGACCAAACTGTGCTGTAAAGGGGCAACACAAACAGGGGATCTGGGGTCCTGCTAAGGGAGAGGAATGACTCATAACCCTGTCTGACACATGGGATTATCATGCCTTCACACTTGAGCAGGCATTTGATAGTAAAAAGACAGAGGAACAAAGGGAGGCTGCCCTTGCTAAACTATTATAACAGACTAAGAACAAAGGATTAAGTTGTTTAGTGGAGAGAGGAGCCACTGTGTATTACAACTGTCAAGGTGATAGAATGGGATCATAAAATATCAAGTAGACCCAAAGCTCTCATATCATCCACTTATTGGGTCGGGAAGTGGTAATCCACTTGTGAGAGTTTCTAAATGTGAGTGACTCTAATGTCCCATCAGAGATGTGGGACTTCCTGTTGTGTCACTGCTGATGTGACATTATCCAGAGCAAGAGAGGCTGGAGGCTGAGGCTCTTAATGGCTCCCAATGGCTGCTGGAGATTACACAACCAGTAGAAAATAAATAAAGATAAACAAAAAACAAAAAAAATCTGATGTTTTAAAATATTAGATTGTAAGGGCTCTAAAGATAATGCTGAGGATCTAACAAAAAGATTTTATATATTCATGAATTAAGTCGGCGTAAATAAAAAGAAGCAAAGAGGCACCTTTTAAAGATGCAAAATGATATTTAAGTAAAAAGGAATAACATTAAACATTAAAAACTAAATTCCTAAACTTGAGTAATTACTTCAAAGTTCGGCTTCTTTCTCATTAATTATTGAACTTATACCAAAGACACACAAAGTTATAAAAAGAAGCCATCCAAAGAAGAATAAGAATCAGAGGTGCTCCTTACCTTGATTTAATCGGTTGCTCTTATTCTCTTTAAAAAAAAAAAAAGAAAAAGGAAAAAAGAACAGACTATTTGAGCGCAGTTTTCTCCTTAGTGTGAAGTAAGTTTCGCCTGGTGAGCGCTCCTCTGCTGCCTCTGCAGGTTTAACGTGACTCCGGCCAGATGCATCCAGCCACAGCTTCCCTCTGCTTCATGGGTCTGCCTCAACGAGCGCTTTCACAGATTTTGGGTGGGACCAGGGTGGGACAAAGTTTCCTGAAAACTGCAGCCAACGCGGAAGTGTAACACGCAGTACCGGTCGTGGCCGCCAGGTGGAGGCTTCAAACGAAATCTACGCCCATCAAGGTGTCCGCTTCTCGGAAAATAGACACCGCTTTGTACAGTTTACTCAACAAGAAGCTATGGTCTCAAAAGGATGTGTCTCTTCTCTTCGTGAAAACTAATTTCAGCATAAGGTCCATTTTGTAGCAGTTCGGGGGCTTTCCATCATATCAGATGGTCTTCCTCAGCAGATGGAGTGTGTTTAGTTGTCACAGAATAGTAGCCCATACATGTTCAGTCATCTTTTTGAGCACTTACAGGAGTTTCTCGTCCACACTGACTTGGAAGCTGTTGCTTTCTATCACAGAGTGGCCTTTACAGGTGGCATTCACTGCTGAATGAGCAGAACTTCCAGGAGTAATGGGCTATTACATAAATACTGACCCATTTCTCAGCTATACAAACTCTCACAGTCAAGTGGAGTGCTGTTATAAATAAACCTGTGCAAGGAGGGTGTGGTGAGAGCAAAGAGAGCACAAATAGTCATTCACAAAAGAAAAGTATCCCTGTTACTTACAAGCAAAAGTCCAGCATTCATAATTTGAAAAAGTAAATGCACTCGGACAGCAGAAGGGCAAGACTGTTAATTATGAACTTATTGTTACTGATGCATTAACATATAAGCAGTATTTTAATGTCATATCTGGTCCTAATGAAGATCATTAATTGTATTACTAACTATTTGGTAGATTACTTTATAACAATGTATCATATTTTATAAATTGAGCATATGGTTTTCAGTGCATTCACAATGTATTCAGCACTATGTATATAAAATGCCAAGTAACAAGTAGATGTCAGAAAGTTTATTGGTGTAGAAGTACAATATTTCCCTCTGAATGCAGTGGAATAGAGATATAAAGTGGCAACTAAAAATATGCTCAGGTAAAGTGCAAATACCAAAGAACTGTCCTTAAGTATAGAATTGGAGTAAATGTACTTATTCACCCTCCACCACTGCTGATTGCCTATTCTGAAATGTGTTGGAAAACTATAGAGACAATACAACTTCAAGAAAGAAATCGGAGAAGGAAAAAAACATGAACACCATATTAATTGTTGCACATATTTTTTTTATTGCAAATAATGGTTTACATGAGTTGAAAATACAATATTTGTTATTTCCACTGTTCACACTGCAACATAATTTCAGCCACAAGAGACATCAGACAAACATATCAGAGCATGCACTCAGAAGAACATAGACTAACCAGAGGTCATCAACAAAAACTTTACCTTCCCTCGAAAATTTGGTTAAAAGAAAATATACATTTAGTTTTATGTAAGAACCTGAGAGCAGAGTGGACTGAAAAAAACACTTGATAAAGCATTGCTTTGGAAAAATAGAAATATATGCAAGTCCTGTATAACAAAGAGGTATAATAGAGGCAGACCAGACCCTCAGTGATAATTAACATTTGTTATTAATTGGTGTCCCTGGTTTACACAAGGTGACATGTATAAAAATATATATGATTAAAGGTAGAAGAGCTGACATAGTCACTTCAATGATCTGTACCTCCAGCTTAAGGCACCAACAGGTGTGCAATGTTAAAAGCCATTTACAACACTGGACGTACACCTTCAAAGTATTGTGTGGGGTCCAACATGTGGGATATCAAACACTTTGTACAACTTGTACTGAAGGTAATAAATAACTTTATAATAATGTAATACTTAGATTTGATACTTTCTAGATGTTAAATTGTTCATTAAATAGTAAAAACTCGAATCAAATCCCTAAAGGTAATGGGCATCTTAAAAATATAGCATTTGTTGCATAAGATGAAACATATGGCATCTTCTCTCAAATAAGTGGAATGTGTTTTGGATTTCAAAATAGAAAATAATAATGTCAAAATAAAAGCCATAGGCCTGTATTTCAGTGAGGTAATTTAATTTGTTCTATTATTGCTACTGCTGCTTAAAGGCACCATGGCTATTTCCTCATATAGGAGAAATCAAATGCATTAGGAAAATGAACAGTTTAAATTCTTATGTAATTTTCTGATTGTTGGTATAATTTCAAATAAAAACAGCATCTTTCTTCCTGCTGATAAAGATGAAAACAATGTTTTCTTCAATATATCTAGTGTTAAAAACAAAACAATACCACTATAAGATGCCAATTACTGTAACAAAGATTATAGTTTTGCATTATGTTGTGTAGCTCATTAAATCAATAAGTTAGCTTAAGGCTTTTGTAACAGTCCTGTTGCTGGTTTAAAAACATTTGTTGAGTTAAGTAGCACTTTGATTCTTGGTATAACTTATATAACTCATATTTGTGAGCATACCCATGATCATTCACATAAATATCTGGCAATTATTTTAATTTAACATGGTTGTCCTATAAAGAGACCTGACTCTTCAAATGGAGAACAAAGAAAATACAGTGTTTAAATCTGCAGATGCAAAAAAAACAGAATCAAAAACAGTGACTAAAAGGCATACAGAGAAAAGCCAGAGCAGGGAAACAGATGAGTAAAAGTGCACAAATATTTGATGAGTATAATAAATACACTCTCAGAGTGAGCTGTCAGAAGACCTGAAGGGAGCCAAGTCGAGATGTGGACTGCACAAGTGTAGATTGCATAATGCGGATGACTTTGTAAACTGAGTAGATCACAGGAGGAAAGAGGAGCGTCCGGCAGTCACACTGTGTAGTCAAGGTCAGCATTCATCTTATTGTACAGCTCATAAATGGCATCAACCGTGGCAGAGAAGTTGATGAGGAATTTCCTGATTTTCTCCAAGCACTCCTCTTCCTTGATGTCCCGACCCTTGGAGAGGGCCTTCAGGAAATCGGACTTATATGGAGCAGCGAAAAGAGTTGCCTAAAAGCAAACAACGATGCAACATTTGCATTTTTCAACAAATTACTCAGACCAAGCCATGTCTGCTCTCTAAGATACGAATCTCTTATAAAACAAACACTAGGCGACTCACCTTGAAAAGCTGCTGCACCAACCAGCCATGGTACTTCTTCAGGGCTATTTCATAGGCTTTGGTGACATTGACTCGAATGAGGTTTGGATTGTTGTCATCCTTCTCACCGTCCACCAGGCTCTGAAGAAAGACCTGAATAAACCGAAGACCCCTGTTGAAAAAGAAGGCATGCGTAGTGATTATGGATACAGAACTTGCCAACAATGAAAAAAACACACAAATGTAAAGTTTCTCAAACCTTTTCAGCCACATGAGAGCCAACGTCGCTCCAACTTTGGGCCATTCTGCTCCGTGCATTTCCTTCTCTGCCTCCAGAATCTGCTGGAGTGTCTTGAACCGTCCTGGGTTTGTATCATAAACTGCCTTGATTTTCTAGTAGTTAAAACAATGTATTTTAAAGTATTTGAAAATTAATGAGCAATACAAGAGTAGAGAGACACATTTAACTCAAGTCACATTAACAGTACTTACTGTGATGTTCCCAAATATGTCAGCTTTAACTGGTGCAAAAATAGTAGAGCCAAGGCAGTCTGAGGAGAAACATTAACACAGGATGTGATTGAGAGTTTAAAGAGCAAGTGAGAGTGAAAACCGATATATAATACACATAAAGAAAAAATAATATTGTTTTGAGAATATCAGCATTCTTTGGAGCTTTTAACAATTACCAACCTAAATCAACTAACTCAGAAGCTAATGAAGTAACTTGAGTGCAGGTTTGATGGCTTATTGTTGGATATTGTCAGAAAAGTTTAGATTTGTTATCACTTTGCAACCTCAGTTTGCAAAAAAACAAACAAACAAATATTTAAACTTGTCAGTGACTCTGGCATATTTTAATGCACTACTGAAAGGCATTGCATTTTCAGTAGTTAGCTTTCCTTCTTGACTCTTTGGTGGATCTGTCTTTAAAAACTCATGCTGAACACATTCTAGTTAAAACTGTAGTGCTTCAGCGTATCCAAAATACATTAAACGGGCAAACTGTGCAGTTACAAAGTTGGTGTCATTTAATTGGGTTTAATATATTTATGATATAGTGTGGCTGAAGTGCAGCACTAGACCAACCAGATATGAAATCTATATGTAATGCTGTCAAACATTGTCTGAAGAAATGTTTAAAAAAAAAAAAAAAAAACTTTAAATTGCACATTGAAAAGATTTGGCTTGAGTAGTTCTTGCAGCCGACAAGAACAATGGACGGTAAAGCCAGAGTACCTTACCAAACGCCTCACCACAGTATTATCATTAGGTGTCTTTTAATTAGGCTGCTAGAGGACTTGAGTATTTGGTGACAGGACTGTGAACAATGAGACATCTTGTGTCCCGACCACACACGGCTCCTGGTTGACCCACTGACACAACAGACAGCTTTCAGCCCCTGAGCTGTTAGTGGAAACTACTCATGACAAAGTCTGTTGTGCTGATGTGATGCATCGCCATAACACCGATGGCAACATATCTTTATTCGGAGACATCCTCATCTTCTATGGTTCTGTCTATATTTTCCACGCTATTCACAGGTTAAAGATTTGTGTTATGCATACATTGCTTCTGGAGGCTGCACGCAATTAAACAGACTATAGCTAAAATGTATTCTAACAAGAATAAGCCGATGAATAATGATGTATTAAAAAACAGCATCATTTGTTCAGCTCTTGGCTCGTGAACAGTCCTGCACACCCACACAGTTGTTAATTATTCTGGGTAATTAGACCTGTTCTCAGGGTGAAGTTGGACAGAGGTGGGAGGGTGGGAGTTTGCCGAAGTTGCTGAACAACATAGACTTAATGATACTAAATAATCATAAAAATATCAGTTGTGCTGCAACAGAACTAACAGAGGAGTGATGGAGTTGTCAGTCAAGCCAAGAAGAAGAGATCATTTAAAATACCTGTGCATATGTACTATGAGTGTGCAGGACTTTAATGGCTTGTAGGAAAGTTGGCCAAGAAATTTCTAGGTCAGGAAAAACAATGGCGACAAGGAGGAAAGAGCTTAATGTCGACATCAGACTTGGTTCCTCTCAAGGGTTTCACATGGCAAATTCAATAGAGGACCTTTGGCATATTAATACAGAATGAAGTCACACAAAGATGCCCTGGTGCACCATGCCACCAGTGAATGGGCAAGGGGAACTCAACACCATACTAATCAATTTTCACAACTTAAAATCCAGGCCAGTGATTAAATTATGCATGCTAAAGGATTGTGGACAGCTTGATGGAGAGTAATACGATCCAAAAAAAGATTATCATTTGGAAAGAGCAAGATCGTTTCATTGGGCTTGACAGAAGTGTTGTGACAGATTTCCCTCACAACAAGTATTGTGCTTAGTAGTCAAAGTTGAACAAATCCCACATGAAAAATTTACAATGTTAGAAAAATCATCCATTGCAGTGGGCTATTTTCAAATAAAATCTTTTTTGTGCCAATTCAGCCAATTTAACAGTCAGCTGCACTTGAAAGATACATTTCTATAAATCTATATGCTTCAAACTAATTATCACTTTGTCAGTGTCATCAATCTGGCCTATACTGTCACTATAAGTCTCTGACAACTCATTATAACAAGCTGAATAGAAATACATTTGTAGGTAGAGGAGCACCATTTCTCTGCAGGCAGTGACATCTGAGAATACGTTTTTCACATTTATTTCCACAATAACTTCATGTCTAGGAATATCACTAGATGGTGTCTGCTGTGTCACACTGTGGAAACTTCACTTACCAAAGAACGGTGGAAGGTATGACACAGCCTCCAGAAACGGTCTCGTTTCCACCTGTCTGTCAGCTGGCAGCTGTCTGAACTGGTGCTCCATTAGCAGAGCCATCTCTTTAGTCCGGATGCTCTCTTACCTCTGAAATGATAGTAACAGGCCGTCAACTCTCCACTGCTGATTTACAGTGACACCAGCAGAAACTGTGTGTTGGAGGGGTGGGACACACACACACACACACACACACACACACACACACACACACACACACACACACACACACACACACACACACACACACACACCTACTCTGAACCCAGGTGACGGCGGGATATCCAGCCCCGTCGGCTCATGTGATCGACTTGTTACTGATAGATCCGGGTCATCGCCACCTGTCGGGTAAATGGTCCGATAAACGGCTCTTAGATAGAAGTCCAGAGGAAACACAAGAACGGCACCCGATGTGCTCCAATCAGCTGACACTAGTCTTCCTCTGCGTTTAATCACATATGCTCCTTTACTGCCAACTAATGGAGTTTTGTGGAACATCTCAAAATGTAGCCTACAGTCACACCAGGTTGGTGAACTGTCATTTAGTTGTTGTGGCGGGGAGTAAGCAGTTAGCCTACACATAGCGGGATTACATAATTCAATAAAAAAAACAAATGCAATTCAAAACTGTTACAGTTACTAAGAAAAAACTAAAACTAATCAAGAAAAAACTAATCCAAAATGCTGGTGATTACAAATGGGTTACAACCGAATGTATTCTTCGGTAAAAAGGTTAAATAATAACATTCATTCTGCTGCTTTGCAGGAACAACTTCTTTTGGCATATCTGCAGACAACGTGGGTCAGATAGGCGATAGGTGTGAGGTCTAATAACGCTCACCAACTTAATTCAGCATTGTGTTTTTATTAAATATTAACTTGGAGAAGTCACTGTTGTGAAATTTCTACAGGGCACCAACAGACTAAAATCTATACTAAAATAATCAAATGTAATGAGTACATTACTTTACTTTACTTTTTCGTATTACATTTTTAACAGGGTTAGTAATTGGAAATTTCCTTTTCAAAAGTAACATTATTTATTTATTAAATATTAATTATTAATTCATGTAGGTGCATTAAAAGGTCTGGAACCAGATCATATATTACTGTTATATACCTATTAATCTTGTATTATGTCATTCTAAAACAACAGCAGACAAAAGGGAAAGAAAAAAGAGAAACACTTGCTGATATTTTCTGGAAAAATAGTAGTAATGAGTAGAAACACACAGTCCTAACAGCATGCTCTTGCAAGAGTCTTTACTCAATAGAATGGGGGACTCATACTGTCAACGTTTCACATTTACTGTATTGTTCTGCCTAAATTTGTACTAAAGATAGCTGCAGATGTCAACAGCTAATAAAGGTTTATATATAAAGTTATACCACAATATGTTTAAATATAATAAATGTGAATAATCAGTTAATAAAAGATTGTGGTCCAGATGTTGTGTAGCCCTATTCCAGAAGATAACTGGTGAAACAGTCCATTGACGAAGTCTCCTTATTGCATTAAAGAGCTAAATAAAAAGATGTGAACATGTCATGCTGAAGGAGTATTCTCCACAATCTGGCAATAACAATAAAAAGAAGAAAGCCTTTTGTACACTGATTTTGAAGGAAATACGTTTCGCGTTTTCACCCTGTTTTCTATGAATTTTGGCCTTTACTACACCCCTTAGCGTGGGTATAACTAGGAAGTGTATCGGTAACTAAGGAAAACGAAAACTGGGGGACTGGTTAAAGGCGAGTTATGTGTGTGGAAATTCAAAACATCGATTGAATTTGACAAACACCAAGAAAAGGCAACCCACCTCACCACCGAACAGGTAAGTGCTCATTATTTATCGAGCTATAAAGGCTCTTGACTAAGCTACGTGACTGTTGCTGGGTAATGAGAGGTGTAACATTCAGGCTTTGTCCATATTGTTTTGATTTTTTTCAAGTAAAAAAAATGTTTCATGCACAACAACACATATAACACAAGCAGAGACGTGAAGGTAAACTGGATCTCTGTATCTGTGTGAACGAGTGGTCTTTAGCATCTACCTAACACACACAATAGCTCGTGTTAGGATACGCCAGTGCTAAATTGGCCAGGTACCTCGTCAATAATAAAACAAGCAACGTTAGACAGGATTAGGTTGAGGTTACTTATGCTGTATGTTAATTATGATACAGGTCTATGGCTTTGCCCACCCTCTCGGCCCATGTGCCAAGCCGGTCCCGGGTGCTGGCCGGACAGCTGGCCCGGCAGCGGGAGCAGGAGGCCCGGTGTCGACAGCAGTGGGAGCTGCATGCTCGGTACTTCAGAGAGCAGAGTGTCCGCAGCCAGAGACAGGCGGTGTGGAGCTCCCGTCACTCCTACCAGAAGAGGTAACTTCATCCATCCGAGTTGGACAACTTCAGAAATCTATTAAACATCATGAGAAAGATAAAGCAAGCCAGTGGCGGGAAGTAACTAAGTAACTTACTCATATAGACTACTGTACTAAAGCTGAGACTCTCAACTACATTTCAGAGTTAGATATTGTAGATTTTTGCATCCAAAACACACAAACGAATGTCTAAATGAAACTGGCCAACAATATATATAAGTACAACTGAAATGGTTAATTGTTTAGTCCATTGACAGAGCATTAATTGGCAACTATTTAAATAATCGTTCGTAATTTTCATGCAAAAATACCAAATATTTCATGGTTCCAGCCTCTGAAATGTAAGGTTTTGCAACTTGATCTTTTGATTAATTTAATGATTTTTATTAATTTTTTAGAATAAGTTTAGCCTTTGGACTTTTGGTCAGGGAAAACAAAGCATTGTGAAGATGTCATTTGGGCTCTCGTTAATTATGACAGGCATTTCTCTCTGTTCTCAGAATTTCTACAAACCAAATCAATTAAGAAAATAATCAGCAGATTAATTCATAATCTCCACCTCCATCTCAACCATCTAGAACATTAAAATCCTACTTTTACATTAATGTAAGAGTAACAATCTAATGATATAATATATGATAGTATGACTCTGTAAGTAATCATCCCATATACAAGGTCTCTGCACTACAAAGGTAACAAAACAAATTTAAAAGAGGCAATGATTCACAAAGTTATGATCCCAGTAAATTGTAACATATTCAGGCAACACTTGAGGCTCTCAATGGTTCTTTTGTGAAGAGCAAAAAATCAGCTGGTTTAATTTTTCCATCACACCAAACAAATCACCAGAAGAGTGATCTTCAGGATTTTCACCATAAGTAAATACTCACACAGTACATGTGGTGAGACACTATAAATATGTGTAATTAACAAAAGATCATATTTTTAGATAATTGGATAAATATAGAAATTTACAGTACATTGATGAATAAAAATGTTGGTTATCTTCCAACTAAATAATATCTTAAATATTAATTATATATTGAAGGTAATAGTGTACAAATCACTGCCTCATTTACAGCATTTAGTTGCTTGTTGATTAAACTGTACATGCGTAGAATATCAGCGTGCCTTCCCTTAAATCTGTTTGGTCCATTTATGTGAAGTGATAGTACTTTGTCTCTAGTAGTTTGACTGCCTGTTAGTTGCATGAGCAGATAAATGGCAGACAAATATAAGTGTTTTTTCGCTGTTTTGTCAGTATGTCAGCGTACCATAAACAGACACTGAAAGAGGAAAAGAAGGCCAGCCTGGAGCAGCGCAGGAATCGGCTCAGGGCCATGCTGCAAGAGGAGCAAGACCGGCTGGAGGCGGAGCTCAGGGAAGTGGTCCCTGACAGAAGCACATTGGCAAGTCAGTTGGTGCAAAAAACTGAAGAGCTTCGTACAGCAAGAGAGGAAAGAAGAAGAAAGGTAGTTGCATTGAATTGGATGCATATTTCCTTTTCAGTGCAGTATACAGTGTATAATCCCTGATATTTCTTTTTTATATCCCTAGCTTGCTCAAGAGCTGTTGAGGGAGCACTGGAAGAAAAACAACCCAGAGTTGCAAGAGGTAGCCAAGTTTTGACTATTAATTCAAAAGTGACAAGTTGCCAAACCTCTTACCTCAAAGCCTGACTGTTGGTGAAGTGATAAATGGCCTAAGGAATCCATTGATCATCCTGTATGTCTGAAGAGCCCAGCAAGTAGAGAAAGTAGGACACTTTTTGTCAAGACGTCCATTTGATCTGGAAACGAATAGGGCTAGTGATGCAGATATTCCATGACTTTCTGCTAACCTGAGTCCAGTGTTGTCTTAAAAGAATAAAATGTTGTGGTATCCTTTCCGCTTGGGGTCAGGTTCATCAGTATCTCTGTCACGTCCATGTCAGATATCAGCTCTTTCAATCTGTCCACAGGTTGAGTCGGCATTACATAAAGATCATGTTGTCAGCCAGTGGCAGGAGCAGATATCTGAGAAGAAAAAGGTAGGAAATCCATCACAGATGCCACACAAAACAGTTCACTTACTGTTTATTCAAGCATTTTTAATAACCATCTAAGGATAAGAAGTGTTTTTGACCCATAGGAGTCGGTGTATTATACTCAATTTTAATCAAACCTAATAGTGAAGAAATTGCTCCCTAGTACTCTGAAGAATTACCTCCACCAAGCCAGGGGTGACACATAGGACCTACAAGTCATTAAACTGATTATTTATGTAACAAATCAATTTTTAATTAAAGAGTGCTCATGTCATCTGTGAGCACAGTATTAAATCTGAAATCTCAGGTTAGTCACCTCAACATGGTACATAATTGAGAAAGTTTAGACACCTACTGTAAGTGACCCATCTCTTCAAACATGCAGCAAGAAGTGGCAGAGCAAGAGGAGAAGAGGCACTTTGAAAATGAGTATGAAAGGACCCGAAGAGAGGCTCTGGAGAGGATGAAGCAGGCGGAGGAGAAAAGGAAAGCAGAGGAGCGCGAGAGAGCAGAAGAACTTCGCAAACAGATGGAAGAATTGAAACTGAGGGAAGAAGAGGTATGCAGATCTTTGACACAGTGTGAAAAGTGGTATTGCAGATTTAAGCATTTTTCACCTTTTTTTTTTGTTTTCTCTCAGGCCACTCGTCTAAAGAAGGAGCAAGAGGCTCTGCTGGTCAAGCAGTGGGAGCTGGAGAAGCTAGAGGAGGAGAGGAGGAAGGTGGAGGAAAGGCAGAAGAAGTCTGAGATGGGGTAAAGGGAAGCTCTTTCTGCAGATAACTGATCACAAGTGAGATGATACTTGATACTTGGGCTCATCGAATTTATGTTCCACCAGGCATTTCTTGATCCGTCAATATCGAGCTCAGCTGAAGAGGAGAGCACAGCAAGTGCAGGAGGAACTGGTGAGTCTACCTGCTGATACCACAGTGTATTAGTCCAGATGTAATCCATCCACTTTTTTGGTTTTGATGTCTTCCTGGAATTCCTCTGTGCCCACCAGGAGGCCGACCGTAAGATCCTGGCCACCTTGCTGGAAGGAGAGCAGGACGACAGGAGGCTGGAGACCGCACGAAGGGAAAGGGCTATCGCTGATGCTGCCTGGATGAAACGAGTGATTGAAGAGCAGCTTCAGTTGGAGCGGGAACGGGAGGCTGAGTTTGACATCCTACACAGGTGAGCATCAAGATCCAAGTAACCTGACTCCGCAGGAAGGGACTCCTGCTTGTCCTCAAATATAAACCAATGTTTCTCAATTATTTTAGAGAAGAAGCTCAGCATGTATGGGAGAAACGAGAGGCACAGTGGGAGAAGGAGAGAAAAGCCAGAGAACGGCTAATGCATGAGGTAAATTTGTTTCAAATGACTTTGACACATTGAGTGAAATTTAAGCGATGACATTACAGATTAATACCTTTCCTGTATTTTTCCTGTATTGGGAAGGTGCTTGCAGGGAGACAGCAGCAGCTGGAGCTAAAGATGCAGAAGAACCGTGAGGCTCAGGAGGAGTCCCTGAGGAGACGAGAAGAGCTGATCCAGGAGCTTGAGCTGGAGAGTGAGATCAGGCGGCAGGAGAAAGAGCAAGACGAAAGCCGTAGGACAGCACGGATACAAGAGTTAAATGCTCAGGTTAGCAAATGCATCAGTTGTTTGTGTTTCATCATTGAGAACTTAAAAAAAAAAAAACAATTTCGAGCAGCTTACTTAAATTGTCACAGTTGAACAGCATCAGACTATAAGCAGCCCTAATATTTATTTGTGTGTATACACTGTAGGTGGAGCAGCAGCGTCAAGAGCATTGGGAGGAGCAGTGCAGGATAGAGCAGGACGAAGAGGAGGAGAGGGAGGCTCTTCGTATCCAAGAGGAGGAGCTGAGGCTTGAGATGCAGAGGATGGCCAAGAAAGGGTACCAGGAGAAGGTAAAAGACGAAAGTTAAGCTGCAGGAGACTGACAATCCTGAATGTTGATATTCCAAGTTCCCAAATGTTCTTATGTTATCAGTATTAAAAACAGCATCAAACTGTCCCTTTCAGATTCACAGCAGACCTCGATCAGCCTGGACATGAGCAACCTGCAAGACTGAAGTCAAGACAGAATTGTGAGGTGTATATTTTTCTAGATGTAATTAGCCTTAAAGGATAGGTTCACATTTTATGTCTTAAAACAATACTCACATGGCCATTTGTAAACCATAACAGTTAGTGGTCATTGTAATTGTTTCTCCTGTCCCTATGGCCCTGAAGAGATCACTTTCTGACATGGTGCCAGTGTAACAGATGGGTAATAGCATTCACAGTCCTCATTCAAGTCAAGTGAGGATTGTTTCCTTTTGTGCAACGTCCCTGTTTTTGCCTCACCAGACTTGGTTTTCTTGCTGAGCCACAGAGGAGGGAGAGTAATACAAGAGGAGAATCTCATACTAAAAAGACTGCAACTTCTGAAGCCCCGTATTTGGTTACACTTTAAAACATATTTTTTTCACAGATCGAGGACTGTGAAGTTTGTCCTCCATCTCTTACATTGGAATCGTGTTGTGGGGAGATCTTTTCATGGAGAAGATGAACAATTTCATGAAGCCATAACTCTTTCAGTGTACATACGGACATGCGAGAATAAAAAAGTCTTTAAAGAAATGAAACATTCATGTTTATGAGACCATAAAGTTTACCATCTTGATGTTAATAATTCAGTGCCTGTTATTTTTGTATGTAGAGAACTGATTGATTTTTTTGTACTTTTGGAGCTGTTTAAGGAATATATTTTATATCTGTAATTTTTAGACTAATATAAATAAAAGTTGAAAAAACTGTTCAATCAAATCAATTCAGTGTTCTATATCAAGGCATCAAAAATGGCATATGATAAATACAAAATCTGGCAAAGCACAACAGGCTATATTTATAAATTACGTTTATTTAGAAAATAATTTTTTCCCAAAGTGCAGCTTAACAGCTGCATTCACCTACATTACCTTGATCAGATTTCAGAATGACAATGAAGTCTGAAACACGTGGTGAGGATGAACGTTGGGTTGCACAATAATACAGAAGATGTCTACAGTTCTATCCCACATGTTGCACATTAAATACAAAACTAGCAGCAACGGAACAGAGCACAAAACACATGGACATACATACAGTATGGCTCTTAGCTCTAAATATCTTGTAACATCACCAACACTGCAATGGCACACAAGACGGCAGAATACAGTGCAGTGTGGAGCCTGTTAAAAACACACCAAATCATTATAACTTAACACAACAACATCTCGGCGCTGGTGAAGAATATAACTTGCCCCCTGAACAAGTGTTGTTTGCATTCACTGACTTGGCAACATAAATGGCTGCAATAAGTGCACTGCAGACTGGATTACACTGGGACAGGAGACAAACCATATAAACAGCTTTTTCGATGCAACAAACATTAGCATTGCAGAGCTACAAAGTGTGCATTAATGAAGTTCCCAACATTTAATGGAAGTTAACTAAATGGTCAGTTTGTTTTTGAAGGTTAAACTTTACAGTATGATGATGTTTGCACAGTGCAGTTAGTGAGAGGAAGCTCCTTTAGCTACAGAGTGTTTACAGTACACCTTCAGTAACAATTGATTCATGACTCATTTATGGCTTTTCAGCATCTTTGCCTGGCTTTGGACTGATAACATTTACCTGTATCTTCATATAGGTTTACTGTACTGTGCTTAAACCCTTCTCTAAATGTAAGGTATTTACATTATGCACTAATTAAAAATTATTTGTAAGTAAGAGTGAATTGTACTCAAAATTTTTAAAAGTAATCTAGAAACCATTATGTTTCCCAGGCCTGTTAACTGCTGTACGTTGCCTTCACCTCAAGAGAAAATGTGCTATTACAGCAGCTCGGAATCCCTAAGTAAAGCTGCTGACTTTTTCCCTTGACACTCAAATTTTGTCCAGAGTTGGCTTTAAATATTGTCAATATTTATTCATAAATAAAAAAAAAACGAATGCATGCATATACCACAAATACAAAAAAAAAAAAAAAACAACAAAACGATTTAAAAAATATAAAAACAAAGCTGAGATGCTAACGGCTTTGCAGCCTTTTAAGTGCTGTTAGTTGGTATTCTCCTTTGTGGTGATGGTGACAAGCTGCTTGGCGGCCTTGGCAATGTCATAAGCACATTGGATGACCTGCTGAGTGACCAGCTGCATGTCCGGTCCTGGGCAGCCCTCTGAAGGCACCGCCTTCCTGCACTCGCTCTGAAGCCGGTATGCGCTGGAGGTCAACAAGCGCAGAGAGCCTCTAACAGTCTCTGAGCGTGGCCTCTGCAGAGGAAGGTTAAAATATCTTGATACTCATGGAAAGTGTCCATTCAAAGGTCAACAGATTTGTGCAAAGGGAGACAGGTTGATGGATATCCTTTAGAACCACATTGACCTCTGCTGGCCTAGGACTGAATCTGGCCAGTCTACTTTGGTTTGTCTACCAAACTACCTCTTCTTTTAACACATTTACACACACACTTAAGAATTTGTATATTTATCATACAACATTATGTTTAGGAGCAACTCATTTTTAATTTAATTTGAATAAAAAAATAGGTTAATTAGGTATAGGTATTTGTGCCAGCTTTTATAATAACAAATACACTAGCTCACTGATCCATTCTCTCCAAGCTTAATACAGAGAAGGTTGTTTCCATACCTTAGGAAAAAGAGCAGCCATTTCTGTTACAGCCACGTGTATTCTTTCTGAGCAGGGTATGAAGCTGTGAGGAGAAGAGATTTGTCAATGAGTTCAAAATATTGATGTCACATTCATACAAATTTCTAAATTATTGAACAAATCTTGATAACATATCAATTAAACAAAAGCTATTACATGCAAGTCAACTTACAGAGCAAGATACTACATTGTATTCACAGCACACCATGCATTATTATCTACAACTTCAGGTTAACATCAACTAAAACATGCTGTTGAACAGACATTTTAGTCTGTAAGAACAATTGTGTATTTTAAAATGATGGAACCACAGTAGAAACAATATCAAGCTGAAAAATCCATCAAAAATATCTATCAAAAACAAGCTGCTGCAAAGATGTAACTTTTAACTTTTCATCAACAAACTGAAGCCAATTCGGAGTCAGTGCTAAAGAGAAGAAAAATCAATCAAGGGAAGTTTTCAACTGTTTTTCAACTGTTTCAATAGTTTCAAGCATTCAGTAGCACATCAAAGAAAAAGAGAAAACTTGTTAGCAGGTGAGAGAAGAAAAAGCATGAAGCTGAAACTGTTTGAGGGAGAGGAAAATGAAACTGTGCCTGGGAGGCAGGGACAGAAGCCAGAGTACCAGGAGGTGGGGTCAGGGGACCGGAGGCTTAGCGGCTGAAGGGGAGGGGGGGCCTTCTCAGCCCAGGGTACCAGAGTGCTGAAACATCCCAGGCTGTGCCTGAGCCGACGCACACCTTCACGCTCACATGGTCTGCTCACAGGAGTGAGGGAATGGGACAACGCAACACCAAAACAACATCATATCAGCGGAGCAGAGTGGAAGTAGAATGAGGGGGGAGAGTGAAGATTACAGAAAAAAGGGAAATGATAGAAGGTACACACAACTAAACATAACAGAATAATGATGAATGTAAGAGGAACTTAAGGTTTAACATGGAAGTAAGGAAACGAAAGCTAAAAACCAGATCCTAAACTAATTAAAGACCAAATCCTCTTCAGATTCTGACCTGTCATGTTTGTTCTCCTGAGCAGCTCGCAGCAGCTCTTGGATATTTTTGGTGATCTGCTCGGTTTTGCGGATGACGTCCTCTGTGCTGGGAAGTGTGGGGTCTGACTCCATCTCCAGATCATCCAGTTCAGGGATGGAGCTGCCCTCCCCTAGCCAGCCACTGCTCCTCAGCCTCCCTCTCCTGCACAAACTACAGGAGTAAAATCACAAGAAATTGTGTCTACTGCCAAAACCACTGCTTTTTGTTTTTACTCTAAGACAAAACAGCAGATAATTTCACTTTAAAACCCCTTTAAACTGTATTTAGGAACCAGGAAACACACTTATCGTCTATCACTCGTCAACGAGTACAAACTTGCTCTTACCCTGAATCATCCATCTCAGACTCATAGAACGTGTTGTCATAGTCACTTTCTGGCATGCTGCTTTGCTTCTCTAACTTTGAGGCCTAGAGGGAAGAGAAAAGACAAAAAAAAAAAAAACTGATAACGTGTCTCATGCAAGACGTCCCATGTCTCTGACGATATATAAATCAGAAACAGCTGTGGTGAAATCACAGTTTCAATGCTACACATCAAATTCATCGACAAAGAACGAAAGCAGGTGCTGAATGTACCCCTTTCTGTTCGTTGTGCCAACATCAGTGTGACAATGTCAAATTGGAATATAAACACGTAAAAGTGGTGCAAATGACTGAAACAAGCCAATAAAGCTGTGAAGCAAGAGCATATAATACATTTACAGCATTCATTATAGGATTAGTAAAACAGATTTTGCAGAGTTCAGACAGTTTATTGATGTCAGTATGATATAATCACCAATGCTGACTTGCTTAAAATTTACCTGATCTTCATCAAATGTGACAACACGTTAATTTTTGTATGAAAACTTTTAACCTCCTGAAGTAAGGGTGGATTCATGGATGACAATTAACAAAACAGTCAAACAAAGAGACTAATAATCAGCAACACATGGCTGGAAACATTACATCAGAACCATGACACACAAGCGTTACTCATTCTCCAAATTAAAACTGAAGTAAACCCCAGAGGGTCATTATTTGAGGATGGGAAGTCAGGGTTCAGATGAGTTCATAAATAAAACTAAATCACACGCAGCACAACTACAAAGTGAATCACACAAAAAAGGACCGCCTTATCTTTCACTGCGAGCAGAGATGTTCATCGTAACTTAGACTTTATGCAGATTCCCTATCAGACTGAAAGCTTCACTTGTAAACAGGAAGCAGAGACGAACGAGTAAACTGGCGTCACACAGGCCGAAAGTGCACCACGTTCATAACGTTTCAATCCGTGTCCAAGAATCTAAACAGAGTCTTTAACCTGTATGCAGTGGAAAACTCTATGCGGCACACATGAGCTTGCCTCAGGGAAGGCGATTAGTTCATACATGTTTAGATAAGCCTTTGTTCTGCCTTAAGAGAGGACTAAAACAACTCCTGGGTCAAAAGTGTTGAGAGCATGCTGTTGGAAGCTCACTGTGCAAAATGGCCAAGCATTTGTTAGAGACAGGGTAAAACGAGCTTTTCTTGATACTGAGAGCATTTGAAATGAAAAACAGGAGTTTAACAACTTCAGATGTATAAAATATACATTTAACAATCCCACAAAATACTCAACTCATACTTTTTTTTTTTTTTTTAACAGACAGGTGGTTGTTAAATAAAACACTACAAACTTTCCCCAACTGCTTCACAGGTCTCTGGAGCAAAGAAAGAAAGCATTAAAATAAGCAGAAGCTGCATCAAAAGCGCAACTTTCTGCTCAACGTTCAGCGGTCAGGCAGAGGTTTTGCCATTACAAAACCACACAGTTCCAATTGTTTAGCTGCACAGTGAGGATGATGCTGATGAAGGCAGGTGTCTGGTGGTGAGGGCAGCCGGTGGAGGGTTGGCTCATGCAGCAGGACAGATAAGGAGCAGCGTATTGAGGACAGAGGAAGGTGAGGCAGGAGAAAGAGGAAGTAATGGTAAAGGGCTCCGGGTGGATTTGCTGTGTCCCACGAGGTGTGGACCAAGTGAGGATGTACTTAACCTTTTGAGCACTTTCGTCCTTCGACCAAGACAGGGTGGATGGAAATGAGGGGAGGGATGAAGAGGTGGTCACAAAAGCGCCCCTTTCCGTCTAAAGACAGGGTTCAGATCACATTTTAAGGACACATTTCTTAAGTTAAAAAATATATATATTTTTTTACAAACTATAAAGAGGGATGAATGAGATTAGATGTCCAACAAGCCTTTGCAAGCCAGGTAAGGCTTAACCAGATACTGTATGTCGAGAATGGAGCTGATGGAAAACTTTATCTGTGCAATGAACATGACAATAAAGTTGAGGTATGAAAAATATAATTATTTTTATCATATTTAAGGATTAAACTCAAGATTAATCAATGATATGTAGACAACTTGAAAGAGCTCAGTTGTTTTTTTCAAATCATCCAACATTTACTCCCTGAGCAGTGTCCTGGAAAAAACATGACTGAAGACTCATTAAGAGAAATGTACCAGAAAACCATGATTCAAAGGCTCAAATATAACTGCATAAATCAAAAAGAGAATTTAAACAGATGAGAAGGTGAAGTGAGTGTGTGAATTTGACATGCATTACAAAAACACAGAGTATTTGTATGGTAGTTTTAATGCTTCATCAACATAAAAACACAGTACAAACCTTCAAAGTTTATCATAATAACAGCATCCCCTTGCTTGTACAACTACGTTTTTGTCTAACAAACACTCCAGTAAACAACAGATATATGCAGATAATAGTCCTGTGTATGTTTCAAAACTGGACAAAATGAAATGTGACTGGCTGTATCTAAATGAATACCATTGTGATGTTTGATGGCTGTCTCTGATGCAGCAGAAAACTAACAAGTGGCAAATGAGTGAGGAATTTTTAATAAATAAATAAATGAATTTCAAAAAAAAAATGGCAGAGAGAAAGGTTTGCAGACAGGGTGAAGACATGAGGGAAAGTCATGGAAACAGGGCAGTGGAGAGGAAATGGCAAAGGAGAGCAGGGAACAGGTCTTACTTACATGAGGTGGGAAGGGTTGCAGGGTGGGGATACCCTCCTCTGGGTAGGGAGTTTCCCCTTTAGGGAGATAAGGCTTCAGGCCTGAGCCGGTCTCATACATAGACATGGGCCGACTGGCCCGCGCAGACTGCCGGCGTTTCAGGGCTGAGGGACTGGAGGGGTCAGGGTAGTCTGAACCGCTGGGGATCTGATAGATATTGGTTGTGACCTGCCGCCTTAGAGAGGTGTTCTCGCTTTGCAGAGATTGCAGCTGGAAGAGACGGTCAGCAATACACTAAGAGGTGCTTTCAGCAAAGCAAGCTTTGTTCCCTGTCCCGATCCATTCTGTCTTTACAGTATACAGCTCTTCTCCCATTCTTCCTCTAAATATTTCTATTATACTTTGACAGTCTGCTACAGTCTGTATGCTAAAAGTCACATATTATTACAATTCTGCTAAGCTTTTAATTTGGCAGGAATAAAACAGATCTTTGTGGATATCATATTATACCGTTTTAAAACCTGTTTTTATACACATATATATATATATTCTGTATATTATTATTCCCATGATACAGGAAGTTCAGAACAGCTCTCACAACAAAAGCCAGAGAACCAAGTTTCTGACTTGTCACCATCATACAAAACCTGAAGCTGCTTCAATGATAATGAATTACAGAGACTCTCATGTCTGTTGGGTATGTACTTGCTATGCGTACTTGCTTAAGCTTCAGAGAAATATTTGCTGAGGATGCTCTTATAGGATAATGTACAGGGTTACATTTTCCCATAAGAATAAACTTGTATTGTGCTGCAATATCCACAAAGTTAATCATCCTTGTCACTGTTACTCAAACAGCTTCCAGTTTTCATGATGACAACATCCAGTAGTTATCAGCTGTAATTACAAACATAGTCTTATCTGAGCCACCTAACATCACAGGAATAACCTGAATTTTCCTTTGGGAGGGATTTTTCCTCTGGTCTAAAAATGCAAAGCAAGTGATAAGCAAGCAAAAGATTGTTGCACAAGTAAGCAACACAGGTGCAGTTTAAGTCAAGGGTGTAGCTACAGTACAGACAGATTGAGAGAATCAAGAATGAACAAAATCAAGAAGATTTTGTCAAAGATAAACTGGCCTTAATTAATGCAACCACTTGCATTCAATGCAGAGAAAATGGGAGATCTTGTGTGCTGGTCAGTAAAAGTGGGGAGGTGAAAATACTAAGATGCATGATGACTTAGTTATTGACATCAGTGTTTGGTCAAGACTGATTCCAATTAAACTTGAAGACTGTGCTGATTTGTTCATGAAATTGTGTTTAAATATAACAGGAAACTGAATAAGAAATATGGTATACATCTGTCCTGTGAAAGAACCATTTGTAAGGACTACCACAATATATCATGACAAGTCGTATATCCTACATGCTTCTCCACCACATCTTTATCTGGATGTGTTCTTTGCTGAGAATCTTTCAGCCATGGGTTAAGACAATGTACACTACAGTGCTGTGTGTCTACTGCAGGGGAGTGAAAGAACGACCTCCAGTGCAACCAAGAGAGAGAGTCGCCCCAAACGATCTGCATCCTCCTTCCAAACCGCCAAATTAAAGCAATTTTAAACATAAGAAAACAAAAATGTAACCTCACTGTCAGGGATCCATTTGAACAAAGTATCTTGCTAGCACATTCTTAGAACATCTGTGGTCAGAAATATATAAAATATATCGATATATCAAATACTAAGGACAGTTTGGTGTAACAGAGTAATCCAGGTTTGCATCAGCTGAGGAGTATGCTTTCTATGAAATTTCTATGAATTGTAACAACTTCGAAAACATATCAAATAATAAATGCACATGTACTAAAGGATGTTACCAAAAACAACAGCTGGAAATCTTTTAAAAACATTCTACCTAACACAGTATATGTGATGAAGCAAGGCACACACATACAATTTCAGTTAGTCGCTATGTACTATGAAGAGATTAAAAACCAGTCAATTATGTCATGCTCTCAAAACATGCTTGTTAGTAACATTAGATAGCATTGCTTTAACTATAATTTATATATTACAAAAAAAATGTGACTAAACTGTGTTTGTTATTAACTGGAGCAAGGGTGCATTCGTTCTTCTCAAATCCACAAAACAAACCAACACACACAAAAAATAAAAAAATCTCCAGTTTACATTCAAGCTTTGAAATTGAACATGCTGGCCAAAACAGAGGGTGGACCAGCAGGGTGTCACAGCAGCCTTATCTTGCAACAGAGTATCTCTATTCAGGTAGCTCGGCCCTCAATACAACCCACAGATTGGGCCTCCACACCAGAGAGCGATCGCACTGGGCAGGAGAAGAGCTCTGCTGACCGCTGTGGCCCCCCCTCAGGCTGGCCCCCCGGTGTTAGTGATCTTATGGGTGGAGCTCGGTGGATACCTTTTTCTGCATGAGCCTCAGCTCATCACTCAGGTTGTTGTTGGCTTTCATGAGCTGCTGGATCTTGGCTTCAGAGGCAGAGAGCGCATTTTTCACCTCCAAGTATTCTTGCATAGTAATCGGGCTATCTGAGAGGTCAGAGTCCAGACTCTGTGGGGTTGAAAACATAACAGTGAGGGCACCTGGGGAGAGAGAGAGAGATGGTGTCTGCTTCCTTTGTCATAGTGATGCTACGGTACCTTGGTCCTATCTCCTTTGCTCGAGGGGAGCTCTTGATCTGTATCCTCATCAGAAGCCACACTATCATAGTCAGGCTGGTCATTGTCCTGGCTATCACTACAATGCCTGACCGCCACACTCTTCAGGATGAGTTCAACATTGTCTGGAATGAAGAGAGACAGAGTGAAATACTTACATCTGTGCTACACTTGTCCAGTGTCTGTAAGATCTTGGAGTAAAGTAACAATTAGTCACTGACCTTTGGGACTGGCTATTGAATTCCCTTGTTGTCTCCGCTTAGCATCACTTAGTATGTCAATCACAAGAGTGGCAAATTCATGTGCGTTAAATCTTGCAAGCTTCTGTCGACCCTAATTTAAAAAAATAAAATAAAATCTAAGGTCAAACTGAATATGTATAAAGAGAAATGATAAAGTGTTAGTGTGGGAGTTCTGTAGAGCTGGCTTGCCTGGTTTCGTGTTGATGAATACTCTGGATTCACAGGGAGGAAAGGCACCACCGTTGTCTCTGTCACCAGGGCGCTGTGATTCTGCGTGGCCAACCACACTACAGGTAATCAAGAAATCAATAGTGTTAAGTTCAGAGTTTTGCATTTAGCACAAGAACTGCAACAATATTTTAAAAGCATCAGTGTGAGTAGCTGTCAGGATACAAGACAGCACAAAAAAACTTTGCTCTTACCTGCATCGGTCTCTCGTCTATCGACTTCATCGTACACATCCATGGCCAAGTCCTCGAATAAATGATTACTGAGCTGCATTAAAATTTTGAAATTACACGTAGTCAGATATTAGTCAGAAGAAGGAAAAAAGCTCTCAGTGCAGTGAAATTCTGAAATTGAGCACTGCAACGATACTTACAGACTGTAGTTTCTTCTTTGCTGCTTTGGCCAGTTCTGATAAATCTAAACTGCTACAGAAAGAAGAAAAAGTCTAATAATTATATGCTGCTGAAGTAATAGGTCAACATGGTGCATACTTCATTCTGATTAATACTTACATGTTCCTATCCATCATGAGAGAGCAATGAAAAAGATCAAACATCACATTTCAGTTTAAGAGGAACAGTGGTTGCTCTGCCACAACAGACTTGTTTGGAGTTACGAGTTGAAAGTTTAGAGTTGTTCGATAAATTATTTACAGCAATTACACAGTTAGTGGGTATGTCAACTATTTCACTGGGCCTGTTTCCTCCACCTCGGATAATAGATGCTGCAGGGAGCTCAACAGCGTGTCAGAACAGGCCTCAGAGCAAAAACAACCACAAACAACTGCCTCACTGCACTTTACTCTGCTGGCTCGATTCAAGTTAAACCCAATCATTCAGGCACATGACAATTCAAAGACAAATCACTTAATATCCACTTAAGACTTATGCGTTCTTACCTGTCGGCCATTTGTGGAACAATGAAGTGCTGGCCGTTTTTATGATCTGAAAGGAACGACAAGAAAGTTCTGCATGACTGCCAGAATCAATGACGACTCATCAACTCATCAGTGCTTGTTTTTATCTGCTTGGAGTGCAACATAGATGACTGATGACATTTTCACCCAGGTTTCAGGTATCTTCACAATTACAGAGGAGTGTACGGGGTCAAAACTACCTTTCTCTCCAATTAGGCGGAACAATCACACAGAATTACATGCACATGTTCTTTGACCCATTTCCTTTTAAACTGATATTCAATTCAATTGTAGCTATCTCTCACTGCATACCTGGTTTCCTCCCACACAGGTAGAACGCCAGTCGATCAGTTAGTTCATACTGAATCTCCACCAGTCTATCTGCCAGGTCATGGTGGCCAGCTTCCCTACAAAGGCGCATGTTTAAAAAAAACACTTAAAAAAAGGGAGAAATTACCCAAATTAAGCCCATAAGTTTTTGTGTTTGCATTTTAAAAGATTATTGAAAATAGCTTACCTTGCATAGTCAATGGGAGTTTTGCCATTGCTGTCAGGGGCTCCAGGATCTGCCCCATAAACAGTTAACAGTTCAGCCTGAGATACCTGCCCTGCCTTTGCAGCTACATGCAAGGGAGTGTTTCCTTTTTCCTAGAGGAGAAGCAGATTTAAGGCCTCAAATCAACATAAAAGGTAATGTACAAATGAAAATTCAGGTTTGATAGTGAGTAGGTGAATCTTACAGGGTGAAAAAAATTAGCTTGTGCTCCCAGGGATAGCAACCTCAAACACGTCTCAAGATTCCCGGTGCGTACACTAGAGTGAAGTTGCTGAAAAAAACAACAACAACAACAACAACAACAGAAAAAAAACACTATTACTATGAATTAATAAAATTTAACGATAAAGGTTCATACAAAACTGTGTTTCAATTTTCTCATAATCAGTGTGAGCGGCTTCACCTTGCTTAAATCCTTGGCTGTTGAGCTGTCATCCTCCCGGCAAGGCATGCGATGGACAAATGCCAGCATTTGATATTTGGCTCTTATAAACTCTGATTTGTTTGGACTGTTGGGACAACGTGAAAAATACAGGTTCAAAAAGAAAAAAGAGAGTCTATTAATAAGCAAGCGGCACATTTTAACACTGAAAGTTCAACAATTAAGTTTTTTGTTTATTAAATTTAAATCTAGCAAAAAAAAAAATAGTCTATAATGATTTTCAAACAATTATGACTCACTGCAGTTTGTCCTGAGGGTTGGCCTTGCGTTTTCCACTCATCACAGATGCAGGGTCCAGAAGGGAGTGCTCCCATATTGAATTTGCACCATTGCTATATAAGGTCTGAACCATCTAGGTGAAATCAAAAAAGAGACCTATAAAATGTGTCCTGCTGGTTTAGCTTGTAGAATTCTGACTGGCTGTTAATAATTCCCTCCCTGAACAAACATTTTCTATATTTGGACATAATCAATACACCTCAGTGAGATCTGATGCACAACTGTTGTCAACAGATTTATCTTGAGCAAAGATACAGTGCAGTAATACAGATTCTGTGCAAGATTAAAGGTCACTTTATCTTTACACAGACAATTCAGCCTCCGACAACAACTTCACGGCCGCAAATACAAAGATTTGTAGCAGAGGCAAATATAAATCTGCACGACGTTATTACCTGTAGCTGTGTAGGAGGCCATGGTGTGTGCGTCAGGTGGCGGACTTGGGAGCTATGTCTTCCCAGACTTCGATGAACACTGCAGCACTCATCGCAAATCAACACACCCCTGTTCACAGAGGCCCAGCGAGGTTCTGGAAGGACAAGAAATGTGTCACAAGTCGTCTCCTCTCTTTACATTCTGTACCATTACTCAAATTACTTACTTGCTGATCTAAGCAAGTAAGTGGACCCCAATAATCTCTTGTTTATATTGTTCTAAACTGACTATTACTGATTGGTGCTTAAAGGATAAAGTCAGAACCAACAATTAACAGATCCTACTAACACACATTGTTTGTGTAGCCAAATACTGATACAACATTTTGTTCTGTTTTTTTATTATGATGTAGCACCAGATGTATTCATCCATTGCTGAAAATAGTCCCCCAAAAATTCACTGTTTACACCTGCCTGAGTAGCATTTGGTGAAAACCAGTGTTCAGCTGTTTTAGGAAATGAAAAATGAAAAATAAAAAAAATACAGAATGATGCTTGTCAAGTGCCAAATCCGACCACTGGAAGCATTATTAAGACTAATGTGACATAAACAGTTCAGACAAAGTAGGGTACAAATATTAAAGACTGCAAAATTAAGGTTAGACTGACAGAGTATATATAAAGAAAGAAAGAAAAGTAGAGAGCCAAACCTAAATGGCCAGTCATAATAACTTTAGTAAGTATTTAAGGCCTTTTTCACCCCAGGTTTAGGGAAAGCCTTGCATTGTGAAAAAAGGAAGTGAAAAATAACAGTCGTTGGCTGAAGCATCTCAACTTTATTGTTGAGTAAGAGAGCAGCTTCCTCTTTCTAAAACATTGTTAAAAAATGGCAGATATACGTTATGAAGATTAGTGATGCGTATTCAGGTAATGCATGATGTTAGAAATAGAGATAGAGTGCACTTACAAGATAAAGTATATTCTGTGACCAAAATAAATATGTGTACTTAACCTTGACCTATTTAGTGCACTTCATCTAACATAAATGTCACAGAGTCGTATTGTCTTCCGTCTGTACCGAGACTCTTCTGGCGGCAAATATCTCAAGATCAAAAATGCTGCAAGTTTATATGCCACTCCCTATAGCCAATGAACTGTTAAGCAGATTGCATGGCTGGCACTGTGACAGGACAGACAGTGAAGACTGTAAGTGTCTTAGCAGCAGCTGAGGTGTAGGAGGAACAGCTGCATGGGCTGCTAGTTGGACTCTGGCACCTGGTGCCGAGTTTTCAGGGTCTTCTCCTATCTTACTCTCCACCAAGAACGGAGTGTTAGTGCTGACATGCCTCTTTTACCCTTTCCTCAACAAGTGCTGCTAAATTTAATACCACATCTTTGAAACTCTAAAAATATTCACAGCTAACAACTGGCGACAGTCGTATGGAAGGGCAATCTAGGCCAGCTGCTGTGGAGACCTGGAGGGTGGGGGGGTGGGGGGTGGGGGTTTACTAGCTTGAATGACATGATGAGAAACAAGGTACTAAAACTTGAGTAATCCTTAATATTTGGTATACATGTTATTGATTTTCATTGAGTAGACATGTAAAAGTGTATGAGGATTTTTTATATATCGGTTAACCATCTCCAAAAAATACATTTCTAAAAACAATGTATGATCTGCTCTCAAAGTATGCCACACTTACAATACATTATGGTGCCACTATAGAAAAAAAAAAATCTTCTGCATTGAAAGCATGCGGTCAATTCACTCAGCATCCTGTTTTGCTTCCTGTGCCTGCTGAAAAACATCACGTCATTTCTATATAAATGGGACTTCTGAAAGTACCTCAGACACAATGCAGCAACTACTGCTTCAGCTTTCACAGAAACATTTCATTGTAAAGGCTTAATTCCTTTTTTATCTCATCCCTAAGACTATTTAGAACAAACAAATATCTGTTAGAGGATGTCGACATTGCTCTCATGGCATATAATGGAGACGGTATTAAGTTGAGTCTAGTATTTCATCTGGAGATATCATTGTCTAATAAATCTGCTGCCATTCACTACAGATACTACAGTAGCTGGAATAGGTACCACGGGTAGCAGTTGAATATGATAAACATGTTTAGATTTGGGTTCAGGATGTAAAATTAAAAAGAAAAAAACAAAAAGAGTCCTTTCATACAGTTTAAATTAGATCGATCACACTTTCTCAACATGGGACAGACCTGTCTTTCACTACCAGTATTCATGTGTGGTTTACAACAAGCACCACGACAACAGACCACAGTGCCCACTGCCTTTTTTATGAACGATGCAGTCATCCTACCTGTGCTTCAGTCATGACAGAGAGCTTACAAAACAGTTTGCTGCTGATCTAGGATGACATTTCATAATAGATTACATTTCAACTATGCTGGAAACTTCTTAGTGTCTCATACGTAACAAGCATATGCATATTATTTGTTACCTGTGACAAACTTGCATAAAACAACTGTGCAATAATATTGATACACAACAAAAATGATTTCCTGATCATTTAAAGCAAACAACACCGGATGGAAATGGTTAAACAGACAGCTGCTACAGGTCTAATTGCATCCTCAACCCGGGAGCTATACCGTTAGTGGCCTGTCAACAACACTGACAACTTGCCCTGTCAAAACAACTGTAAACTGCATGTCGAAATAACTGCAAACGAGAAAGCAGCATTAGCTAGCACCAATAATCTGCTTTAAATCCGAAGTGTGAAGTGCAAGGCTTTGGCTTACTGAGCATGAAGGAGCAAACGTCAGTAGATAAATAATGGCTAACAGCTAAACCCCTGCAGGGATGGTCTTAATTTGCTTACCTGGAACACTGCAATCAGCGCACACCTCAGTATTTCGCAGGCGTTTAGACATCCTTAACTCAGGAAGAAATGCCTTTTAAAATGAGCAGACCGTGTCCGTTAAGCTAATCATTGATTATTCTGTGTGGATGCCTTCCACGTTAGCTACACCTAAGTTAGCTAATTAAAAACAACCGAAACAACTAGGATGCTACTTCATTCAACTTTGGGCTAGCGTATGTGTTACGACCATTATAACGTTGGCCAACGGGAGTAAGGTACAACGCTACTGCCTACAACTTGGCTGACTTAGCACCTGACTAGCTAACTAGCCTATGGCCGTTTGGTAGTTTACTCCTCAGCCTGTGGTAGACAGCAAGGCTACATAGAGCTACAGCATACCCAGTGGCAGCTGCTACCACTGTGACCTATTGTCAGAGTACACTGTGCCCACAGTTTAGACTCTCAGGAAACAAACGTCGAGAAATAATGGCATGATAGAAACAATTCCTCCATGTGTTGCGTCCCCCTGATTTTTAGAGGTACAGTTAAGAACAAAACCTATACAAAACAATATATTTGTTTGAGTTTGGAAGGTACACACCCTGACAGACGTAGCTGAGGGCGTTTAAACACTGATAACTTCGGCACAAGAGGTGGGTTTGATCTATGCACCCTCTGACACGGTGTCACAAAAGAGTGCGATTTATAACTAATAATGACGATAAAGCTTGCTAGCTGGATTCCTATCCACCGACGGTAGTCTTTTAAAACACACCTTGCATATCAGTATTACTCCTGCACTTTTAAGTAAATTGTCTACAAATAAAAACATCAATTGTATTACACAACTGAGGTCAGCCGTGAGACTGAAAGGAAGAATAGAACCGTAAAACAGCAACAGGTACTAAACATACGTTGATAGAACACGGCACCGCGGGTTATTTAATATAACTTGTAACTATATTATTAAAATATAGAATATATATAGTTTAAAATGGCCATGTGTCCTTGTGTACATCTCCTACACGATAGTGCGCTGGCGGTAAAGTTTCTGATTTTCAACAAACCTCCCCGTAGAGGCGCTGATCTCATTTCAGCATTAATATAATTATTAATGTTATATAATTTCATTCATGGCGTTCGTTTTTTTAAATGTTTGAAGGGCAATGTTGCGTTCAATTCATTAATTTAAAATATCGAAGTGTGGCGCAGAATCAAATTTATACAGGCAGTATACTTAGTCTGAATGTTTTTCGACCCCCATGCCGACATGTGAAATGGTTGCGTCCAAACTGGAACTGTCTATTCTTTTTTTTTCCTAAAGGCGATAATTTTATCTACAAATCATGTTTCTGTCGTTTATTGACCATAGAAATAATAGCTAATACTCATAAATTAAGTCCTGTTCTTAAAGGTTCTTGGAAAGCTGTCTTAATTAGATGTTATTGATTAGATCGTGAGTCTGTTTTCATGTAAGACACCCCTATTATTATTGGGTACTACTCCTGGCACTTCCTTGTTCAAAAGTTTTATTTAGGGGAAGGCTTGGGCAAAAGTTGGTGACCGGTTTGGATATTTTCGATGTTGTTGTCAGATTGTAGGGCATGGATCACATTTATCGTACATTTTGGCATAACTAGCGTGTAGCTACCGCAGTTTTCCCATGGATGTAATCATTAGAAGCTGGCTAACGTTGCACTGAGAGGCTCCATAAAGAGGAAGATGTCCACGGCTAACGTTAGCGATGACATCCAAGTGAAGTTTCCCCTGCACTCCGCAGTGTGGGAGAATGATTACAGGAAACTGGAAGAACAAATAACGATACCACAGGTTGGTAAATGCACTGAATATGCTGCTAGCCCTACAGACTCATGCTTGTTAGCGAGATGGACCCAGGAGTGAGCTGTTTAATCTCCGTAGCCATCTAGTTAAAGTAGGCCAGTCGTGTTGACAGATGCTCCAAAGCATCAGACACAGATGACGTTTGAAATGTTTATGAAGACGAAAAGTTAGCTGTTCATTGATCAACATGTTTGCAAGTTTAAAAAATGCAGTAAAGACTGATTGCCTGTTTCCAGGTGTGATATAATCTACAAACCCAATCCAGTAGATCAACATAGTATACATTTGAGTAGATATGATGACATAAGAAATGCTTTAGCTATATACACATTTGTGGTATATTGTGCATCTGACTATCATATGAATTGTGTAATTATAATTTTAAGATTTAAAAGCTTAAAGACTATAATGGTGAATAAAATCTTTGTAATCTTCTGACTAATCTAACAATGCAAATGCATCAATAATTTTGTGTTGCTTTTCACAGTCCTCACAGTTAATACTGTGTATTGTTGCAATATAATGACTATGATCCAGTCCCTCTAAAACAATGCTGATCAATAACACATTTACCTCAGCAGCATGACTCATATGAAGGCCAGACATGATGGTGGGTCTTGTCACCGTACTGACTACTGCAGTCCTATGTCATTATCAGTGTTGACCTAATGCTCTTTTGTTCATACAACAGCTTGTCATGTTTTACTACAGTATTTAGTCTAACCAGGTGTCTAGATTATGTGACACAAACAAAAGTGCAGGGGAAACATCTGGGTCTTTCTTTGATTTACTTAGAATGGCATCGAGACTGTGGATCCCAGGGGTCGGACACCTCTGCACTTGGCTGTGTCACTCGGACACCTGGAGTCAGTGAGAGTCCTTTTGAGACACGGCGCTGAAGTGACTAAAGAAAATGCCAAGAACTGGACAGGTTGGTTTTAAAACTTTTTACAGAACAGACGAGGAATGATACCGTGAATGTGTTCTTCACTTCTCTTGCAGATTTACGGGTTGTTTGATCGCTTAGATCCCTTTGTTCATTAATCCACACATCATCTGCTGTTAATGGTGTTTCTGGTAGAAAATGCATATCCACGCTCTGACTGACAGTAAAATAGTTTCACTTTCCTTGGTTATTACCGTCATTGTTTAGGTTCTTTAATGGATAGTCGCTGCTCTTGGGGAGCAGATGTGGTAACCTTAAAAGGTTTAGTGGTTTGTTTATACTTGTCTGTCTCTGTACAGTGCTGCAGGAGGCAGTCAGCACCGGAGATCCAGAGATGGTTCAGTTAGTGCTTCAACGCAGAGACTACCTCAAAGCCTCCACTGCTCTGGGAGGAGTGCCTGAGCTGCTGTCAAAGATCCGAGAGGTTTTACTTTATATGTTTCCCCATTGTCTTGTCATCCATCTGTACGGGTGAATGGAAACATTTACTGGTAAAAGAAATAACTGGTCTATTGTCGTTTGATCCACAGTCTCCAGACTTCTATATGGAAATGAAGTGGGAATTCACCAGTTGGAGTAAGTTCTTCTGTCTGTGTCTGTGACTGTGTCTGTGTCTGTGTCTGTGTCTGTGTGTTTATAAAATGTGCGTATGATTGATAACCTGTGCTAGTAGTATGACAAAGAAGGTATTTGCAAGTGTGTTCTAATGTAACGCCCTTTGGTTAAATATCTACACAAGATACAAAATATTTGCCAACCAGGAGGTTGCTTCAGGTCATACAGGAAAAACTACATACCTGCCTCTTTTTGTCAGTGAAGTTTTTGTTTTTGTTTAGTAATGAGTCACATTGTTTTTCATGTGCGGATACATTTCTTTCCATTGTGGGACATTCATATGCTGTGGCTTCACAGTCCCTCTTCTGTCCCGGGTTTGTCCAAGTGATGTTTGCCGCATTTGGAAAAGTGGCGCCAGCCTGCGAGTGGATGCCACTCTTCTAGGCTTTGAAAACATGACCTGGATCAGAGGACGTAGAAGCTACATCTTCAGAGGAGATGGTGTGTTTTTTAACTCTCTCACACAAAAAAAGCTCTCTCTGTGATTTATACTTTTTCTGTAAAATGATTTAAGTCCATCCCTGACTGTATTTGTACAGACTCGTGTGCCGAGTTGATGGAGGTGAACCACGACGATGAAGTAGTGGACACTGAACGCTTCAACATCTCTCAAGAAATGGAGGATGTCACACTAGAGTCAATGCAGCCAGCTGAACAGGAAGTTGCCAAAAGGTTGACTACTCCCATTGTCAACACCTACTTGGACACCAAGGATATTGCTTTTGAGAGGCAAGAGTCACACCTTTCTCTCACAACATGCACAAATTTAACTTCCTTTGATCAAACTGAAAGTGACAGTATTTCATGAGAGTTGGCATCTCATGGCATTTCCACACTTGTTTTAACATCATCACTGACTGAGGGAGGATACTGTGTAAACTTATCAGGCTTATCAATCATTATTTTCACTGATCTCTGAATGGTACTTCCAGTGTCACTCTTAGTATCTAATCATCTGAAATTCAATATTTATACCAACTGACTCGTTCAAAGGTTGCCTCACGGTCAGTGCTCACTTTTAAATAAGCACACTGTGTAACCCTACAAACTAACAACTTCAGGTTACAATCGATATTAACAATGTGAGCTAATTTAATTAACATGTTCGTCTTCTGTCATGTAATTAGCATGAGATATTATATTGTCATCATATTATCCTGCTAATCTATACATCATATTAATAATAATAAAACATCAGTGATGACAGCATCCCATATTTGTTTATTTTTATCCTGAACTAAAGAATATGATAGAATAAGATAATATGAACAATATGATTTTGCCTGTAATCCTGATTTGTGATTTGTGACAACTTCATGTTTTTGACTGTTTTTTTCCACAGGAACAAGTCTGGGATATGGGGCTGGAGAACTGACAAAACTGAAGTGGTCAATGGATTTGAAGCAAAGGTTCCCAGAAGTTTTCCCTTTTTCTTTTTTTTTTCTTTTTTTTTCTTTTTTTTTTATTAGAAGTGAAGTCACTGAAAATTGAAAACAGCCCGTTTATAATAGGATCTGACATTGGATTCTCGTTGTTTTCTCAGGTTTTCAGTGTGAACAATGTAAATGTGGTGATCAGGACAAGGACAGAGCATCTTACAGACGAGGAGAAAGCCAGGATAAAGAGTGAGTGCAAAATATTCCTCATGTATAATGTTTTTATACCCCTGTTTTTCTGTTTTTCAATGATTGATTGAGAGAACTAAAGTTAGACGCTTTTGTTCAAAGGTGAGAGGAACATCCTGGAGTCTCTGCTGGGGACTGTGGAGCAGCACATAAGTGCACAAGGGGTAACACATACATTCAGTAATTATGTTCAAATGATGTATTTTGTTCCCACTGGGCAGCTCATTTGATAGGACTGCTTGACTTCACAGGACCTTACTCTCGAGTATGCAACTGCCACCAATCCCACTGCCATCACGCCAGAGGAATATTTTGATCCCGACTTTGACCTTGGGAACAGAGACATCGGCCGACCCATTGAACTAAGCATTCGAACACAGAAGTAAGACACACCTTTTTAAGGTTATAATAACTAATACTTCCTCATAGCTGTGTGTTATTATGGAGTTAAGTGGTGTGCAATGCTTCCTGTAATCTTGTCTTGTGCAGGTTCAAAGGTACATTGTGGATGAGTGAGGAACATCCCCTGTCCCTGGTGGAGCAGGTAACCCCCATTATTGACCTCATGGCCCGGACAAGTTCCCATTTTGCGCGGTTACGAGACTTTGTAACCCTAAAGTTTCCTCCAGGATTTCCTGTTAAAATAGGTATGTGAGGTTTCTATAGAGACTGCACTTTCAAGAAGTATTTTCATTGCTCTTCTCGTCTCTTCTCGTTTTTTTTTTTTTTTTTTTTTTTTTTTTTTTTTTTTTTACATCTAATCTGTTATTCTCTTGCAGAGATTCCCCTGTTTCATGTACTGAATGCCAAGATTACATTTGGTAATGTAAATAAATGCAGTACTGCAGAGGAAGTGAACACAACACCAGCAGCCACGCCAACATCCTCAGGGGAAGATGAAGAAGCAGCAGGTAGGAATTCAGACAGTTTGACCACCGTATTAAAACACAAATTGTAAGTTTTTTTTTGTTTTTTTTTTTAACCATGTCTGTGATTTTTTTTTTTGGTTTCCTCCCATCCAGCATTGCCTCCGTTTCAAGTGTGTCCCTCAGTGTTTGTGGTGCCTGGCAGTTACCACCGCAGAGGGGGCAGCCGCCACACGCCCATGTCCAACAATGATGAGGAGATTTTGCAGTATGTCATCCATCAGAGTCTCCTGGAGTCTCGCAGAGTCCCGGGCCAGGTCAGAACAATAATCACCCGGCTCACCATTTTCCCGTGCTGTCCTTGATTGTGCAGTTCATTCCATCACTTAACCCCCTCCCCTTATGTTTGTGTCATTGTAGGAGGGGTCCGGGGATGATGCTGATGGGGAATTCAGTGACATAATCCCCAGTAGCCAGAGTGACAGGTAGGAGCACAGGTTAAGGTTTCTAGCATAACAATTGCATAATTACGTGTGGTAAAAGCAACAATCCTTGCTACTTAGATGAAACTGAATATCTGTTCACAGTACAGAGCTGGATCTCACTCTCTCCTGTCCGTGTCATTCTAGGAGTATCCCAGAGGGGGTGCTAGTGGATTATGGAGACACCTCCAGCCCCGCCAGCTCCATCTCTGCCTCTAGCCCCGACACAGACCTCCGCCTGGCCATGGAGCTCTCCGCGCGAGCTCAGGAGGAAGAGGAGAGGATGAGGAAGCAAGAGGAAGAAGAGCTGGAGAGGATATTGCAGCTATCGCTCACTGAGAAGTAAAAGGAATAAGAGGGAATAATAGTACAACTTTTCCAGATTCAGAAACAACCACCACACCTCAGTTCTCCTTCCTAACCACTGTAGTCATCTATGCAACTGCAGATTTCTTTCTGTAACAGATCATTCTTGCACAGGCAATATCAAACCCTCAGTATCCAATATTTTCCAAAAGGTATTTTTGGTAAGAGCATACTCCTTTTATATATTTCTATCTCAGCATAGGGCATCTCCATCCTCAAGCTTGATTCATGGACTCTTTGAGATAATTTCAAGTGGGTTCTACTTTTTATTTATTTATTTTCTTTTCCAATTCAGAGTCATAGCAGCAACTCACATGTGTCGATCGCATTGTCATCCGTAGTGCGGTCGAGTCAGTGTAATTAAGGTTCTTTGAACAAAAATGTTTGACTACTCCAGGTGACTTCATGTAGTGTTGGCACTCAGATGTGGCACTTAAGGTCCAGAAACTGTTGTTTTTTTTTTGTTTTTTTATTTGTTGTTGGGGTTTTTTTCCTGGTACCTGTCGCCTACTCTGGATCTAAAGAGACAGATTTGAGTGTTTTCACTGGGAAGTCTTCCCACAGAGTCACTTTGTTGAGGACCATGGGCTCACTGAAAAACAGAAATCTCAGGGTTTCAATTTTACACATTTTCCCTTCACTTTGGAATTTGTTAGTTAATCAGGTGTAAAAACTATCGATAATTGTAGGTAAATGTTTCTGTGGTGCATCATTCATGCATATCACTCTTCGCCATACAAATATTAATTCAGAAAGTTGAGTTCATTGAGTCAAAAGTTCATAAGTTCTTGCATGTTCCTTGTACTTTGACAATGTACACTCTACAGATGGGTAAACAAAAGCATGTTGCCATGAAAGAAACTTTAAATTGGCTGTATGGTAACGTAATATCTTTGCTGCATCAAGAATAGGGGTTTAACGTTCCTTTTCGTTTATTTGAACATTTTTCCTGCTTTCACGGTGAGACACAAATATGTCCTGTATTTGTGTTAACTGTCACTGAGCAACTTTAAGCATTATCACCTCCATTCAAAAATGCAATAGCAGAGACCAGTCTGTCTGTGGTTCTACAGCCGTCATGCAGCTTACAAGCAGTCACACAACCAGTGTAACAGAGATTTTTTTCTGATTCCTAAGGGCAGTCTGCCTTATGTAGCCATGAACAACTTTAGACCTCCGAGCAGAGGAAAAGACAGCACAGGCTGAAAGGTCCGGTGTAGCCGCCACATGTAGGATTAGTTTCTTCAGCATGTGCCAACAGATTGCTTTGCTCCGATAACAGTTGGTGGGAGCGAGGGGTGGTGCCACTCAGACTAAACTTTCTGAAAAAAAAAAAAAATGTTTTTTCTAATTTTGTAACTTAAAAACAAGATGAAGAGGGTGATGCTGAGTAACATGCATTAACCACTATAGTTGATTTCACTGACAACCAACCACTTATCAAAGGTCTGTCTGTGTTGCTGCTTCTGTCTTTCAGGGGCTTCAGCTGAAAAATCATTAATTACAATGATCAAATTGCCAAACTGCTGAACAGTCGACTTTAAAAAAAAAAAAAAAAAAAAAAAAAGGCTAGCTTTGGTTAATTTAATGCAAATGTTTGTAATGCACCGCTCAAGCTGCAAAGTTTTTTTTTAATATGTTAAAGTTTTAAGAAAATGTGTTGCTTTCAAAATGTTTCTAAAATAAAAGCACTTTATTTCCATGAAGACTAAATGGGACTTTGTTTGAGTAGGTTTACATTGTCAGGTGAAGTGTTAACACGTCCAAGACAAGAAAAGCTTCATATGATTTATCAGCAGTGAAAGGATTTCTTGGTTTGCTAGAAGCTGAATATGGTCATAGCCATTTCAGTCCAAACATGGACTCTGAATATAGCACATAATCAAAGCATACTGTTGGACAATTGGATTGTGCAGGATGCACAGCTACAACGCAGGAGGAATCTGTTCTAAAAACAGAAATAGATGCTGTTGCTGTTTAAATAAAGTCCGAATGGGTACGAGTGTCAATGAAAAGATTTCTAAATTCACTCTGCCTCTCTTTAATTTTATTATGTATTCATGTTTTTGTTGCCTGTTCAGTCAACCTAGTTCACTGTTGGTAGTTAATTTAGACTAACTGTATATCACAGAATCAAATGTAAAGCAGGCCAACCTCATCTGACAAGATGATGATGATGATGATGATGATGATGATGATGATGATGATGATGATGATGATGATATATGGGTCTTTCAGAGAGACAAATTCAGAGAAAACAATCACACATTTCATAGTACCACGTCATCTTAACCAGAACGAGAGCCTTCATCAACAGCGTTTCCACTGATGAAACTAATGAGAGCTCTCCCACTGTGGTGTAGTTTTTTTTAATGCTTGCAGGACTCAATGTTATTAACACATTTCCATTTAAAAAGGGCAATAAGATCAACAAAATACTCCTACTTACAGCATTGCCTTTAGTATTAAATTCCTTAAATGTCACACAAGCAAATAACTAAAGAAAGATTTCCATATTTAGAGAACACACCGAATTACAGCATTTACCTTAAATGTTAAGCCCTAATAAATAAATGTAAAAAAAATCTAATCATTTTTAATAAATAATTTATCTTATTATATAGGCCTACCCCTTTCTTTTTTTTTTTTTTTTTTTTGTAACAAATGTCAAAATAAATTAGAGAACGAAATTACAGCATATCAAAAATAGTAAGGTGACTCTAAAACACACAGTAACTCTTGAATGACCTGATTTTATGACTGAAGTTAAACGCTAAACTTCAGCTGGTAGTTATTTGTGCAGTCTGGGTGTTTTCAGTGAGGCCTCTCGGCAGGTAGGTGGCAGAGCTCTCCCCTCAGCCCGGTCCCGTCCGGAGGTTTCTGCTGGACCCGGGGCCGATCAGATCCTCGTTGCTCGGTGCAGGTGTCACTGTGCACCGGGACCACAGCACATTTGTCCCCGCGCCTCTTTTATCTCCTCCAGGTTTTCACCGACGAGACAGCGGCTTGTAGACACAGACAGCCATGATGATCATGAGCAGCAGCAGCACAGCGAGGACACTCCCCAGTGCGACTGTGAGGACAAAGACAGGAGCTGATCACAGCCGGTAACAACAGATAGACAGACTCCCTAACATGATGGATTAACTGGGGTTTCATTAGGGAGAAGTCGCCACTGTAGAACAAAGACTATAAGTCTATAAACACCTTACAAGAGCGTGTATGTGTGTGTGTGTGTGTGTGTGTGTCAGTGTCAGCAGCATCACTGGCCGCACTGACAGGCCTCACATCAGTCTCACATCAAGTCTCACCTAAATTCTGCTTCTGTAAAACCACATAGGCTCTCTCGGTCAGCTTGGAGTCCTCGGATTGTCCGCTAACTAACACACTAAAACACATTATTAGAGCGTGCGGGATGAGATGCAGCATCATAGTGGTGGAGGCTGGAGGAGGAGGATGATGATGGTGATGATGGTGATGAGAGTGAAGCGTTTCTTCTTCCGCTGTAGGATCTGGGTCCTAAGGCCGTTTGATTATCGTACTGACTCTTACAATTGAGACGATCAGGAAGTCGATGAATCAATTTGTCATCTGACAGGAAGTTAACTGGCAACTTTTCTAATAAAAGGTAAATCACAAAAGTCATTTGAAAACAGTTTATTTTACAGGTCAATTTTTTCTTTTAAATTATTCATCCATAAGTTTTTTTTTCTTGAAATAAATACAAGCAAGTATTTATTTTATTATATATTATAGGAAATTTTATTCTTCATTAATTTTGAATTGTCTTGTTGCTTGTTGATACGTTTAACTTTTTTTGCATCTTGTAGCACATGGTTGTGTGTAGGCCTACCAACTGGACACAGTCTCTGTTAATCCTACATTAAGTAGTAGCATCAAATCAAATTATGTCGTTATTTCCAGGAAACTTTCTGGGAAATTATTCTGAAATTAGAGACATGTAAAATAAAATGTTACATATTTTATTTAAGCAAAAGTGGTCCTAACATCTCAAATGTAAGTTTTCTTAGTCCACAATAGTAAATTGGATTTCTGCACAAACTGTAATAATAGCATTTTAAAAAAATTTAACAAGCAGTTAATAAATTACTCAGGAAAGAATTTAAGAAAAAAAATGATAGCGAAAATAATGATTCATTGCAGCCCTATTGTGGTCATGCCAGTCAGTGTGTCCTCTGTGAATTACTGGTTGTGGGGCTGCGATTGTTTTCATTATTGAGTACTGTGCCAATTATGATCTTGATTGACTGATTAATCATTTAGTCTATAAAATTTCAGAAAATACAGAATAATTCCCATCAGAATTTCTCAAAGTTACATCTACAGAATTGTTTGTTTTGTCTGACCAACAGTGAAAAACCCAGAGATACTCACTCTACTATCATGGAGAGATGACACAAAGATTAACACAGTTAATCATAGCTGATTAATTTTCTGTTGATAGACTAATAGATTAATCAATGGTCTCAGCTCTAGCTGGCTGATCTATACATAACTGCATGGACCTTTCTGCAGCTATTGACAGCATCAGGGTCCTGGAAGCTTCAGGTGTTTCCTGGTAGGTTGACTGTGGAAATACAAAGTGTATAAAATCTTTCCTCTTACTGGTAACCATCAAACAAGTGTGAGGCCTCCATCACATCATCACATTTCCCATTTCTGAAATGCCAAAGAGCAATGAAGAATAGATATAAAGGTCACCCTCCTTGGGGTTATATCCTTATATAATCACTCTGCATGACTGATGTATATGGCCTTTACCTTCATCCTCTATAGAACTTAAGTGCACAGCATTACAAACACTTATAGCTCTTAATTATATGCCAGAGAAGCTTAATGAGCATTAGGAAATGTCACTCACGGTGGCCTGAAATTAAACCTGGAGACTTCCTGGATAAATTCATCACAACAAGAAAACATTTCATTATCGCATGAACTCCAAGGTCCTTTTTTAATAGGATATCTGAAGGCATTTAAACTGAACTGAACAGATTTGTGTGTTATGACTTGAAAGGACACTTGACAGACTTAATAAGCTTAATAAGAAACTCACTCTTTTAATTATAAACTTATTGTCTGCATGATTCTGTGACCGTCATGTTTTTTGTCTGTTCCTTTTCATCAATGGATTTGAACATTGTTATGACAGCAGACAAGAGGAAATGTTACATAACGACTTGTTGATGTGTTATGTTATGACATCATGTCACACAAATACTTGTCTATTGTTTCATTTATGTACAGTACAGCACATTGAACTCCAAGGTGTTTATGAAAACAACAGTAACTGGAGTATTCAGTCAGCTGAAGCTGTCTAACAATTCAACTTCTGAGTCTCATCACTGTTTTACTTGACTGTAAAGAACATAACTGGTCTTTATACTCCAGTGGGTGTAGCCTGATTCAACTGACAAAGTCAGGTGACAACACCTTCTTGGAAGAGGTTAGGGACCTCTGGAGTCATGTTGAAGTGTATTAGACCAAATATCGTTCCAAAGTCAAATATTGCTGTTAGGTTTGGCTTAAATGTCCTTTTTAGCCGCAGCATGACTCCAGGGATGCTAATGTCGGTCTGTCAGTCCTCCACTTTAGTCCAGACTGAAAACAACTATGAAATTTTGCATGGCTCTCACAGAATGAATCCTAATGACTTTGGTAATCCCTGACTTTTCATAGTGCCATCAGGTCAAAGTTTCACTTATAGTAATAAATCTCAGTATACTGAGTTTTTTGTTTTTTCTAGTAATCCTATGATTTTTTTATCTAGTGCAATTATCAGATCACATAATGTTGATTTGTCCAGTACTCACTGTATAGTCTTACTGTATACTGTATACTCATAATAACTGTAGACTCATAGGTCCTTTTGATTGGCTGATGAGAAACAGGGCTAATTTCAAAGAATGTGTAGCCTCCACCTTTCTGCGTGGCGAGTCCTCTCAGGAGATTTTGTTTCCCTCCACTGTTCATGCACATTTGTCGGGCCTCAAAGACTCCCACTTGTACAAGAGGTTGGATTAAATTTCCCATCACAATATATTTTTTCTGGAAAACCAAATGACATTTAAAAAACTCTTTTCGTGAGTGTTTCGGTTGATCCAGCAAATTCGCGCAAATGCCTGACAAATCACAACAAAGACACAAAGAGTGTATAAAGATCCAGTATAGCCATGAATCAGTCCTGCTCACTGATGTATGACATAACTCAGACTGCTCTAGTACACTCAGATACCATAAAAGGAGAGATATCATGGTATAAAAAGTATGCATGCACCAGATGGAGTCATGACATACACAGTATATGTATTTAGTAATTTTCCCCTTAATATACTGTTTGTCAAGCTGTTCATGCCAGGTAGAGGAGAAACCATCTATTTAACAGTGTCTCTTTTATGTGTTTCCTGTGCTTGCCTGTTCTCTACTTCAATAGCAGTCACTGACACAAAAGGGCTTTGATCTGCACGTCTATCAACCAGCAGCTCAGTAAGGAATCATATGTTCCCAACAACCTTCTGCCCTCGCACACGTTCATACCTGCCATCCTTGAAATGGTTGGGCCTTAACCAGGAATGAAAAACAGTTGAATAAGTAAAGATCTGAAGGGCGCCGTGAGCATTTGAAGGTAAAGGCTGCTCTATTCCCCTGTATGTTGATGGATTCTGGATATTGCAAATTAGCCTGTTAATTAGAAAATCTAATGGAGGTGAGCAGCAACAGCCTTTACAAAGACATGACCATCACCATATGGAGATTTACAAGAACAGATCTCGTATGTGGTCTCCTGCACATTTACAATTCAGAAAAAAATATAGTGTTTGTTTTAATATAGATAGTGTAATTCAGCTGCTTAAAATACTGTATGTGTTTGTTTTTATTCAAGCTCAACCCCCAGGAATGAAAAGAAGCAGAAAGATGAAATATGTAATTTATACTGTTATTAATTTATACACATCTTACTACAGAAACCATGTTGAAGAGGACTGAAATCAAACAACAATCATCACCTTGCACACCACATTATTCTCAGAATATAAACAAAGTATAAAGCGCTTTTTAGATAAATTAACACATGTGACTAGGACATTTTTATACTGTATAGCTGCAAGAACATTTGAACAGTCTTCAATTAGAGAGTGAAAACATTGTCTGGAGAGGCACAATATCAATAAATAGCAATACAACCTTTACAATTTTATACATACAGTGTAATAATTAGGCAAATTAAGGCAAAACAGTCTATCTGGAGTTAAATGAAGCCATCAGATGAAGACCAAAAAGTTCATTTTGAATTTGAAAAACTACAGTAATACACAAACAGTTGCACATAGTTAAAATAGCTTCTTAATATATCAAAGCTCCTACTTTCTATGTGAAGTACACTCTCTAATTATAATTGGAAGATTATTATTTTAACGTGGTCTTTGTCTGAGTGCCTCACTCACCTCCGTTACAAACACTTGTAGGGAAAAACAACATTTTTAGCAGATATTCCAGCAGCTGGCATGAAATCCTATACAAGCACTGTATTACAGATTTACTGTATAAATATAAAATACAGCATTGAAAAAAAAAAATAAAGTATGGGCTGCAATTTAATGTTATTTAGGTTTGGTCCCATTTAATCTCTCTCCACGTCGGCTGAGAGGTGCTGACAAATTTGACATGAAAAACTTAAGCAGACATGCTCCACAGTATGTTGGTGACTGAATGGATAAACGACCTACTGAACAAAGTTTTTTTTTACATTACATTACATTACATTACATGTAATTGAATGCGAAACGCTACGCCAATGATTAGTTGTAAAAACCTGTGTCAACCACACTGTTGCTTCAAGTGAAACAGCGGTGTTTTGCCGAGCATGCAGAGCTGATTTCATAAATCTTTCACAACGTACAGAAAATATAGAACTTAATAGAAAAAGGCCCCATGCAATGGAAATGATGTGCTGAGTGTTACATATAGAAATACATGTTTAGATTTTCCTTGGCATCATGTTCTTGTGAGATAAATACAGCTGATTAAGGGAGGAGACTGTCCATTGAGTTTACTACTGACTCCTACAACCACAAATGGCAACATGTGAAAGCTATAAACTATCCTGGTGAAGTACTGCAGGTAAATCTGAATCATACATACCATACAGCTGAGATATGAGTATTGCTATCTCAGTTCCTCGTAGAATTACAAATTTAGCAGCATTTACTATTTAATAGAGTGTGCATGTGCTGTGAAAGTTGGCATGTTCCACATCATGAGCAGGGAATAGTCACAATGTCAGATCATGTAAAACAGTGGTTTGAATGGCAATCTACTGGTGTGTTATTCTCTCTATGGCACAGAGGCCATGTTGAGCGTGTCAGTGTGGATGTCTGGTATGGTCCTCTCTGGTCTCAGACACACTGCCAACCTCTGCAGAGAACAAGACAGTCATGGAGGAGACGCAGAGGTTAAGAGGTTGGAAGAAAATGTGTAATAAAGCACACTATTTCCTATCTCCTTCCTCTCCTCATCCGCTCACCTGTTTGAGAGATCCAGGGGTCCACACCAGCTTGTAGACCATGTAGATGGGGATCCACATGAAGGATGAGAAGCCAATGATATATCCCACTGTGATGCTCCAGTCTGGGTACTTATAATCAAACAGCGTGAGGGGCGGCGCTTTCAGCAGGGAGCTCACGATGATATACTGAGAGGAGTGGGGATACATAACATTTCCATATGTGTTAATGTAGCTTTTATATTCTGCCATCAGAAATAATAATGGGGATGGGTAATATATCTGTCACACTTCCATACATTATAAAAGAAATATATAAAGGAAGTCACAGTGGTGTAATAATGCAAAATGTCAACAGGAACACAGGCAGAGAGATGGATGCAAATAAGAGCCAAGGATATAAGGCTGCATGTAGAGGAGGGAAATTGACATTTGCCCAAGTGTTTCGCAATATACATGCTGTAGAAAAAGTTTAATGTAGAGGAGGGTTTAATCTACACATAGGGGGTCAGCTGTTAGGTCTCCACAACCTTCAAAGGCCACTGGTCCAGTTGTCTTTTGATCTTACCCTGAGCTTTCCCTCATATCTTGGTCTACTACAGCCCATTGATCCCTGTATGATTTAAATGGACAACAATTATTTGATTGAAATGACAAAATGTTAAACCAGAGCGACACTCAGTAGAGGGCTCCACCCAGGCCAAGAAAAAAGCCCTATCTACCCTACCCTAACATGCAATGTTAAGGAAAGTGGAGGATGGATCTGCTACTTTTAACCAGATCTGCACCCACATTTAATGGGTTCTTCCTTGGCCCATGCCCCATCCCTCCACCAAATTTTCTGCAAATCAGTTTAGTACTTTTTGCCTAATCCTGCAGACAAACAAACGAACAAACAAACAGACATGAGTGAAAACATAACTTCCTTGTCAGAGGTAAATCCTCCCAGTGTGTGGAACTGAAACAAATCGTATGGTTTTTGTGTAATGTAAGAAAACCACAGAGTAGTAGACATTCAGATTCAGTAAGATGTGTATTTACTGTAAATGTAGGTCAGAATATTTCATCTCTTACCGCCAGAAATGCTGGACTGATGGCGACCCAGCACACCTTCCAGAACAAACCTGGAGCTTTTCCCAACATGGCCTGAACGTCACTGCTAAATCTTTTGATGCCTGAAAGAAGCAAAAGTAACACGAGTCAGAGTCACTAACAGTATTTTTTTTGGTCACATGCTGACAAGATAATCAATTTACGTTACGTATAAAAGACTAAATCAATAATAATCTGTTGTTTACCATAGAACCAAGAAACTGCAATGGCCTCAAGGAAACCCACAGCAATAATGGAGCATCCAACTCCAAATTCCTCCAGCAACTTCACCACATAGGCACCACCCTGTCAATAACATTTCACACTGACTAATAACATGATCAATCATTCCTTTTCCTCCATTTGAGCAACAGACTGCAGATCTCAGTTTTAATTTACTAAACTGTATCCAGAACTACCTAAAAACCTTTGGGTAAATGTGCTTGACGATAAGCATTTCAAGTAGTGAGGGGTTGAATTTTGTTCTCTTTGGTTCAGTAATTTAAATTATGGAAGAAAAAAAAACAACTTACATTTGTAAGGGTGCTTAGAGAGCCCAAAAAGCAGACAACTACCAAGCACAGAACAAAAAGTTCACGTCTATGAGAGAAATGATCTGGGTATTCATCCAACACAGCAGTGATGATCGCCTCCAGCCCACCAAACTGAAACACACACACACAGTTATTACCACAAGTTGACATATACTGCATGTGTATCACAGCATATACATATTTAAAGCTGCCATCAAATTGATTTGGAGACTTTATGTTCAGTAAAAAGTAGCTCTACATATTTGCATTTTTTTAACTAATTGAAGATATGAGAATAAAATTATTTTGTAGATAAATAAAAGACTTCTTGTATTGTTGAAGAGCATCACATGTAGTTATAACAAACATTTACAGTAATACTATGTAGCATAATTTGATATGCAACTTATGAAAACTGACGATTAAAGCACCAAAATTAACGGTATCTAATGAAATAAAATATGTTGTTGCATAATTTTCCTTTATACATAAAGTGAAAGCCGTCATGTTCACAAAGCATCCAGATTTCACGGTTCGTACAGTGCTATCCAGCCCCAGCGTGATCATCATCACGAAAAAGATGATTGCAAAAAAGATCGAGCCCGGCATGTTTGCAATGGCCTCTGGGTACGTGATGAAGAGTAAACTTGGCCCTGGAAACCATGAAGAGATCAGGGTGAGTATTCAATTTTATAATTCAGTTTTTCCTTTTCATGATTTTATAGATTTCACTCACAGACCTTTATCCCTGGCTACATCCTCAACCTCCACCTGCCTCATCTCTGCCATGTAGCCCAGCACCGTGAAGATGACGAAACCCGACACAAAGCTGGTCAGACAATTCACCAAACTTGTCACAATGGCGTCACTGTTGAGGAAGAAATTAAACTGTGTTCAGGGACATGCAGCACAATATGGCTTGCACTCATAAAATGTTTCATTTCTGACAGAGATACCGTCGTATTCCAGTGTATTGTTTTCTGTGTTGAAAGCCATTCAGCACTTGGCTGACCTTCTTTGACCTTTGTTTAATGGGTTCCTTTATACACTCTCTTCAGCTTTGTTATGTTTCTGAGACATGAAGATAGTCCTGGCTAGCAACCACAGACATCCTGCAACAATACTAATGAGGAATGCTCAACTGAAGGATCTATGATGTTTGTTTATTAGAGATATAAAATGATCTCACCAAACATCTATCAGAGGTGAACAGTCTTGGACTAATTACCAAGTGTCTATATCCAGGAAGGCTCCACAGAAGAAGTCATTATATTAATGGCTTTATAACAATTTGTAAATAAATAAACATCTGTGTGAAAGACTCACACACATCTACAGTATCTCCTCCCAGTGCTGACTCTAAACAACTGTAACTGTGAACTGTTGCTCCCGAAGAACTCAACATTGAGAAATACAATCGTTTGTCAGGTATGTTGCAGTTGAAATGTTTTACTTTTCTAATGTAAGAAAGAAGACATCATCATCACCGGCCTCTACTTATGGAGCTACTACCATTCATTTCCATGACTTTGTGTGTCATAGATCCATGGACGTTGAGGAACAGCTCTTACCGATAGCAGTTATTTGTAAAAGGGTTGTAGCTGGAGAGAGCCAGGAGGACCCCGAACCCCGGCCCCAGAGAGAAGAAAATCTGAGCTGCAGCATCCACCCACACCTAGACAAGACAAAAACATAGAGTCATTACACTATCTGGAACTGTACAACTTAGATTGTCATTGATTTGAAACAGCACAAAAATACAGCATTTAGTACACAGATTAGACCATTTCTGCCTCTCGTTTCTGTGATTTAACACCAACAAATGATCATTTTCCTTATTTTCCTTCTCAGTGCTCTGAACCATCAGTATAATTCACCAAGCAGAGAGGTGTTGTGTCAGCCGTATAGAAATCTAGCTGATGCCCAGCTGTACGCAGGGAGATCTGAAGAGCAGCACGCATTCGGCATTAAAAAGACGAGGACAGCATTGGATATTGGTGAGTGAGACAGAAAGGGAGGCCTTTGTTAATGGGCAGAAAATCTAAACCAATTATGCATCTTATTATCCTGCTCTGTGGCTTATTTATGCATCTCATTTCATCTCATCCATATTCCCTTCCAACCAAAGCACTCACACATGTTTAGCAAACAACCACAGCGAGCTGGAGAGGAAGGAGAGGATGTTTCATAAATCTAAAAAAAAAAAAAAAAAAAACCATGGGCAGATTATGAGGGGAGTAGTGGGTAGAAGTGAATGAAGGTTTATATTAAACTACTGACTCTGATCCAAATGTGCTATTTCATTACACCAGAGCAGCAGGTTTATACTCATCAGGACTCCTAAATGCTGGTGGGACAGTGGAGAGAAACTTATTGCCGTTTTAGTAACAGCCCCTGGTCTTGCCCAGAGTTCTTCCTTTCGGCAAGTCATACACACTGAAATAGAGCAACTTATTGGATTTTCATTTTGTATCAACCATCAATTTGTACTCTGTGCTTTTTAATTCTCATTATTATTCCTTCTCTCTTCTTCTTCTTTCTGTTTTCCCTTTTCTTCAATCGACCTACATGTTAGAGAACTTTTCACCAACTGAAAACGATTCTGTTACTACACAATTGCTTTTAAAAATGAGTATGAAATACGATTCTCAAGGGACCAAACATTTGGGTCATGGTCATGTTTTTCTTGTTAGAAATAAGCAAATCTGGTCATTTCCTGTCGGACTGACTGTGCACAACTCACACTGGTCTCCAGCAGCTTCTCCCACTGCGGTTTTAGGTAAAATACCACACCTCTCCAGGCTCCTGGCAGGGTGGCGCCTCGAATTAGGAGGATGAAAAGCACAATGTAGGGTAAGGTGGCGGTGACCCACACTACCTGGTGTGGAAGAAAGAGGTTAATCAGGAAGAGCTCATAGACATGGTTAAAGCAAAGAATAATCTTCTTTATTATTACGGTCGTAAAGCAACTGCAATTTGCTACCTTCCCTGATGTCTTCACTCCCTTCCACAGACTGAAGTATACTATAGTGAAGATGAGAAAAAGGCAGAGCATCAACTGCCAGCGAACACCCCCGACGTTTCTCAGCCCTGATGCCTTGTGGATCTCAAGAACATTCCTCCTGTTCGGATAAAACACATAAATCATCAGGTCTTCAGCAGAGAAAACAACATGTCCTGTACAAATTCACCAGCTGGAAATATATGTGTGGAGTATCACTGTAAAGCTATTTACATATGTGGTTTCTGTTACTCACACTTACATGCACTTACGTGTAAAATTCCTCTGCCGGAGACCTGGAGGAATTTGTCCAGGTGACGTTGTTTGCGTCAAAATAATTAGTGCAGTCGGGGGTATTCCACACATTTTCACAGTTTGTCCAAGGCAGGATGCTGGTGAAAGAGGAGTAGAAGTAGAAGAGGGCCCAGGCGATGATGGTGTTGTAGTAGAAGGACACATACAGAGCGATGATACAAATGGCATATCCTATACCTGCAACAGAACAGAGAGAAGTCACCTGTGAAATGTCACTGTAAGGATTCACCGGCTTGAACATACATTTACACTGATGACATTACTTCTGGACAAGAACGGGATAGAAGTTATAACCCTATCACTGTAAAGAGTTGATTTTAAGTCACAGATTTGCCAAGGTAACTGGGTTTCTGGATATGAACATCTGCTGTGGAGCAGCGGAGTGCGAGGCCTTACCTTTGAAAATGGGACAGATGTGTTTCCATATGGATATGGCACCGGTTCTGTGGAACTGTCCCAGTGCCAGCTCCATGTAAAAGAGCGGCACACCGCCAAAGATGGCCATCAAAATGTAGGGAATAAGGAAAGCACCTGCACAGAGATGCATGAGGTTACATAGGGTTTTCTTTCATGAAGGTCATCATGACTTATTACTGTCACAAATGCAATGACAAACTGAGGACATTCAGAAACTCAACAATTAGGACTTAATGGTGCTTGAATCTGAATTTAAATAAGAAAATTGTATGAAAATTATGAAATGAGACTCTCATTGGCCTCATTTTTACATTTGTTAATAAAGTTACTGTATAAACTGTGGTTTATGTAATATTTCATCTCAAAGAGGGGATTTACAAGAATCTAAATCTTTATTTCAACAAACCATGGACAAGAACATATCATTGATTCCTGTAAAAAAACAAACAAAAAAAAAAAACAATTACTGTATATTCCAAATGAAATGATGATTAATTGCCCTTAGTTTCTTTTTAATCTTGCTTTAATTTATGTGCAGCACTTTGAATTGCTCTGCCTCACAACCGGATTGGCTGCTGCAATCTAACGACCTTCAGTTGCTGATGTAAAACTACTGAGTAAAGTACAACCTATCCCCAACACAATGCATAATGACTTCCAATAATGACCAATCTGTGCAGAATATAATTTTTTTAAGTACAGATATTCAATGTTAATATATATATTTTCTGCCATAAAACGCTTGTCCTCATATGAATTTGTCAAGGTTTCTACTGAATAAAAACATTGATAAAAAGTGACCGAAGAAAAATAGGTAGAGGCTGTGTCAAAGGAAAAGTGTAAAAACTTTTGAACTTTGAAGGCTACAGATGCGCACTTCAGCACCATGGACAGGTTCTGCTGACAAATGCGTCAGCCTGTTTTTCTGAATCATTTAAAGCCAGTTTGAGCAGAAAGTCTGAGATTTAATCGAGTTAAAAACTGTCAAAATATACTACAATATTTGCCAAGTGGATCCACAAATGAAGTTACACAAATCCTAACTTGTAAAATTGAGCTGAAAGGCCAGATTAAAAACTCTAAGCCACTTACCTCCACCGTTTTGATAACATATGTACGGAAACCTCCAAACATTTCCCAAGTCCACCGCAAACCCAATGACAGACAAGAGAAAATCCATCTTTTTGCTCCATTTGTCCCTGGAGTCCGTCTGTGTGATGACCGGCACGGGGACAGCGTTGTTGGAGCTGTAGCCGGGGTTCGGGGAGCCTTGGTGGGTCAGACTGCCGGCCATGACCGCTGAGTCCTGTCGGGGCATCGGACTGTGAAAAGTCAGTCAGAGGACCAGCTCCACGGAGAGGAGGCTGCTTCTCCTATAACGATGACAGGGCCGAGTGGGAGGAGTTGGTGGAGCTGCAGCAGACACTTGGGGACACTACCTGTTAGTGGAGACACACTTAGAGAGGTTGTTTGATTTTTACTAACTGCAGCTTCTAACACTCTCAACTAAAAAGTTCAATTTGAAGCTATATCGATTGTGTTATTACTGATCAATACTATGGATCTCTTTACAGCGCCTTTGTAGTTTTTGCAGCATGAACTAATTGAATTTTTCACTTGAAGACCAGCGAGTTAAGCAGCAGCTGGGACTCACTTCATCCGTTGAAATATAAGCAGCAGGTTGCTGTTTGTGTCCGTAAGGATTTATCTCTGCTGTAATAATAACGTGAGATGCAGACCACATGCTTTATTTTTGCTGTAATCAGCTTTATTGCTGCAAGTCACATTTACATGATCACAGTATGCGGCCTACCCAGATCACCCATTTTGACTTTCCATGATTCAGAGGTATTAAGTAAAGCACAGCTTTGAAGTATTTACTTTACTTGAGATTTGCCATTATATGCTGCTTTACAATGTGCCCTGTTATATTATAAAGGGACATGTTGTGTTTTTTTTCACAGATATAGTGACTAGTTAGTTTTCAGATCAAGGAAAAGCCGATAGTTTTACATTAAACCAGTGGATTCCAACCTTTTTGGCTTTTAAAACCAAAACTTGTATCTAGTGGGGCCCTTGAATTGTTGGCAGTAAATTTAGATAACAAAGAAGGGAAAACACTTCAATATTTCATAAAAAAGCAAAGGTTAGCGAATGTCCAAAAATGAATACAGATTTGTTTGGCAAAACTTTTTTTTTCTACCCCATTAATCATTTCATGACCCTTCAGATTTACGTTGTGTCACTCCAGAGGGGCCTCCACCTCTAGGTTGGGAACCACCGGTCTAAACTAGCTAATTGTGTACATATATTTAAAACTAACTCCACCTCATGATATATGATATAATATATAATGTATTAGATCTTATATATGATGTAATGTATGATAATATATCAATTATAGGGGCAGTACTTCCGTACTTTTACTTCAGTAGGATTGAATGCAAGGCTTGGATTATTTTTGCATTGTTGTATTTATTTCCAGAGGATTTAAACGCTTCCTTACACTGACAGAATTTAATAAGAGGCCACGAATATGTAATTTTTAAACAAGGTTTCTGGCGTCCTTCAGTAGGAAATCATATTCTGAGATCTTTTAGGATCAGTTTGAGTTCTTACACCGCCTCTAATCATGAAATTATGAGCTCATGAAAAATGTAATCTATTTCTGTTTAAGCAACAGGTTGCCCAACAAGATAAATACTGCTGTTACAGTTATGGCTATCAAGATTTATGTCTGCTGTTCATCATCCTTCATTAACAGTTACATGACATGTAGAGCTCATTATTCACACAATCACAGCATGTGCTAAATTATTGATTTATGGTCCATCAGAACATGATATAAGGCTTTGAATATATGAGCACCACACAATGGCTTACCTGCAAAAGCCTGTAACTTGCTCAAAATCTTTAGTTTATCTCTCAAAAGTAAATATTTATGTCAATGAACATGCCAGTGCCATCACAATGACAAGTTCTTGTGTCATTGTTTACAAACACAATAGTCAAAATGCATAGCCATGTTGTCAATATAACAGTAAGATATATATATCAATATAACACTCTGTAAGCATTTTCTGATGTAAACTATGAGTAAGGTTTTGATGAAAATGAAAATGCACAAGGCTACACACACACATATATTTAAGTGTGTGTGTGTGTTTGTGTGTATCTCTGTGTGTATATCTGTATTAAAGTATCTTTACTGTACACTGTAAAATGCGAGTGGACTACTGTAATATAAAGCATTACAGTATGTACAGAGTTTTACCGTATAGTGTACTTACCTCTTCTGTTTACAAAACATCTGAATGATTGATGACATGGCTGCTCTCCCTCACATTCAGGTGCACCCTTCGACCAGCCTCGGTCATTGTAACATCCTCGGCCTCATCCACCTCTTCCTCTGTTTTGACTCCCTGCCCTTCCACCATGGAGCCTTACTCGAGGCTACTTTACTTGAGGGTTCATGAGATGCACCTGTGAGCTGTTATAGAAAACTGGTTGATCATCATTGGTTGGTGTAACATTCCTCTTCATTAGTGAAAGTCAAGATTCACCTGAGAGCAATTCATCAATTCAGGACACATTTATAAAAAGGTCTAACAGAAATGTGTTGAAAATATGCTTGACAGACTATGATAACTGGTTCAACCACTCATGCAATGAACTCATACCTAGATGTTTTTTGTTTTTTTTTTTTGGAGGGGGGGGGGGCATTTAACAGAGAACCAGTATAATACATTTTGATCAACATGACAAAAGCAATTGATAATGTAGGAAACAGCAGACAGTTGCTGCGCCAAAGCATTTTTCAATTAGTTCAAAAGAATGAGAAATTGCTTTTATGATGTGAACAAGTGACAAGATGATGTGACGGATGAACAAGTAGTTTTGAGAATTTCAAATTCTGATCTGGGAAATGTACCAATGTGAGAAAAACTGTAAGAGATTTCTTACCCTTGATATTCTGAGATATCTAACAATCAATCTGAGCTCTGATACCAATCCAATAATATAAACACAGAGATTACAGATGAGAAAACATGTGTGTCTTAAGTGCTTCACAGTATATTATAAAAGTAAGTTATAAAATTTTGTCACGATATAAAAGTAATAAAAATACAATAAATAAAGCAATGTAAGGGCAATGAACAAGTGGGGCAAAAGTCAAGATGGTATAAAAAAAAAAAAAGGTCGAGACCCTGTTCAAATCAATGAGTAGATGGTCCATTTGAACGTCCAGAAGTTTGATACAGAAAGTTATAAATAGCACCTTGAGTCATCTTGACTTCCTGATTCTATGTTAATATAGTTTGGTGAAGACAGCAGAACAGAATCACAGCAGCTTAACTGCACTCATTGGGAAAACCTAATAAAAAGACTTTGTAATCAAATCCACCGCTTTTAGCATGGAGCAGGTTGAGAAGGCTGCTAACTGGATATTCAGAGAGCAGCAGTCACACAGGTCTGCGAGTGGAGAGAGTGCATCAAATGAAGTTACTTTGGGAAATGGATATGACACAGAGATAGGACAAGAGACGTCCAGCGCCATCATAAAATTGTCACTTAAAAGCCAGAGTGGCTGCCAAACTGTCTGGCGTGGTGTCACGTGACTTGTTGTCGAGCTGAAGCTGGGAAATGGTGAAATGTAGATGGTTTGTTTGATAATTATTACTCATGGAGGTACACTGTCATTCATCCATGCTGGTACTTCAGTAATTTTCTGCTATTGTTTGCCTCATTCAATGCATATTATTTTGCATGGATAGATAGATAGATAGATAGATAGATAGATAGATAGATAGATAGATAGATAGATAGATAGATAGATCTTCGACCCGCAGACATCAGCTGATACTTTGTATCTTCCCTGGTGATGCTCTCCCAAAGATCGACTGGAGCCTCCTTCAGCTCTTGCTTGTTGCGGGTCCACTCTGTCTTTAATCTTAAAATCAGGTGACTGACTGGGCCAATCGAGGATCTTCCTCCTCTTCAGCCTGAAAAGCTCTTTGGTTGCTTTGGCCATATGTTAAGGATCACTGTTCTGCTGAATGACAAAATGTCGTCCAATGATCTGACAGAATGCTCCTCGTACACCTCTGCATTCATCCTGCTGCTTCCATCCGCAGTGAAATCATCAATAGATGCCAGTGTTTCAGCTCCACTGGCAGCCATACATGCGGAAGTCATGACAGAACCACCACCATGTTTGACAGATGAGGTGGAGGCTTTGAGTCATGAGCTGTTCCTGTTCTTCTCCACAGTTTCCTCTCCAGCTCCACTGGTTTTTATGAACTGCAGCCTGGCCTCTCTGTTTTTGAAGCTTACCAGGGATTTGTATCTTATGGTGAATCCTCAGAGATTGTGGTCGTGAAGTTTTCTCTCGATCTTTGACAAGGAAACATGTCCGCCATCATTCTGGAGAGCTGTGCAGTCATAAAGAAGTTCTTCTTCACCATGCAAATGATTTTTTACTCATCAAGATGTGTGCTCCTCAGTCTGCCGGCTCGTCTGACATTTCCTAGTTTTCCAGTAAACACCTGCTTCTTTTTTAGGAAGTACCCAATTGCTGATTGATTGATTGTTTTTTTTTTATTTTTAAGCCTCATTATTATCGTTTTCACTTGCATGGTCACCTCTAAACAACCACACCTCAAGCTAAATGACATCTCTCAACTCTCAGTCAGCTCTGAGTCATGTGTGAGCTTTTGTTGTGCAGGAACTAACACTGAAACAACACGAAGCTGCCCAAGAAACATTTAGTGGCCAGTTGTCCAATAACTTTTGCAATTTGGGCATGATGTGTTAAAAGGGCTATGTCTCACTCACAGCTCATATATTGATGTAAACCTACTCAAAGCTGAGACTTGGCACTTTCATGTAGTATCAATTATTTGATTTCAAAATGAGCGTGCTGAAACTCAGAGTCTGAAGAACAAAGAATGTGCTTCTGTCCAAATACTTGCAGTCTGGACTGTAGATACTCTTTCTTTCATATTCCTGATTCCTTCAGATTCAACATGCCTTCTCATTGCTGGAGCTGATGAGGAGTAAACAATCGGCCGGGGGAAAGAGGCTGTGATTGCTCAGCTGAGGTGCGGTGGGGTCCCCGAAGGGCCAACAGCATAACAACATAACAACAAACCATATAGCACTGGCCTTCTCTAACATACAATCCTGTCAATCTGCATTGGCACACATGGGCAGAAGAACATCAGACTGACAGGAGCCTCTATCACATGCCCTGCTGCCTGTTAGAGCACGTCGACTCTAATCACACATGGACATGTGCATGTTGGCCCTGCCCACAGCCTCTGCTGGCAGGCAAACAGACATGGATATTACACAGCATTGTTATTTCTTACATGGTGGCTGGTTTCATTTGAAATACCTTTGAAAATGTAGATAGATTTAAGTCGATTGTGTCTTCTTCCCAGTATAAAAAATGACATGTATTTAGCTATAATATAATATATAATCACCGATGCACCACTGTGTGATTCTCATGAATGATCAGGGACTGACTTTCCTGATTTGGGATATTTCACTCCCCTGCTGACATCACTTCTCACAGTCATGTTTTTCTGCTGAATATTGATTTGTCTCATGGCTGTAAGTAAATGCTGTTGATTGTGAGCACTGAACAGACAAACACACACACAGACACACAAATTATATTGGTTTGCTTTTAACCAAAGACGAACTGGTGAGGAGCTCTGGTGTGCTGCTTACTCAGGCAGAAGTCCTGATATGGCATTTAACGAGGCATGCTATTACCTCGTATTATCTAAAGCCACTGCAAGGTGTGAGTCATGCCAGTGAGGGAATCCTGGGTTGAAGAGGATGTTTGTGTGGAAAATAGAGTAAAAAAAGGAACCAATGAAGCCATTGCAGGAAGAGGACTCCTAAATAAACTGCTGCTTCATTTTTTGATATGACATTAAGAAATGGTGACATCTCCAAATCCAAACTGAACCCCTGAATAGTGTATTAAGTGTTGTGTGGTCTGGTATTATCCTGTAAAATTATAAGCTTACAGGTCTCAATGCGTGATTAGGACAGGCTTTAGGACTCATATCTTGACATGTTCTTCCACAGAGGGAGCCCAAGGATTGCGCTGGTACTGAAACTATGGAGGGAGGTTTCACAGGGCCCTGCTCGTCTCAGTCTGTCATCTTGTGTTATCACTCCATCCTTTAACCACCTGATCTACCTGACAGCTCAGTCCTCCAGGCAGAACTGGACTTGCGGCCCCAAGACTCTGGTGTACTGAAGCCAACCAACTATTCTGACTCAGATGGTGTTTTTCCTGAACATGATCGCACTCATATGCTTCACGTAAGTGTGCAAACTTTTGCCATATTTCAATAAAAGCTGAAAAATTATAAACCTTATGGACTTACTGTTTTTTTGGGAGTGTCTGGGGCATCAAAAATGACACAGTCGCCATCTTCAGGACGGTATGAGTTACACCTATTTATAACTTATTGATGTGCATTAGAGGAATTATTAGAATCATGCATTTCATAAAATAGATCTTTTTTTGCACTTCTATACATCATTCTCTAACAAAAGTACTGAACTCAAGCTGCCAGATGGCTGTAGTGTTAGCATCCATGTTTACTATATTGTAATGTGTGGAAGTATAATAACTTTGTTTTCTACAAGTTACAACACATATTTACAGTTTTGGGTTTGTTTGTTTGTTTGTTTTTTGTTAACCCAGCATTTGTCCTGATATGCCTCATGTTTTGAACTCCAGACATTTTTTGTTTCTTTCCTGAAGCAGGTGCTCTGGAAACAGACTGACAGGTCCTGTATGGTTTGAAATACAGCAGAGTTCTTCCAAGTTCTTCTGGGTCAGAATAAATGCTGAACCACATTTTAATTAGCCTAAAAAAAGAAAAAAAAAGAAAAAGAAGAAATCAGTGTGATTTGCAGATACAGGATCTGGTGAGCCACAAGAATGATCTCCCTAACAGTCTTTCTATATCTTGACCACCAGATGGCATGAAGACAAAACGTTTCCATGTCAGAGAAATTTACAAGGTAAACTCAGACCTCGATTTATCATATGCCCCTGTTTGTTTCAGCTCAGGGATTTTATTTTTTGTATGTATTTGCAGTGAATGGCTGGATTGCTATGGAGAGATAACAGCATTGCTCTAGAGGTCAAGTTATTATTGTCTACTTCTTAGTGAAATTCATCCTGAAGTCTCATCTGAGTTATTTACAGCATATTTGTGAGGCAATGTTCTTGTTGTAGAAGGCTATAATTAATGGTCAATATACTTAGATTTTAGTGCTTGGAAGTCCCCCCCCCCCCCAACACACACACACACACACACACACATACACGATGACAGCTGTGCATGTGTCTTTAAGAGGCGTGTGTTTAAGGGAGGTGGAGTCGTGAGCCACTTCGCAGTGTTCAAGCGGCACACAGCTGATGGGAGGGGTGCTGCTTGCAGACAGGAGACAGGATCTATGGCAACAATCATGGCAGGTGGGAGCAAAAAAAAAAAAAAAAAAAAAGGAAGCTAAATATTTCTAAATCCTATTTGTGCTCTTTTGAGAATCCAAAATAAGTTAAGTTGTGAGAAATTGTAAAAATAAAATGTCTTGTGTTGGACTGTTTGTGCTGTGTTTTAGAGGCAGAGACCCGTCAGAGGCTGCTGCGCACCGTCAAGAAGGAGGTGGGTGTTATCGAGTTATCGAGTTGGAAAAACAAAACACGTTGGTTTGTATGAACCTGTGTAATGCAGCCTGTACACGGGGAGGATACTCTCAGATGATCCCTATCGCAGATATGGCGTGGATGCTCATCTGTACCACAACCTCTTAGAAAAGATTAGAAAACAAGTGTATATTAAATACAAAAATACCTCTAGCAACAATTTAAGCACAATTGATTGGGGTTTTTTTCTTCTTAAAACATATATTGTTTGTTAATTGTTCCCTTTGTGAGTGCTCGTGCTTCAGCTGAGTAATTATTCGGTGGAGAAGCATCATGAAGGAAACAGATTGTCTGTAGTCAGTGTTTGTGGTGTTTATGGCAGAGCAAACCTTCAGCCTTCTGCCAAGCCATTTGGTGGTTTCAGTTGGATACAAACCGTGTGTGTGTGTGTGTGTGTGTGTGTGTGTGTGTGTGTGTGTGTGGTGCATGGAATGAGTTATATGGTGTTGAGTGGACGCAAATATGGAAGCAGTTCTGGTGGTTTGTTCAGCTGGTTTTTCAACACTTCATGACATTAATCATCATTTGAGGTTACTGCAGTAACACAGATGACTAGGGTTCAGCAGAGATCAAATGAAATGTCACTACCATTTAGTCTGTCTGATGGTTAAACCTTGAATGAGGAGCTCTTCACCCCTGCAAATGATCTGCCATAGTAACGTACAGGAGCTTTTTGCAGGATGATTTTGGGGTCTCAATTTGCACAGAATGACATGGAATATGTGACCGCTCTCATTAAGGTCTCTCACTGTGTAACTGACTAAATATCACATAAAGTCTGTCATCATTTTACATGAAGGAAAATGGTGCTGATGCTGAAATGAGATGCAAAACTCAAAATAGCATGAGCATCCATTTGGAGGAAGGAGAATGAAATGATTCTGAGTGTTCAAAGCAGAGTCTTGCCAATTCAATAACCAGCTCACCGAAGCTGCTTATTATGGCTTGATATTATCACATTTTTAGGGCCTGCTCAGTCCCACTCAGTCTTATTCTGGTGAAACTGCCCAACAGTGTTCATCAGGATATGAAGGACTGAAGTCCAGTACTTTAAGACTGTAGCTGTTAAAAATTCAAAACTTAAACAAGTATTCAGGAGTTTTTATTCTTGCTAAACCTCTGAAACTGCATTGAGCTCACAGGATGCTGTTGCACCTGATATTCGTAGAAGTTTGAGTGTAAAGTCCTCCATAAGTTCCTACAGTTCGCTGTTTTCACACTAAATTGGATGGTGCCATTCAAATTTAAGAATTACCTTAGCTAGTAAAGCTGCATTCAGGTGATGTCATTTAAACCGTAATTACAAGAACATATACATCAGTCTCTACCTTCTGATTCTAAATTAGAGATATTGGTAATTTCTGACACTGATGATAAATCCCCTTTGGTTAAAAGAACAAACTGTTGGAAGACTGGTTGCAAATGCTGTTCTTCCCACTCTGCCGACAGTGCGTGAATGCACTGTTAAATAATGTGTCACTTGGTTGCTAAGAAATCAATCAAAAGCAATCAATTAGGCAAACAACAAGTCTATGTAGCACCACCAGCTGAAAGATAACCTAAAGAAAAAGTTTTAGCAGGGCCAAGAGATATATTAAACTTACCAGACAATCCTATGTAAATGCAGATGAACCTGTTTTGCTTAAATGTAAATACATGGAAATCCGTGAGTGTTATGATGTAGTGCAGGTTTTCTAATTAACGTTATATAAATATTATCTGTATAATGTTTTTTAATTTGAGTTACATTGCGTTATGTGCTTTCATAAATATTAACTTCATAATTTAACAGCATTTACACAAGGTAAAATGGGTGTGATACATCGACCTCACTTATTCTACTCTGTTTATATTAGCAAGCCAACATTAGCCTTGTCAGTTGGTTCAGGTTGCTAACTTAAACAGTACCTGACAGTTACTGCGTGTAAATAATAGGCTAATCATTTCTATGTAGGACCTAGTTTGTGTGGTGAAACCCATTTTAATTTGTGACCCATGAATCCATAGACATACAGTATGTACGTATGTACTGTATGTCTATGCATAAATCACCCTTAGTAAACACTTTTGTCATGTAGCTAACAAGCTAGGCTAAGCTAACAAAAGCATTCAAGTATTCACAGTGGTTAAAAATATTAAATACTTAAAGTTTAACCAATTCAGCTTTAAACAAACTGTCTATAATATATCAGTGTATTGAAGATAGATGATAGTTGATTGATTGTTTAATGAAAGCTGAATATCAGCTTGACCTATCAGCAAACTGTTGTGTGTGTCAATCCATTGTGTCTTTATTGTCCTACAGTGGTGTGTACTTTGTGGTCACTACTGTTGAGGTTTTTGTTTCCCTCTGTTTGTTCAGGGAATGTTTTCTCAATATCACAAACAGCTCACTTAACATTTACACATTTACAGCAAAAACCTTCAGCCCTTGTAGCTTTCCAGTATAACCTAACGTCTTCTACTGTTGTTGCTTTCGGTCACGAAAAAGCTCAACTGAAGCAGAGGGACATTGATAGTTTAACACAGTTGAGAGCGTTATTCATTCCCTTTTCCTGGCCAGATTCCTCTCAGTCCAGACCACTTTTCTATCCTCCTTCTGTTAACAACTGATGTATTTTTTTTTATTAGTTTCATCTCAGATTGCCTCATAAATTACAAGACTTTATTTCTGCCAAACAAACAAAGATAAACATCACATCCTGGATCTTGTGAAAGGAGGAATGTAGAGACTTTGGTCTGATTTGCTTTTCTCTGAGTCCTGTTTGCAGTGTTATCAGCCAAGACCAGACCCTTTCCAGGATTAAACCTGCTTCCTGTGTGCTGATACAACCTTGCCGAGAATCATTCACCGTGGCTACTTCACTGTTTACCACAGATGCAGCCCAATGGAGTCTGTAGATGAACCAGCAGCATAGTTTGTTAGAATGACAGCTCACTTTATTCACATATAGCACTTCATGAAAATCAACATTAACCTATAGGGGATTTAACAAAGAATTTTCATTTATTTAGAGGAGGTTTTTCAGATATATCTATTCCCCTAAGAGGAAATATAAATGTTGTTTTGGTTTGTACTGTTTTCCCATTAGTTTATGATTATTATTACTCTGTGTGGGTTATACCATATGGTGTTTCTATGCTGTGCGTTCTCACGCTCTCCTCGTCCAGCTGGTTATGTGCCACCAGTCTGCTCAAATGTACCTGGATGTGGGCCATTATCCAGCGAGCGCAGAATGTCTGTAGCAGCAGAATTACCTTCTGGCTCGAAATTGGTTTGAATGAGATCTCTTATTTGCCTTAGCTTTGATACAGAACCCGTCTCTCTCTGTCTCTGCTTTCTCCGACGCTTTATCTCGCTCTGACCATGCTCCTCCCTCTGTCTTTTTGTATATCACTCGTGTGCACACAAACACAAATACACATCTGTGTTTGCTAAAGGAGAGAGCGAGAGGGGGAGAGTCTGTTGGAAAACACACAGGCCACAGGGATTTGCACCATTTACCTTCCTGTCTCACTTTTTTTTTCTTTAAAGCTGAGTGCTTACTTGGGATAAGGTTTCAGCTAGAGGAGCATGAGATAATCCCCCAGTCTTGTTCTATGTTTTATACTTGTCTGAATCCTAGTAGCATGTTGATAGAAAACAATAATACAGGGTTGGTTCATGCTCCACGAAAAAAGCAGCAGGGAAATCATCAATTATTGTTGTCATAGATGACTACAGATGACTATTATACACCTTATGACCTTTCAAGATGAATGTATTCATGATCAGGTTTTGGTATGGATGGCTTATGCTAGTTTAGACACCACTTGATCATCAAATGAATTACAAGGTGCTGTTGGCATGACAGCTAAAGTAATATTTAATGTGCTGGACAACCTTGTGTGAGTGAAGAGTGGAGCCTCTCCTCTCTCTTTTCCTCAGCCTGAAGTGATAGTGTGTGTGCATCATGTAAAATTATTTAAGATTAAAAGTTCACTCTTGACTGTGGAGGTTGAGTCAGCATGAGCAAGAAGTCTTCGAACATCTACATTTCCATGACAAGCTTCATCTGCTGAAGAAGATCATGTGATATGATCAAAAGCACCACGACAGTTACTAAATGGACCCTGTGCCTCCTTGTCAGCACTTTCAGGTTGCGTTGTGGTTGCATTGATTTTCGCGGTGGAATCAGGTTCCCTGCCTTTTAATAGTTGCTCAGTCTGCTCATTCATTATTAAAATATTATTCAAATAATGGAATCATAATTTAAATACACAGCTTTATATCAGAACTGTGCGTGTGTGTGTGCGCATGGATTACCATGAATAACACCCCCCCCCCCCCCCCCGGTTGCTCCCTTCATTCATCAGCGGCCACTGAGATGATGAATAATGAAGGGTGGATGTTAATGGATGGGGCTTTCTCTCTGGCTCTTATTTCTTGGCTCTGCTGTTGCAGGAGTTAATTGGAATACTCTGAAGATCTTTTATCACTCTGGCTGATGCCTCCGAGCTACAGTGGTGAGTTAGAGCAGATTCATCAGGCTCTGCTGCTGCCACAGATATTAAATGACCGTTGTCATGTCATGCACATAGTTTTATCTATAAATTCCAGTGAAAATGTATTTTGTGGTGGTATTTTTGTAGATATGACTATTATACATGGTGTTTTTTTGGGTAGTTTTTTTGCATTGATTATACCAAATTAAGGCATTAGGTCTCTGTGAGGTTGGACGATGTTTGAAATGCTTTGAAATTACTAATGCACAGTACAACTAGATATTATTAGTTACTGTAGGTGGGGAGCTGCAGTCTTTTTGTTTATTTCAGAGATGAATGACTGTTGTTGACGCATCTTCTTAGGCAGAAGTGATCCACTGTGCGACACGTGCTGTCTCCATAGAAACCCGCCGGTTGTCTGTGCTTCGACACTTCGCCATATAAATTCCTCAGAGGCCTGATCCATAGCCCAGATGAGAGAGATGAGAAAACACAAGGAGGAGTCTGCGTCCTCAAGTTGGCAAATCAATCAGCTTCCCGTATGTCAGGTGCACTCAGAGAGAAAACTGGTGCAAGTCCCCTGCGTTTTCTGTGTGTGTGTGTGTGTGTGTGTGTGTGTGTGTGTGTGTGTGTGTGTGTGTGTGTGTGTGTGTGTGCGCGTGTGCGTGCACACATACAGGCTCTCTATATAGGTCTGATCATGAGCAGAGCGGGTGTGCATCACATCAGAGTGCCACCGTCTCTGTTGTGTTGGCAGCATGAATCATTTCTGTTGATGCTGAGGATAACAATGCTACTGATGCAAACAGGCAACATTTGCATAATGACTGCTGTCTAATTAGTGAATGTTTTTATTTATTTAAATGTTTACGGTGGTGGTGGTGGGGTGCAGGGTTTTGGGCGCATCTGTTTTAGTTTTTTCATGAGTCACTTTTAGGGGCTCGTCTTGCATTGATAGTGACTGTGCAATCAGTGCTCGGTGGGCAAATCATGGAAAAACAAGTTGTTTTGTGTCTCTCAGTTAAATCTGTTTCTGTTGTTTTGTTTTTCTCCCTTGATTCAGGAAAAAAAGAACTCCATATGGACTGATGGGTGTGAAAGCATTTACATATGTGTGTTTAGTCTCTTAATATACCAGTATTATACCAATTATACCAAGACACAGTATCTTGTAACACAGATTACAGATAGATGCAAGCATAGTTATTTTCTTGTTTTTTATTCTTCTTTCAGGTATTTTGAACTTCATAAAAACATATACATCAGGATATATCGATAACACAATGTAAAGTTTCCAGTGGCAGAAAGTACCTTTACTCAAGTACAATTTCGAGGTACTTGTACTTTTTAATGCTACTTTATACTTATCTACATTTCAGAGAGAATCTAGTCCTTTCTGCTCAGCTACATTTATTTGACAGACTACTAATTACTTTCAAGTAATTAGTTAAACTCTTTACAAACAAAACACATGATCATCTTTTGAAAGATGATGCACTGTCTTAGATTTAACTACCCAACAGTATATACAGGAAAGTAGGTAAAATTTGCTCCATGTTGACCAGCTACAACATTAAAGTGCAGCATAGCAATGCATCCGTAATAACAATCTAATAATAACAGAACAGTCTGACAGGGTGTGTTTCTTCTGACTAATATTTACTTTTACATTTCAAATACATTTAAACAGTAATACTTCTGTTATTAATGCTTTAACTCGTAATACATTTAGTTATTACTACTTTTACTGACATAAAAGGTCATCATACATCTTTCACCACTGAACATTGCAGGTATTATAATCCATCTGTGAACAGCAAGTAAAAAAGATATAAAAATCACTGGTCCATAAAACTGAGCCGTAGTGGAAAATCTAACATGAAGACAGAACTTTATCTGCCGGAAAATTTTATGATGAAGCTGTAAATATCAGACCATGAAAACTAATATTGTTTGACAGCTGGCTGCTTCATGACCACTGAACTGCCTCACAGGGAAAAGATCTGCTCACACAACCGAAGGATTTAATCAATGTGTAGCTTAGAAAAAAAAAAGTTCAAAACCAAGCAGAGGGAACCTCAGCCACTGGAGTGTGTGTGTGTGTGTGTGTGTGTGTGTGTGTGTGTGTGTGTGTGTGTGTGTGTGTGTGTGTGTGTGTGTGTGTGTGTGTGTGTGTGTGTGTGTGTGTGTGTGTGTGCGTGTGCGCGTGCGCGTGCGCGTGTGCGTGTGCCTGCGAACTCGGTGGTGTAGTATGGTCACTGTGGACAGACTCATTTCAACAGGAAATTACAGCTGTCTGTGTCCGGAGGTTGATATTCCCCATGCAGATTGCAGATTGGTGCCCACACAGGGGGACGTCTCCATAGCCTCTGAAGGGATTGATTTATCAGTCATCTTAACTATTGGTCTGTAGCTGCTGTCAGGTCAGTGGGGAGAGAAGGGCACATTGCTGTGACAACAGCTGGTGACTCATCCACCAACTTAGCATGCACTCTCCCCACACCATGTTTTTCTACCTCTTAACTTTTCAAACCCCCCCAAACTGACTATGTATGCGCTAGTTGTGGCATATTAATGAATGAGTCATCCAGCATCTGCTGTGTCATTGACAGGTGAAGCAGATTATGGAGGAAGCCGTCACCAGGAAATTTGTTCACGAAGACAGCAGCCATATAGTGTCCTTTTGTGGTAAGTAACCAAACAAACAAATGAATCTCACAGCTTTGGATTGAACAACTCTGAAACACTGAAAAGGGTCTGAGTGATTGTTTTTTTTTTTTAATTGACATCATTCCTGATGTTGTCTCTTTTATTTCATTAAAGTTGCTGTGAAATTTGCTTTATCTCCGCCTCAGACTGTCTAACCTTACAATGTGCTACTGTTTGTAGGTACGATATGAGTCCTCCTTAATAGGGTAGGAAGTTAAGATTTTAGCCACTACATGAAAGACAGGCAGTTTTCCACAGTGATGTGAAGATCCCCATGTGTATAATAAGTGAGAAATCAAAATAAATGACTTTCAAAGTTCAATATTTCACCAAATGTTATTGTTCTTGCCTCCAATAGAGTGCAGCACGATTGCTGTGAGAAACACACTGCCCACATGCAGGTGCTCACACTCGTCAGATGTCTGGCTCAGTCCAGAGCTGTAATCAGCAACACAATATATTTGGGGAATTTCAGTGTGTGAATAAAATGACTCTCAGCTTGCAGAAAATGTGATATTTTTTATCAGATGGAGGCCATGTGTGCAGACAGAGATGGTTCTCATACTCATATGATGAGCCATTAAATGTACGAAAATGTATTTATGGAATAAACAAGTGAGCAGCCATAGAGTACTTGCCTTGATACAGACCCTTATTACCATGCAGAAAAATAGTGTGAATAAATGAGTTCATGATACTATCAGGTAAATACTGTATGTGTGAAGAAAACAAAAATATGAAGAAATCGTTGGGTCTCTATAGACCTGTCTGCTCTGCCGTGTTGAGACAATGTAACTTCACACTAACATTACACAGACTTCGACTGCGTTAGCATGAGCCACGGTCTCACCAGATATTGTGAGGATAACAGTAAAGATGGTCACACACAGTAACATTGACCCATAGCTTAATATCATCCTTTTATATTCGTCTGAACCAAATAAAGTCAAAAGAAAATTAAACAAAATGGTGTGAAGGGAGAAAAGGATGTCCCACATTTCTTACTGCTGTCGAGATAATGTACGATGCACAGCGTCTGATGCCCTTAGAGGTAAGATTGCTACATCATGAGATCCAAGTACAGCTAATTTGGTTTTCATAGTGTGAAGAGAATTTTCAGCGCAGCTTGAAAACCCATTAAACCAGCATAAGTGAATGATTTTGAACGTTCACTCCAGCAAATAATCAGTGTTCCCCAAATCTCTTTTTTAGAGTTTCATTTCTCTCTTGGAGGATTATGATAATAATTTGCCAAAGAACACAGTTTTTATTACACTGTGATGGAAAGTCTTTTTTAACTCATGTCAGTGTCGTTGGCATTGTTTGTGCTTGATTTCCACGTGTCGTCAGATTTCTTGGCCTGCGGTTTGATCATCTAAAGGCCTGTTTTAATAGCTGCTGCTCAGGCTGGGTTTCTTTCCTCTGCTACTATCATACGTCCCAGTGGACGCATCGCAGCTCAGGATGACCCTCTGATCTCTTTGTTTTGTTGTCAGCCAACTTCCTCCTCCACCTGACTCCTCCTATGATCCTTATAGTGGCTCTTGTTACTACACGTCCTCTTTCAGCTGCGGTCTGTTTAGAGATGAGAGTGAGTGGAGGATGGGAGAGGAGCTCGACCAGCTCACCAGGGAGCAATTAGCCTCCGCCATCATGGCTGCTTTGATAAGCTGCCCAGGCAGAGGCAGCCAGAGTCTAAAGTGTAGACGCTGTGGAAGGAATGTGTGTCAAATTGCCACTGGTGACAGTAGATAGTTTAATTGATAGATTAGAAACTGTTAATTACCTTAACTGAATTTTTAGTCCTTGCTCTACCCACTCTTTCTCCCCTCCTCCGATCCTGTGCGTTAAAGTCTTCGCTCATTACAGTGAATCAGTCAAAACAGTTCTTCTAAATGGCCTAGTCTCCCTGACTTGTGACCAGATTTCAATTGCTTCATTTGATTTTTGCCTTTAGAAATCCACCCTGACCTTATCAAAAAGTCACCTCCACTTTTGCCTGCTGGTGACATGAGAGGAATTGATGTACATTTGTAAACAGTTGTTTTGAAAACTTTTAGTAGCTACCAAATAAAAAAAAACCAATCATTTGTATGTTGCAGCAGAATGACTTAAAACATATTTATGTCAGCAGCTAATGGCTGTTGATTAATTACTTATTCATTTAGCGGTTTAGCACTTTAGCAATAGCAACAGCGATTAAGTAATATCTTCTATAAAATGTTAAATATTAGCGCAGCACACTATTTCACAGGATACTAGAGTAAACGATGAAAAATGTTTTTTATGTAATTATATGAAACAAAAGAAAATGCTCACATGTTAGAAGCTATAATCAGCAAACATATGTTTTTATCAAAGCTGATAAATAACACAAATGATAAACTTATCAGAAGACTATTGACTTACTGACTAATCATTTCAGAACTGTCCATGTTATGAGGTTGAGTTGTTGCCTTTTGCTGCTCTGAGTGAATGTTTGGTCAGCTTTGTGTGACTGTCCAAGACTCTCTTAATGCACTCAGTTGCCACAGATACAGGATGATTAGAGGCAATTTACTGTGTTAGCTGTTTTTAACGGGAGGGGCTGCACAAAGGACTGATCCTACTGACATGATAAGCATTTTCTTCTTGGCACATATAACTGCTGTTTGTGATAGATAAAACATTTCATCTAACTAAATACGTTGATGGGCTCGCATGTGTATGCCCCCACCCTGTGTCTCATTCTTTCATTTATATGTACTCTACGGCGATAAACAAATTTCCCAAGTGTGCGATAAGCAAAGTATTGTTTGTAGATTACCGCTGACGCTGTTGTTCATTTCATATGAAGATTGTCACTGCAGGGATTGTGGTACACTGACTGGAGACAGTAGCTGTCAAAAAGTCTAAAGGTTTGGGAGTTGGGTTCTTTGCATCTTTCTTGGCCATCTGAGACTAGTTAGTGGAAATGATGAGAAAATAAGAAGGATGAACTATGTCTGGAGACCTTTTGATGTTACGTTTTGTTCTGACATTTAGCTGCTTGCTCTTATAACGATGTGAGGGAAAAACAGAGAGATAAGGAGTAGAAACTGCAGGAAGAGAGGAAGAAGAAAAGATAACATAAGATGAGAGAAAAGATGATGAGGATATATTTTAATTAAAAAAAAAAAAAAACAATACCTGAAAGTTGGTGGCTCTGATGATACTTTTATTGGCTAGTTTGAAGTAAAAGACTGTTAACAGTGATCGTAGTAACAGCAGTGACAGGTTTACAGAACGACAGGATGGAGGAAGGAGAGAACCCGTGTTTGAAGGAGTGAGGGTGATGGGAAGAGAGAGAGATCGTGATGCTGATGAGCCGCCAGCGCCCCTCCCTCCGCTCGTCTCTCCCAGAGCTCGATCGCTCCATCAACAGGGGTTGCCATGGCAACCACAGCCTTCCCCCTGACCCCATGTGAGCAGAGCCACAGGATTAGTCCTGAAAGGGAACTCAAATGTCAACACAGCTCCAGGCACTGCCACGTAGGCCCGAGAGAGAACAAGCGTGTCTGTTTTTCTGCACAGTCGAGTGATTGTGCAAGTGTGTCATCATGTCATCCACTTGTGTGTCCAATACAGCTTATTGGATAAACTTATCTTACGTGAAGATGATTATGTGAATTAAAAAAGCTATTAGAGAAACCACTTAGGAAATGATCAGTCTTCAAAAAAAAACCCAAAACACTTAAAAACATATGGTTTGAATGGTTTGGTTACAGCTGAAACATGTAACATGCGATATTCATATACACAGTACATGCACTGTGTGTCATTATAGCCTATGTATGTAAATATACACACATAAAATACCTGTTTAGATATGCACATAGTAAAGTTTATGGTAATGAAACATGGTAATGAAACACTGTAGCCATCTGGTGTGTTATGTACAAATGCATTGTCACTATTGTTTGTTTTTAATATATGTACCCAAGACTCCCTGGAAATCACTATTGTCTCAAGAGGATTATTCTGGTGAAATGACTGAGTTGAAGTGTATATATGACATGGAGGATATATGATATGCAAATATTTTGTGCAAGAAATCATTTTTGTATTTTATTGCATTTCTTGGTGTAAAATGTTTATCTCAAGTGTTAAAAATTAATGTTGCACTGCCTTAGTGTGTAAGGTGAGCGCTCTGTGGAGCTTTGGATTGGATTGTTTTGGTTCTGCAGCCTGCAAAATTCATTGTGTTAAAAACCTGACATTTTCCCTGGGAGTTGGTGGAGACCAAAACAGAGCTAAAGGGGGCGAGAACATTGGACTTGAGTTCATTAGGTGCTCAAAAACACAACTCCAAATTAATGCTAATGTTGTACTGTTTGCACTGTGTAAATAGGCAGTACGGGGGTTACCGCCACGACTGGCCCCAGCTACCCTGCGGCCGCAGCTCGCAACAGCCGCCTCAACAACGGCAGAGCGGAACAAGGCCCATTCGGACTCAATGTCCCCCACCGCCCTCTCTCTGCCGGAGGCGTGCGTTGAAAATCATCTTGACGGGTTCTTCCGCCAGGCTTTCCCAGTAGACCCTCACAACCCGTTTGGGCCTGCCAGGTGTGCGCGGCGTCTTCCCCCGCCATCTGATCTAACTCACCACCAGGTGGTGGTCAGTTGACAACTCTGCTCCTCTCTTCACCCGAGCGTCCAAAACGTACGGCCGCAGGTCTGATTATACGACTACAAAGTCGATCCTAGACCGGTGTCCTGGTGCCATGTGCACCTATGGACGTCCTTATGTTTGAACATGGTGTTAGTTATGGCCAAACTGTGACTAGCACAGAAGTCCAATAACTGAACGCCGCTCAGGTTCAGATCGGGCAGGCCGTTCCTCCCCACCACACCCCTCCAGGTCACGCATTGCCCACGTGAGCGCTGAAGTCTCCCAATAGGACAATGGAGTCCCCTTTCGGGGCACTTTCCAGCACCGTTCCAAGGACTCCAAGAAGGGCGGGTAGTCTGAACTGCTGTTCGGTGCATAGGCACCGGACAACAGTCAGAACCCGATCCCCGACCCGGAGGCGCCGGGACGCAACCCTTTCGTCCACCGGGGTGAACCCCAACATACAGGCAGAGAGCCTGGGGGCCACCAAAAAGCCCACCCCGGCCCTCCGCCTCTCACCCGGAGCAACTCCAGCAAAGAGGAGAGACCAGCCCCTCTCAAGGACTTGGGTTCCGGAGCCGACGCTATGTGTTGAGATGAGGCCGACTATATCTAGCCGGCACCGTTCAACCTCTTCCACAAGCTCCCGCTCCTTCCCCGCCAGAGAGGTGACGCTCCCGTACCCGCTGGTGGACACCGGCGGTGGGGGAAGCCGTCAGGCTGAAGAAGGAGGCCTACAGGGCGTGGTTGGCCTGTGGGTCTCCGGAATCAGTTGACTGGTACCGGAGGGCCAAGCGGAGCGCAGCTGCGGCAGTTGCTGAGGCAAAAATTCGGGCGTGGGAGGAGTTCGGTGAGACTATGGAGGAAGACTATCGATTGGCTCCAAAAAGGTTCTGGCAAACCGTCCGGCACCTCAGGGGAGGAAGGCGGCAACTCGCTCACACTGTTTATAGTGGGGGCGGGGAGCTGCTGACGTCAACTGAGGATATAGTAGGACGGTGGAAGGAATACTTTGAAGAGCTCCTCAATCCCACCAACACGTATTCCGTGGAGGAAACAGAGTCAAGAGACCTGGGGATGGATGGTCAAACCTCCGGGGCAGAAGTCGCCGAGGTAGTGAAACAACTGCGCGGTGGCGGAGCCCCGGGGGTTGATGAGATCCGCCCTGGGTATCTCAAGGCTCTGGATGCTGTAGGGCTGTCTTGGTTGACACGCCTCTGCAACATTGCGTGGACGTCGGGGGCAGTGCCTCTGGAGTGGCAGACCGGGGTGGTGGTCCCCATCTTTAAGAGGGGTGACCAGAGGGTGTGTTCCAACTACCGGGGAATTACACTCCTCAGCCTCCCCGGTAAGGTCCATGCCAGGGTACTGGAAAAGAGGGTCCGGTCGGTAGTCGAACCTCAGATCGAGGAGGAGCAATGTGGTTTTTGTCCTGGACGTGGATCTGTGGACCAGCTCTTTACCCTCGCTAGGGTACTGGAGGGAGCATGGGAGTTTGCCAATCCAGTCCACATGTATTTTGTGGATTTGGAGAAGGCTTACGACCGTGTCCCCAGGGACTCCCTGTGGGGGGGTGCTCCGGGAGTATGGGGTGGATGGCCCCTTGTTAGCGGCCATTAAGTCCCTGTACCAAAGGAGTGTGAGTCTGGTTCGCGTAGCCGGCAGTAAGTCGGACCTGTTCCCGGTGAGGGTTGGACTCCGTCAGGGCTGCCCTTTGTCACCGGTTCTGTTCATAACTTTTATGGACAGAATTTCTAGGCGCAGCCGGGTGGTGGACGGGTTTGGGTTCGGTGGCGGGAGGATCTCGTCTCTGCTTTTTGCGGATGATGTTGTCCTCTTAGCTTCATCGAGCACCGACCTTCAGCTCTCGCTTGGGCGGTTCGCAGCCGAGTGTGAAGCGGCTGGGATGAAGATCAGCACCTCCAAGTCTGAATCGGTCCGTTGTGGGGAAGAGGGAGCTAAGCCGGAAGGCGAAGCTCTCGATTTTCCGGTCGATCTACGTTCCGATCCTCACCTGTGGTCATGAGCTCTGGGTAATGACCGAAAGAACGAGATCGCGAATACAAGCGGCCGAAATGAGTTTCCTCCGCAGGCTGGCCGGGCTCAGCCTTAAAGATAGGGTGAGGAGCTCGGTCATCCGGGAGGGACTCGGAGTAGAACCGCTGCTCCTCCATGTCGAGAGGAGCCAGTTGAGGTGGTTCAGGCATCTGGTTGAGGATGCCTCCCGGACGCCTCCCTGGGGAGGTGTTTCGGGCATGTCCCACCGGGAGGAGACCTCGAGGTCGACCAAGGACACGCTGGAGGGATTATATCTCTCGGCTGGCCTTGGAACGCCTCGGGATTCTCCCGGAGGAGCTGGTGGAAGTGGCTGGGGAGAGGGCCGTCTGGACCTCTCTGCTGAGGCTGCTGCCCCCGCGACCCGGATCCGGATGAGCGGGAGACGACGACGACGACGAAATAGGCAGTTTGTTTGCTAATACGTATGCAATGGCATTATTGGCCAGTTTTGTATTGCTACTTTAAATTGCAATGATATGGTAATTACATACATATATTACACTTTTTGTGGCCTTTTTTGCAACAAAAAACACTGGTGTTTGGTGTGTTTTCGGTTCTCCAACCATGTGTGCTTGTGTCTACACAGCTGCAGTGGAGGCATGTGTTCTGCATGGGCTGAAGCGACGGGCAGCAGGCTTTCTGCGTAGCAACAAGATAGCGGCCCTCTTCATGAAGGTGGGGAAAAGCTTTGCCCCGGCTGAGGAGCTGTGTAGGAAGGCCCAGGAGCTCGAGCAGATCATCGAGACAAAGTGAGAGACACACACATCACAGCTGACTTCAAAGCTCACATCAAAGCCTGTTTGATCGTACCAGTGAAAGCACTGAAAACAAATGGCTGCCTGCTTACTTGAAGGGCCATTTTTTAATATGACAAACTTCTAAATAATTCATGTTATAACCTTTTATGAATCATGAATCACTGCTGCCATTAGCCTCATGCAGATGCACTTAATGGAATTAAAAAAAAATATGTTATACCTGTTTTCTTTAAATTAAAACTTGGGCCTCTCTCCTTCTCCAGGCGAAGTCAAAGCTTGCAAAGTCAAGACAGCCTTCGTAAGATGCCCCGACTGCCCAGCCTCACCCCACAGGGAGTCAAGAACTTGTGGATCCGGACGGCTCTGTTTGAGAAGGTGCTGGACAAGATTGTTCTCTACCTGGTGGAGAACAGCAGGTATGTTGAGAAGGACCAATGGCACGCTGTTCAGCCATTTGTGTTGCAAGAACTCTATGTCCCCTCAAAATTCCCCTTTCACGTTTGTCTTCCAGTAAATACTACGAGAAAGAGGCTGTTCTAATGGACCCTGTAGATGGACCTATCCTTGCCTCTTTGTTAGGTAATTATGTGTGACATTGTAAAAATGCATGAGTCATTTCATGTAATCATCTAACATCATGTGCCACACCCTTGTTTGAGTTTTTGGATCTTAGATAAAATCTTGCTGCTGGTCCAGTACCCTGTACAAGGACATTAAAGTACTCTGCACTTTCTTTCAAGTCAGTTTTAGTACCCCTACTATTTATCCAATCAAGAGTAAAATGATGTGCCCCCAAAAATATATTTCTTTTAAAATGGTATACTCAACTTCAGGTCTTGATCAGAGGGGGTTGTAGACTGAAGGAAATAGAAGGAAAGACTGTATAGTAGCAAAGAGGACATGGTCCCTCACTGGCTTCCCACGACTGAGCAATGACAATTGTTTTCAATGGAGCAAAGCCAGAAGCACTGCTGCTCAGGACTGAATCTGGGTCGCAGCAGACGCCTTGAGAAACATGCCAGAACCTGTACCTTTAGATTAGACTGTCTTGATATAATTCTTTTCCCTAAAGCAGTGTTTCCAACCAAGAGAGTTACAAGATAATTCTCAAGACAGGAAGGCAGAAAAAAAAAACAGCCAGACAGAACAGGTTGGGAACCGCAGCCCTGAACTATCATAAACGTCACCTTTACAATGGATCAATAGGTAGATGACCTGAAGCCTATTATTGTACATCTCTGAAAAATTCTCTCTCTATTTTTGATTGTGATGTTTAAGGAGATCAGATGCTGATCACCGGTTAACAAAGCCATACAGCTGTTGTCTGCAGTATCTAACTGTGCTCCTTCGTTCTGGCAGTTGGACCTTGTGCTTTGGAGTACACGAAGATGAAGACAGCTGACCACTTCTGGACGGACCCGTCTGCTGACGAGCTGGTGCAAAGACATCGCATCCATGGTGGCCACTGCAGGCAGGATTCTCCCACCAAGAGGCCTGCGCTGTGTGTAAGTGATAGTCTAGTAATACACTAATGTACCATGCAGAATTAGTTTAGTTTTTTTCCCATGTATGTGTAGTACGTGTTTATTCTAAAATATTAGCAGACATGCAGAGTTTTAGTCGTGCATATTATCAGTTATATTCCCTCCTGATATGCTATTCTGTGTCTGGTTAAAGAGGAGCTGCTAAGATTACTGCATTAAGTGAAGCACAGTGTGTCCCAGGAGAAAGAACAGAGTGTTTCTGAGACCTTCACACTTGTTCAGTCCTCAAGTTATCAGTGAAACAGGTCAACTTGGCCTGTTTTACAACACCACAGCACTTACAGTCACGTGGTCCTGGGTATTTACATGTGTGTATTCCACGAAGAGGTAGACCAGTCTTTGGGGTCAAATATAAGGCCAGATGCATTAGTGCACATGAATGAATACCATATTAATCTTATCTTAAGTCGTTTAAGAAAGAGGTTTTATTCATGGAAAATTGCTGTGCTGTGACAGGCCGGCTGTAATTAATTCTGCAAAGATAGTCATCAGTTTAGCACCGGTTTACAATGTTTGTTATTTGATTTGATATATTTTGTGTCTGTGTCTCAGCAGATTCAGAAGCGGCACTCCAGCAGCAGCATGGATGAGCGCCCTTCCCCCTCGCCATCAGCTCGCGAATATGTGGAGTCACTGCATCAAAACAGCAGGGCGACCCTGCTGTTTGGCAAAAACAATGTGCTTGTACAACCGGTAACTGACTGATTCCTCTTAATCACTAATACATGTAGAGCACTCCCTTGAAATAATATCTCAATTGAAATGTTTCACAGAAGATAAAAAAAAGATTGCTACACACTATCCAAAGACTGCAGGGAGAATATTATATTAACAGACTGAGAACATTTCTGTTTCATAGTAATATCTCACAGCCGAATAGTATCATTAAAAGAGGAGCAAGAGAATATTTCAAGTTAAAGCCCTGAACAAAATGATAGTTTGTATATTACTGTATGTTGTCATCCCATATGTCTCAGAACAACATATAAGAACCTAATCTGCTCTCTGGTTGATAAGACCAAAATCCTACCAGTCCGAATATTTTCTGAACTACAAGATTCATTAGTATGCTGCAGCAGAGTGTTTACGTTCTATATACTATACTGTCTTAATGCAGTGCTGCACAGTATACTGTAAAACACTTATTGTGTATGTGCAAGCAACCAGATTTTAACTCGTGTAAACTGCCTCACACCTCTCTTAAACTAACTGTAACACATGTCCAAAAGCCTATAAGAAATAGTTTAGGCTTTACGTATCCCAAACTTCTCCTGCCCGCTTGAAAATGGGATGTGTGGTGAATGCATACAACCTGAAAATCTTCTTTTCTTACATGCAAAACAAGCTATTTGTTCATGTGTGTTATCTGTATAAGTAAGTACAAGGATAAGACTGCCCCACTCTGCATTTTCTTCTCCACCATCACCGCAGTCTGCCTCAGGCTTACACATACTGACCTATGCTATTCATGCTCATACTGTTCTTGCACCAAATGAAAAGCATCCATCCTTGTGGTTGTTTCAGAGGGATGACATGGAGGCTATCCCAGGTTACCTCTCTCTGCACCAGACTGCTGACATCATGACACTGAAGTGGACACCCAATCAGCTCATGAACGGCTCTGTTGGAGACTTGGACTATGAACGCAGGTGCAAAATGATTCAGCTGCGGATGGATTATAATTATGGTGATTGTGTCTGCCTGCAAAGCCCGCGTTTGATAATATTAGTAATCCTCCTCATACCAAGAATATCTAACATGTACTGTAGACATGGAAACACTCTGTACACACTGTATCATTTCTTCTCTCTTCTGTTTGTGTAACACTCGGGCGTTACTGAATAATGCAGTGTGTTTGTGTGTGGCTCATGGGCTCAGTATAGAGATTAAATGCTGCTGATCTGATGAGGCTTATTTTCAGCACACCAGCAGCCAGCAGATGGTTTATTGACCGAGACACTGTCAGACATCTCTCAACCAAGCAAACCATGTTATGTTCCTGTGCCTGTGCATGGTTTCTCTCACCAAAAAAATTGATTATTGCATTAGGCCACTCTGCACCTGCTCAGCTGTGTGCGCACTCCTGACTACTGTCTTTATTACCCGCAAAATGAATGTTCCTTGAGATTTTAATTCATACAGATAATACAAAGACTTTCCCCATGGATTTGTTTCTCACAAATTAGCTGTTAGCACTGTTAGCTGGTGATCTTACGTCCAGTCTGGGTTGTCATTTTACTGACTGTGTTTTTGATTTTATGTCTTTCAGTGTATACTGGGACTATGCCATGACAATCCCTCTAGAGGAGATAGTTTACTTGCATTGTCATCAACAAGGTGGGTCCACACCAGCCTTTACTCTTAACACTACCGTTATCCACACAACTTTGATTACTGATTGTGTATTATTCCTATCTTTTCTTGCATCATGACTCTGCAATTAAACACAGCTGTCCCACAAAACGTCATCATGAGTGATTTGATAAAGAAATCTTCTGTACATCTCCTGCAGTGGACAGCGGGGGGACGGTGGTGCTGGTCAGTCAGGATGGGATCCAAAGACCTCCACTTCGCTTCCCCAGAGGAGGCCATTTGCTCCAGTTCCTCTCCTGCCTGGAGAACGGCCTTCTTCCCCATGGCCAGCTGGACCCTCCACTCTGGTCCCAGAGGGGAAAGGTCAGAACAGGATGTATTTCTTAGGGGTCACTCTCTGGCTTCAGATCCAGAGCACAAATAACACATATTAGGCATTCGTCTGGAAATCAGCACTAAAATGCAAAATCAGCCTAAATCTGATCAATAAGTCAATAAAAAAATTCAAAAAAAAGAAATGGTGCACTGCCTCGTTGCAGTATTGGTTGGAGTGATACTGATGAATGTGTGGCTTAATATACTCTCTGCACCACCACACAAAAAGTGTCTACTTAAATGAATGGATGTTTTTGTTACACTGTTAATAGCTGAGTATCTGCAGCAAAACTGAATAATGAAAACCACCCAAACATGTTCAGCCACTATTAATAGGCTTAAGCTTACAGCCACTTATCATCTTTAATTCATATGGATGGATTAGCTGGGCTCTAATGGCTGAGCAATTTTTCTTGTTGGCATTAGTTTAATAGCAGTTATTTTCTCATTGCAGGGAAAGGTGTTTCCTAAGCTGCGGAAGAGGGTTCCTCAGGGATCTGGATCCTCAGACTCTGTCTCAGATAAGGAGGAGGACGAGGCCACAGACTATGTCTTCCGCATCCTCTTTCCAAACAGCCAGTCAGAGTTTGGTGAGTTCCGCTCCAGAGAAGAAAATTAACACGAGTAGTATCCATGGGCCTCTCCAGATTGTTATATGTTCATGAAACTGTTACTCGTTTGTTACAGTGACTGTAACTCATCCTCCTCGTCTGACTTCTTCCCTCTCCCTTCAAATGAGTGGACAGTCCCTCTCCAAAAAAGGGACCCTGGTAGTCCCCAAGAGGTCTTGCAGCTGTCCTGAAGAATCCCCCTCACTCACAGGAAGCAGCTGTAACACTGTCACACCTCGACTCGTCTGTCCATCTGTCAGCTTGCCTTGCTTTAATTCCCTGCATCTAATATCCTCCTGGCCTGTCCTGTGCCTCTGGCAAAGTTTATTGATTTGTCCCGTTATTAAAGCCCCTCCCACTCCCTGCCACCTTGTGTCACACCTTTTTTACTGCAGTACGGCGCAGTAACCTTTTAACAGACAGTGGGTGGACAACTGATTGATTGAATATGGCTCCTGAACGGAGAAAGGCTCTTGCTTACTTGATCTTTCTCTCTGTAATAGTGTAATTGATGATGTCTTCATGCTTTCAAACTTTGCATTAATTCCAGTTTGCATAAATGTTTTTGTTTAAATGCTTTATCTTTGCTCTAACAGGAATCATGCACAAACAAATTGAAATCTGAAGCACTTTTAGCAGATCACAATTGATCAGCATAATTCTGCTCATGCAAAAGTGTTTCCAGCTGTTTTTCAATCATCTAAGTGCAAATGTAATTGTTCTTAAAAGCCTGAGCAGTATAATGATTTAATGTGACAATGCTGGCGTGTGTTTTTGTGTGGGTGTTGCAGTGACTCCTCCAGACTTGATGGATCAAGGAGCTACAATGTGGCATCCCACTCTCAGGAAGTCGTCGTGTTCCTCTTGTTCTCAGGGGAGCTTCTCTGATGGGGCGACACCCAAGGGGTGCAACCATGAGAGGTAAGAGACAAACACACTCCAAGCTAGACTAAGTTGTGTTGGATTGTGAGAGGGAAACTGCTAAAGGCTGCAGAGACACACCCGCTCCCTCGATATCCCTTAGCGCCAACAAGAAATCCTCAATAATACAGAGGAAACTGAGAAAGGAGCGAAGACACAAGAACCTACTAATCAACCCAGAAGACAATTATGTGATATTGACCGCACTAACATGAGAATGTGTTGGAAAAATGAGGTGATAAGCAAGGCTGGTAGCACGGTTGAAGGCTATGAAAGAAGGCAAACCACTGCGCCAATTTGCTCTATATGGCAGCCCAACAGGTTAACATTTGAATGATAAAAGGTTGGCCTCAACACTGTGATAAACTGTACATTAGATGCAGTGTTTCATACATTCTGGACAATATGAATAACTTCTTAACGATTGTTTATTGATATTCTTTTAAGGAATAGAATAGTTGCATAATGTCAAAGTGTTTCCTCTGCTTAAGTAAAACAATCTGTGCTATATCTTCCTACAGGACTCCTCTGAAGCTGCTGTGTGACAACATGAAGTATCAGATCATCTCTCGGGCATTTTATGGCTGTATGTGATTACTTATTATGTAGATGGAGAGGCCTTAAATATTCATACCTATTTAATTACCACTAGCTTCTGCAGAGGCATTAATTAATTAACTGTATTGTGAACTAGGGTTGGCATACTGCCGTCACCTGTCCACTGTGCGTACACACCTCTCTGCCCTCGTCAATCACGCCATTGTGGCGCCCGACGTGCCGCGTGATGCCTACAAAGGGCTCACCACAGAGGTGTGGCAGACGTTCCTCCAGGACTGCACAGTAAGAATGGCTGTTGTCACTGCACTGCAACACAAACATCTCTCTTTCACTCCGTCACTCTTCTGTCTCATCCATATTCATCCTCTGCTAATCATGCGGCTCACTCCATTAGTCTCACAACAGTGTGCATGAAGCGTAACTAATGTCCCCATCAGTCCACATCTACAGTTTATTTGGACATTAGTTACAAGTACCTGGAGTCGCGGAGAGTTTGACTGAAGAATGAAAAATGTTTAATAAACAAATATTTTTTGTAAAACTGATTTTGTTCTTTGTTAATAATACGAGTGCAGTATTTGATGAATACTGTGGTAGTCACCTACAGAGAATGTGATAAATTACTCGACCTAAAAGGTCCACTTAACAGAGCTTTCAACTGTATCTCACAGATGAGGTATGCTCAGTTGTCATGGAGATGGATCAATTGTCATCACATGACCTAGAGCATAAAAACATAAGTTAAATGGGATTACTTTATTATTTGTGTAATAATTATACTTATTAATTTATTTTTAGTTACCTTATGAAACCCATACATATCTCTATCAATCATATATGGAGACACAAGTAAACCTTTAAATGCTTAATAACGGGATAGATTTCTGTGGACAACAGCTGTGGACAGATGTTTCTGATCTGGACTTAACTTACAGTACATCTAATGGATATTTCTATTTATCTTCCTGTAAAGCAAATTCAAAATACTGAGCAGGTACAGCACATACTGCACCATGACAATAGGGAGATGTACCAGTGCCTGAAGCTTTGCTCACCTACCACCCACTTACAGAGTGAAAGCCGCCATGGTGCCTCCCTCTACAGGCTGCCATGTTGTTAATGCTGTTGTTTTGAAGCTTTTAACACACAGTGAAAGATAATTGTCTTTTTAAATGAAGAAGTAAAAATACTGACCAGAAAGCAAGTACTGAGGTGACTGATGTCTTATGTCTTCAGGCCTATGAGGAGCAGGAGCTGCTTCGTCTCGTCTACTTCGGTGGAGTGGACCCCTCTCTGCGTAAAGAGGTGTGGCCTTTCCTGCTGGGTCATTACCAGTTCCGGATGTCAGAAGCCGAGAGGAAGGAGGTTTGTCGTTTCCCCTATATTGGCTTTGCTTCCAAAGCATTTTGCACCTGAACCGCTTGCACCACTTGATTCTTCACCTTCGCCCCAGGTGGATGAACAGGTCAGAGTGTGCTACCAACAGACCATGCGTGAGTGGCTCGGCTGTGAGGAGATTGTCCGCCAGCGGGAGAAGGAGCAGCATGCTGCAGCTTTAGCAAAGTGCTCCTCTGGGGTGAGCATGGACAGTTCCAATCAGAAGATGATCCACCATGACTCCACTGTGAGCAATGAGGTTAGTGGGAAACTGTGGACACAGACACATTTATTCACAGCGTAGCTTGACACTCTGAAAATGAGGGCTGTTTATGTTGTCATGTTGTGAGCCTCTACTGGTTAAATGACTGAAGCATATAAATAAAATAAATAATTTTACAGGTAAAAGGTCCATTTACAAAAAATGCAATACTATATCACCATAGTATCCCTTGAATGTGAACACAGCACATGAGGCAACATACAGTAGGACTGTATACCAATCGTATCTTGGACTGAATGTCTTTTATTATCCAGTCCCAGTCCTCCCAGGGCTCAGACAGGCAGAGTCTGGCTCGCCTGCAGAGTGACTCCAGCAGCAGCACACAGGTATGAAATCCTCACCATAATACACCTCACAAAGAGTTCGTCTTTGTTCATACAAAATTCTCTCAAAACTAAATGTTTTGAGAGAAGCATTTTCACTTTTGAAATCCTGATCTTTTATGTCACAACGCACGTGATCTCAACATTTTGAACCAGTTTTCCTCCTCATCCCTGCATTCTCTCTCCTGCTAGTACTTCACATCCTCCCATCCCTTCCCCTGGAGTAGCCTGCTTCCCTTTGGCTTGTTCTTTCAGGTGTTTGAGTCCGTAGAGGAGGTGGACCAGATCGAGGCGGAGCCTAGGACCGACAAACAGGTGCCAAAGATGCCCAATGGAGCTCTGCAGAACGGGACAAGCTCTCCTGATTCTGGACACCCCTCCTCCCGCAACTTCTCTGTCACCTCCGGCCTGTCGGACGGCTCGCTCAGCACAGAGGACAGCGCTGCGCCCGATACAACCTTGAGATCTGCAGCTGTCACTCAGGCATCACAGAGCACTGTCAAAGCTGCAGGCGTAGAGGGAGAAGGTCTGACCAAGGGAATGCACAGCCAAGAGAAAGTTGAAGTGAAGGACAAAGAGGAGGAGGAGGAGGAGGAGGAGGAGGAGAAAGCACCCAATGTGACCAAAACTGCAGAAAGCACTAAGACTGAGGCGATAGACGATAACAGGATTCAACCACTGGAAGAGGGGCAGGTGATGACCAACAAAGAGACACGTTTGCAACCTAAAACACAGGAGAATGTTGAGGAGCCAGAAGCTACTAGAAGAGAGGGAACCAAGTTTGAAGATAAAGGCCTGGATACAGACATTAAAGGAATTAAATCTTTAGAGTCAGGAGAAACAGGAAGAGGAGTGTCCGATGAGGATACTACGATGGTATCAGCAGCTGCTACACAATCCAAAGGAGAACTCGTTGAACAAAGTCTCAAAAAAGAAGCAGAGGGGAGAATTGAGGAAACATCAAAGCTGGAAGAAAGGAATGTGGAAAAGATGAAGGGAATGGACGAATCAAAGACGAGTAAACCACAGGAGGTTTTGTTCATGGAGGGAAAAGAAAAAATATTCAAAGATCCCATGGCTCCTGAAGTGGAGAAGAACCTCCTTTTCTCAGAAGACTCCAGGGTCTCAAGAGCAAGAGAAGCCTACTGCGCCTCTCAGAAAGAGGAGACTCAGGTCATGATTGAATCTGACGAGTCTCCCTCAGCCATAGAGATGGAGGAGATCCCCAAAGCCAAAGTTTCCATGGTGCCTTGGAGTAGGAAGGGATGTTGTGAACCTTTGTCTTCCTCTGAGGACTCAGCCCCTTATGTGGAGCTCAGGCAGGAGGAGGAGCTGGAAAAGCCCAGTCCTGAGGGCACCGAGTCCATCCTGTCTGAGGAGCCGGAGATGGAGAGCCTGTACCCTCACTTTGATCCTCTGGCCAGATCTGGAGACACCAAGAATGAGGCGATCTCTCTGGAATCTGCTGGGAGCACTTTCTCTGTAAGCTCACATTTTTTAAGAGATCAAATGAATTTATGCTCATGCCAATCAACTCTGTCACGAGCTTGTTTTATTCATTGTCATCATTTTGTTTGTTCTAGCAAGAGCTTTTGGACTTGTATACATTAAATCTGCACCGCATTGAAAAGGACGTCCAGCGCTGTGACAGGAACTACTGGTACTTCACTCCTGCCAACCTGGAGAAACTGCGCAACATTATGTGCAGGTAAAACACTGACAGCAGCAGGGATTTAATAAAAGGTAGAAGAGGGCCAAAAACACACATCTTTTTATCGACAGAAGATTGTTCATTTACCTTTTTTGAGGCCGAGGCTTATTGGTGTGAAACTGATGAGATGAGAATGTGTTGGAGAAAAAAGTCAGAAAGTCACTGGAGATGGTCAGAGTCCAATGCAATATAATTTATCAGTTCAGACCTGGGTCTGAACTGAAGACAAAGTGCCTGTGCACCATCATATATAGTTAGTAATCCCTCCTGGGCTCTCCACCTATTTTCTAAAGTGAACCTATCATCGCCATGGGAACAATGGTGTCCAGCCCTGCGTGGAATTTCCCCAAACCAGGTATGGCAGGTTATAGTAGTGGTGCCAGATGTCCAGAAATCCCCTAACTTTCCCCAACCAGGGCCTTGCCAGTACATACTCTGCTGACACCAGTGTTTCCAGGGCCCTTCAGACCATTTTTTTTTTTTTTTTTTACTTTATTCCCTTCAGGTTCAATTCTACAACAAACTTAGATCAAAGGCTGTTTCACATATAAATCTAACCTCAGTTGAGAATATGGCTGTTACATTGAGTTTATAAGGTTCACATTCAATATGTTTATAATGCATAGTATATGTTAGTGAAGATTTACTACAACAAACGCACAAATACCTACCTAATGCGAAAAAGGTATTATAATTACACCCTAGAGAAACCTAGTCATGTAAACGTGAATTGTAATAAGCATTGAGGAGAAATGTGGAAATACCTCTAAATCAGGACAGTAGCGTATGAAACAGATTGGCAGATACAAACAGCCGAGCGCAGTCAAGTTCACCTCTGTTTGTTGTATTTTTACAGCTATATCTGGAGGCACCTTGACATCGGTTACGTACAGGGCATGTGTGATCTGCTGGCTCCACTTCTAGTCATACTGGACGATGGTGAGTCAACACACTGATTCACTTCTTATTTTCCCTCTTCTCTGACATTTGGTGTATTTTTACAGCTATTGATGGAACAACAAAGGAGAGTTTTCCCACTCACTTCCTCACTCAAGCCTACTCTCTCTGCTTCCTCTTTGCAGAGGCCATGGCCTTCAGCTGTTTCACTGAACTCATGAAGAGAATGAATCAAAACTTTCCACATGGAGGAGCTATGGATACTCACTTTGCCAACATGCGTTCTTTAATCCAGGTGACACAGTAACAGTAAAGTCTTTGCATATACTGTAGCACACCACTAAATCTATTCATTACTTTCAAAAACCACTTCTTTCTCACACCTTTCTCCCACAACCAGTCTCGTTATTTATTTTCCTGCGCCTCCTCTGATCCCCTGTCTGTATAGATCCTGGACTCTGAGCTGTTTGAGCTAATGCACCAAAACGGAGACTACACCCACTTCTACTTCTGCTACCGCTGGTTTCTCCTAGACTTCAAGCGAGGTAAATTGGCGTCATAGTGCAAAAGACTTTGTGCCAATTAGAGGAAGAGGAGATTCACTCCTGTTTAAGTTGTGTTTGTGGATAAAATGCCAAACCATTTGGCAGCTTGTTAAAAACACCCGCAGTTATTTTATCTTGGAAAGGATTTGGAAGTTAGTTATATCTTTGAAAAAAAGAATTCTTGGGAGTTGCCAGTGAAATAATTGGCATGAACTGTGGCTGCATAATTTAGTTTTATTATTCACTTGGCTTTATACTAAAGATTTAACCAGGGGTTGTCATAGTGTACCCCTGTTTTCTTCCTCACTTGCCTTTCTCAATGTAGTTGCTTCGTTTTCGTGCTTTGCCCTCCAGAGCTGGTGTATGAGGATGTGTTTGCAGTCTGGGAAACCATCTGGGCAGCCAAGTATGTCTCCTCTAGTCACTTTGTCCTCTTCATTGCCCTGGCTCTGGTGGAGATCTACAGGGACATCATCCTGGAGAACAACATGGACTTCACTGACATCATTAAGTTCTTCAATGGTAAAACATAGCACTTTACATCTGACGTTCTTCACATACATATCCTGTAATAATAAAAGTTTTAATGGAAAGATTAGGTATTTTCTTAAGAGACGCTCTCGAGCTGCTTTATGGGAATAGTAGAATCCAGCTAAAACCTTGATATAAGCCTTTCCTTCGCTGTAGGAAATCATTGGGACCAGGGTGTTTTTGCATGAAGAACATTCTATACTTATTCAGGGGTTGTGGCCTGCATAGTCTAGTTTTCATTTAAACAGCTTTCAATTGGATTTTGTGGTAGGAAAATGTCCTGTACAATTATTTACTTGGACCCATTGATTTTATTTGTTTTCAAATACGACTTTACAAACTCCCAGGATGTATCATAACCTCACAAACTTTTAGTTAGAACGTGATTTGCTTTATTTAAATTGGCTAAAATGAAATATGCATCTATATGCATAAATGATAATATTGCAGGCCTTTTTTCCATATAGATACATTCATATAAAGTCCATCAGCTGAGTTATCGGACTGACACGTCTGTTCAGATGTTCTCTAAACATTTAAGGAAATATATTCTGCTTCACTATTCTTTTGTCTTTCAGAAATGGCTGAGCATCACAACATCAAGCAGATTTTGACCCTGGCCAGAGATCTCGTGTGCAAGGTGCAGATGCTGATCGAGAACAAGTGATGGTGCTGTTTGTCTTCTTTTCCCTCCAAGTAAAACGTGTGAACAGCTGTAGCGGCACAGGAGTAAAATACATATGAGCACACACGCTCTGACACACACACATACACACTACACAAAGCCTTTACAACCACAGTTTGCTGCTATGAGCCTTATTGACTGTATCCACTATGTTATTTGTGTTGTCAACAGGTGTATGAGATTATTACGCTTAATATTTGTCAGTATGTTCAAGTGAAAGCAAACAAAACTGAAAATCTGTTTAATTCCAACAGATTTTTGTCAGAAATCCCTTAAGTGTTGATCTTAGTCCGAGTGCACTTAATATTTTGAGATAAAGAAGGAAATTTTAGTTGTACATTTCAAACCAAAATGCAGAGCTGAATGCAACCAGAGACTATATTTATGAGAAAAATACATTGTGATAATAGTTTATATTAATTATTTTAATAGCCAAAGTCTACAGGGTTCAATTTTAGATGTGTCAGCAAGTTATACCCCAGGAACCTATCCATGAATGAGGAAAGAATGTAAGCAGACTTTTAATTTTATTTAAGTAGTAGTAACAACCCAAAATCAAATTAAGTTTCACTGATGACCCAAACTCCAGTTATGTTTCACACACAACGTTAAGAATAATTTAGCTGTCAGCGCCATGCCAGTGATTTAGCATCCAACAGTGTTTTCAATGTTCTTGAACTGCCTTGAACTGCCAAATAGTATGTCTTTATTTGTTATGTGTGAATTGTACTGTACTGAGAGAAAACTGTGTTTAAATTATGAGGATTATATGTTAACACTTGTTGAATCATAACCTGATATCTAAGTGACTTATGGATGTCTGGGCAGAGATTTATATAAAGAAACAAGCCTGATTTGATAGTCCTCCTAAGTTATTTTATCCAGTGAACCACTGTATATTTTGTACATTGTGCAGTTTACCCACCTTGATTTTTGTATTGTCTCGTATTGTCTGGCACCCATTTGTTGAATCAAATGTTAATTTCAGCTTACATTTGACTATGAATAGGAAAGATCAGATGAGGCAGTGATAATATTTAGTCATGGAGACCAAGTGAAAAGTCTTGTTCCACATGTTATTAACATTCTTTAGTGTGAGAGTGACTTCAACAGAGAGATGAAAATGAAAGGTAATGTATGACAGATTTTCAAAATTAATTGCAAATGACCCAATGTTATGAGGGAAACTGTTTCAATGTTTTGGCAGATCTGAGGATTGTGAGGACATACAAAATATACCAACATTCATGCTTGTCATTCATTGCCTAAAACTTCACTCAGTTGTTCTTCAAGTGTTGTTTCATGAATGTGGTAAGGTGAATTGCATTTAATATTGGTGTTTCTTTGAGAACGCTAACTGCTGTCAGAAAAAAAAAAACCTATTTTAATTCATTGTAAAATTTATTTGCCAAAGTATGTATGTATTTATTTATTTATTTATTTATTCATTAATTTTCTCATTCAGATGCTGCTTTGTTTGTAAAGCTAATGTTTTTTATTTTTTGGCCAGTTCTACGTGTGTATTGTACAACAATCAAATTCTATACTAAGAGTTCATTATAAATAAATGGTATATGTTCTTATAATAAAAATAAAAATGGAATTATCATTATTTTTCCAAAACTTTTTGCATTGTGCATTTTGCTTTGCATTTTCATGGTCCCCAGAGGATGAAACCTACTGATTCTGGTGACCATTGACTTTTCCTCTACTGTCACCATGAGGGTTCACATTTTGGATTTTGAGTGAAATGTCTCAACAGCTCCTTGGACTTTGGTTTTCCAGTAAATTTGGTTCACAAATAATGTCAAGAAAAACTTGAATAACTTTAGTTACTTTGACAAAATACCTGCAAAACTAATGACATCCAACAACATTAATGAAATTGCCTCACGTGAACTTGTGTTCAATTACCAAATCTTAGCATCCTAAAGATGGTTAAGATTGTAAACATTATATCTACTTAGCATGTGTACATTGTTATTGTGAATATTTTAGCTTTCTGATGTTAGCATCGAGTTAAGTGCCTGTGTTTTTACATGTATCCGGACACATACATTTAAAAATCAGTATCGCCCGAACAGGGACTTGAACCCTGGACCCTCAGATTAAAAGTCTGATGCTCTACCGACTGAGCTATCCGGGCGCTCGAAGGTAGCTACGGTTGGTTGTCGAATATAAAAAAAACACCCAACAGGACTGTGACTTATTTTGATGTTTATAGTTCTTTGATTTGTCGAAGACTCTTTCAACTGATTTGTAGGACGACCGTTATCACTTATTACAACAGCGCGCCTGAGCTAACGACGGCATTCGATGAAACACCAGTTTCATAATGCTATCAATGTCTTTCAAATATGTTTCAAATAGTATGTGTATGTTACACTTTTCTGAATTTTGCTAAGGAAAGTATTAAATATATAATAGAGCAGTACTGCCCAGTATTTAAGAAAAACACTCATTGTAATCAAACTGAAACGAATCAGTCTTATCTGGGACAACTGCGAAGAAGGAAGTTAGCGGAAGTTAAACCTCTCGCTTCCCCTGGGCTAGCTTCCGTAGATTCGTTACTTAGCTAGTCATGTGAAGCCAGTTTAGATCCCAGCCCTGACCTTTCTGGTGAGTAAGTAAACATTAAGAAAATGTGGCAGTGACACCAACCTTGTTCTACATCTCGGACATAGCTGGCTAGCTAATTGCTCTGAAAATGTCAGTGTTTAGCTTCACTGCTACGCGCACATGCTGTGGCGTGTCGCTGAAAATCATAAGACCTTCATTTAACCTGTTAACGAACAATGTACACTCGGCAATAAACGTGGTAAGCATCAACAGAAGAAGCGGCACCTGCACGCGGAGCAACATCACTAATATAAGGCGTGTGTTCAGCTCACAACCACACAATCCAAAGGTAAATTAAACGTCAGTGATTGTTATTTGTATTGCAGTCAGTTTATCAGCAGCCAGTGCAGAACACTGACTTAGCATTCTTGTTTCTTGGTTGTCTCCGCTGCAGGTACCAGAGGTTGCAACATGGGAGCCAGTGCCAGACGACCGACTTCCCCCGGTAATGTCCTCAAGACTGGGTGAATATGATTGGGGTTAAGTAGGCAAATGCCCGGCCTTGAAATTCATGTCAGACTTTAGATAATTAGTTTAAAGTACATCCTGGAAATGCCTGACCTCTGTATTAAACAATAGATAGGTGCTCATTTGTACATTGAAACAGGTTTTGCTTTCTGTAATGATTCCTCATGTTCATGCTGGCCATTAAAATTTCTCTTATGTGCTTTCATTGTAAGCGATGGGGGACAAACACTCAAAAATGTATTCAGAGGTTTATCTGTCACTAATATGAGGCTTCAACATGAGTTAGACAAATCAAGTGGATATCTGCCACTATCTTACAGACAGCGTTTGGTTGTTGAGCTGTGGCAGAAGATTAGAAACACACATATATATATATATATATAAAATCACACAGGGCTGTCAACACACTTAATTGCATATATTAAATCAGCAGAAATTATTAAAAGTCAGACATGGTGGGGCATGAGTCATTACAGGTTTTGGTGATTAGATGTTATTTATGGATTCAATGACTATTTGCAATGGTTTCTTTATAGTTAAAGGCATTTTAAGTGATATTGGAAGTGGAAGGACACTGTCACACATAATACTTCTCACCAATACCTCGTATTTTACAGCCTGCGCAAATCCCTGCTGACTTGGTGGACAAACTTGAGCGACTGGCCTTGGTTGATTTCCGAACCAAACAGGGACTGGCCTGTTTGGAGAAAGCCATACGATTTGCAGATCAGCTTCATGTTGTTGACACGTCCGGGACTGAACCAATGGATTCAGTTCTGGAGGACAGGTATGGTCCATACAATTATGGACAGTCTTTTTCATCACAGTTATACCCAAATAGCATAAAACATGAACAAAAACCACAGTTCAGTTTTAAACCCCTGTGAATCCCATCTTATAAATGTGGTTTTGTTTTATCCATGCTCATTCAGGGCCTTATACCTGAGGGGTGATGCAGTGATGGAAGGGGACTGTGCTGAAGAACTGCTTCAGCTCTCCAAAAACACAGTTGAAGAATATTTTGTGGCACCACCAGGTGAGAAAAAATTCTGAATACAACATTAGTATTGATCTAATGATTGCTTGTACATTATTGAGATGATAGTCAAATAAAGTATTAAAGATACATTTTCATCATGCCTTGTTTGTAACTATGAGGATTCTTAACTAATACATATATATTTTTTTTTTCTTTTTTTTTTCTTTTCATCATTCAGGAAATATTCCTCTACCAAAGAGGGAAGAGAGGACTGCTATACTGAAACACTCAGAGCTCTGATATTTATGAATTTGTCCTTGAGATATATATTTACATTTGTTTAAGTCATTTTTTCAGGCTTTTTATATACCTTACTATATCCGTGGTGAGAGAGAGAGACATGAAAGTTGGGGAGAGAGAGAGAGGGGATGACATGCAGCAAAGGGCCATGGGTCGGACTCAAACCCTCTTCTAGGTGAGTCACTGAGGTGCGCCAATATTATTTTTCAATTTGTAAGTATGTGTCAGATATGGGGACAACACTTGGTCACTTCACTGCTTATCTGCAGCCAGAAACATCTGTCACAAAGCTTTGTCAGGTATACAGCAGGTCCCACATGTTCTGGAACAGGAAAAGGATGGTTACTTTTTCAGTTTCATGTGACGCCTGTGGTTTGTTTCAGTGTCAGTTTATAAAAATGCTGAGTCAACAGTGTGTTGGAGCAGAAGGTGTAATGAGGATATTCAATGCAATGGCAGTACATACTTTTGATTTGTGATTTCATGTCTTATTTTCTTCTTTCTTTCTTTTTTGAATAAAAATAATAACTTAATATTTCGTCTCTGTCTGTATTGTTTCCATAAGTAACAAATGTTTTTAGAAAAGTAAGTGTAGTTATAATTCATATTATGAAATTGTTATCATTGCACAGTTAAATGTGCCAAAGGTTTGGTGAACATTAAATATGGAAGCTCAGTATTTATGTTAACCCTTAGATAGATAGATACTTTATTTATCCCCTAGGGTACTGTTTATATTTTGTCCCTTTACAGTTTGGTCTGGGTCAATTTTGACCAATTTTGAACTACAGATCTATTTAGAATGTATAAATAGCCCATCTGACATTAATAAATGGATGATTAATCCTTAATTATTGTTTCAGAGAGAAGGAAGAGTGTATGTTTTAGGTTTTACACCACTTTTTTGGAGAAAAACTTCTACTGCACAGTATGTCTTGCTGCCATAACCTCAGTCACTGAAATGGCAGATCAGGTACCTTTATAATCTTACGATTCCCCCAACCCCTCTCATGATCTCTGTTTTGATCTCAGTAAACTCAGAATAAACAGATTCTAATTTGTTTATTTTTAGATATTTTTTTTTACATTGCCGGTGCAGAAGGCACACTCCCTCTGTATGACTTCCGTTCATTATGTGCACCATATTTAATCACTCCTATGCTGTTTTACTCTCACTGTTTTGAGATTCCCCCATGATCCTTCAAAGACCAGCAGGTGCCTGTCTCTGTAGGAACCTGGGCAAATGTGGTGGTAACACAGAAAGTTCTTGTGACAGAGTTCAAGGTCCCCCTTGAATCATATAGCCTTGTGTGGGTATCAGGCCGTTATAGCCTTTCCTAGGCTATAGCCATGATTTGTTCCACCTGTTTGTTAAAACTGTTAAAACTTTATGAGGTAATAAACTCATAGGCTTGCCCTGGGGCAGTATCAATATTGATCATAACATTACAAGCCAGTTGACTAATGTTAGGAGAATGGAAACCGAAAGTTATTACGGCACCGAAGGAAAAACGAATCTTACATCATACAGGGGGCGGGTGTTGATCAGCTGAGGCAGCCTGTATATAAACTGTGCTGAATTCAGACCTTAAGCACAACTACTGATCAACACTTGTTTAACAGTCGACGACTGAAGACTTGAAGTTTTCTGTGTCAAAAGGTAGGAAGCTCTCTTTAATGACGCTGTAGTGAAATACACTGTGATGATTGCAAATTGTTTTTCTACAGTAATCTTATTTTAAAATGTTTTGAATTGTCTTTCAGACAACTTTCAACATGGATATATTCATCACAATGCTGAGTGAGACCTACACCCTGACGGTGCAGCCAGAGGACACAGTTGGCTACCTGAAAACAGTCATCCACCAGAAACTCGGAGTTCCCCCTTATAAGCAGAGGCTGGTGTTTGTCAACGGCCAGAGGACCGACCTCAGCGAGGACGCACAGACAGTCAGCCACTACGGTCTGCGGTCTGGCTCCAGGGTGATGCTGCTGGTGACCGAGCCGGCCACCATCCAGGTGTTCCTGAGGAACGATAAAGGGAAGATGAGCACCTATGATATCAAACCTGACTTGACCGTTGACGAATTCAAGCGCAAGGTCGAGTGCAGAGAGTCGGTGCCGGTGAGCCAGCAGAGGCTCGTTTTCCAAGGCCGGGAGATGTCCGGCGGTAAACTGTCCGACTACAAAGTCCAAGCTCTGAGCACCATCGACCTGTGTCTCCGTCTGAGAGGAGGCTGAGGACACTTTGACACAGTTAATACTTTAGACTGAGGACACTTTGACACAGTTAATACTTTAGAAAGAAATGTGAATTATTTTATTTAATATAAACGGAGACCAAGTAGCCTTAAATATCATATTTACTTTTTTTTTTTAAAAAAAGCCCAAGCATTCCAATTGATGTTTATATCGCCATTATTTCCAAAACTTATGGTGTTTTATTTGGTCTTAATTCAGTATTTTTTGTAATACAAATATGTCACAGCACTGCATGCACTATAATTTTATTGTGATAAATACATGTTGTTATTATGTTAAGTGGGTATTGTTATAAATTCATTAATTAATAAAGTCCCAAATGTAAATTTACTTCATGTTTCCTGTGCCCTTCTTCAGCTCAGGGGTGGAGCCATACACACCAGACTGAAACCACTAGGATCAACCAAAATAAGGCTTACTTTAAGATTTCATATTTAAAAGTGGCATTGTTTTCTATATTTCACAGACACTTTCTCAATTATGTATTTCAAGGTTTATTACATCATACAAGATTCTGACAGCGTTTATAAAACAATGCATTTAATACAAACTACATTTAATAATGTTCTGTTATTACAAACAGTCAGGTTTCCAAAATAGCAGCATGTTAAAATGGCTTAAACTCATCATACAGGTTTGTTAGGAGTTAATCAGAAGAGCTTGTCTGAAAGATACTCTGTTGTATTATCTCAGTCTTCACTGTTGTGCATTCACAAGCACCAGTGGACACTTGGTCAGTGCATCACTAAGTCAAGTAAAAATGACTTTACTTTTTCTGTTGAATTTGTGTGAAAGCAAAAATAAACGCACACACTGTTGTGACAAAATTACCTCGAGATGTTTCACACAGGGCTTTGAAAACAAGGATTTTCAATTGAGGCTCCTGCCAAAACAACTGTGAAACACTAACAACTTGAATTATTTAGTAAAGTGCAGTAAGAAAACATTTAAGAACAAGTCAGCACGAACTGTAGGCTATACATAGTGTTTATAGCCTGTTTTATGAGACACTCAAGGAGACAAAACAGCAGCAATTAATAGTAGGACATTTTTATTGGGGAAACTCACTCAAAATCCACTGAAAACAAAACCTGCACACATCTGTCACACATGAAACCAGAAGCCAGGATGTAAATTCTGAGTCATTTCCTGCACCTCCCCCTGTGTTTGTATGTAGAACAAGACAATTGTAAGACAATCAAGGAATAAAAACAACAAAGACATACTCCTCTTCAGATGACACAACAGAGGGCAATTTAATGTAAAATACAAATTATGTTTTAAATGGTGTACCTCCGGAGCTTTCCTGAGGTTTTCTATATGTATCTGACATCTTAGCATTGTGGTTGACTTAACTTAGACTGAAGGACAACATAGGGTACGGGCTAGGTTCTTCTTTTTTTGGTGGAGAACCAAAATAAAGTGTCGTGTACTGAATGTCCACTCTCTCTCTTTTTTCAATATGCACAGTGCACATGTGCACACACACATACACATACAGTATAAAGAGCCAGACTGGATGGGTGTTTCCCCATTGGCCGTAGTGCTTTCAAAACAGCCAACAGTTTCTGTCATCAGGGGGAATTTACAGGCAGTGTTGCCAACCGTGTTTGGCATGTTACCACCTTTGTCACTTGATTTACCGACTTTTCAGACCCATTTAGTGGTTTTCTTTTCTCAACAAAATAAATAAATAAATAAATTAGCAACATATCTAGACTTTTTGGACATACTTACTTTCCGTAGAAGAGAGCAACCAGGTCTGGAATTGCTCATTAACATGTTGCCTCGTCTTAATGGGCTGTGTGTCAGTCACTATTTCATACTTCTCCCGTTGTCTGACAACAGAAACAGAAAAACGTGTTAAAGATAACAGCTTTATTGGAAATTTAGCTTTATTGAAATGTATTATGTGTGAGCACAGAGAGTAGGACAGAAACACACAAACTAAGGGCTGAAACCAGCTGACACTCTGCAGGAAGCAAATAATGACTCATACAATTGTCGTATTACATCATCCAACAACATTCAGGGTCTTTAAAAGCAGACAAGCAACTTTGCATAGATTGTTGTTATTAAAGCAGTTGCACAATAGTTTTCAACTTCATCCTCAATTTCACATATTGGCCATACATGGTCAAGCCATATAATTTTCAACCTGTGATTTTCATTCACCTCCTGAATTTATGGCAATAGCTTTCACTATGACATCAGAGCTCACCTGAGGGCCTGCCGTTCACCTGTCCTGTCCCTGTAACTCAGGCTGCTACTGACAGGATTTTCAGAATAAAACGACACATTAACAAACAAAGCTGGACAAGCTGTGGCTAATTTTCCTCATAAATAATGTTCACATCTTAATGCTTTTGATCCATTCATGGAAAGGAGGCGGGATGGCATTAAATCGTAAATATTTTGCCCACTAATTTGAAAGAAGATGTCTTCTGTAGCCTTGGATTTTATGTATTTGCAGAGGAAGAGGAGTAAAAATCATTTGGTGCAAGGTAAGACAGCAGTCTGACTGTTTTCATATTTATGCTGGTTTGTTATATCATTTGGCAGGCTACACAATAAATGGATGATACATTATCACTATAACAGATTTTAGTGTGGCGATTGGTAGCTGTCAGTCATAACTGATACAGCTCACAAAGCAGCAGCTGGATGGATGGCTGGATCACTGGTGTTTACCTGTTGTTGAGTCTGATTTGTTTTCCCCATGAGTGAAAAAATGCCTAATTTCATTGTCAGTCCTGCTCTGATTCAATGTTGTATATAGCAGTCCTACACTTTATGTGCACACGGCCACAGGAAGATGTTTTAAGTTCGAGGTGCTGTAGTGGAAGGAGCATTTTACCCCAAACCCATACAATACAACATAGGCCTACAATAATACTACTACTACACACACACACACACACACCAAAAACGCAGCAGCAGTAACAACTACAGCAGCCAGGTCTATAAAAAAGGACTCAGTAATCCTATTGCACAATAATGGGTCAGTCCCTGCCTGACACCTGTTAACAGCAGACTCCTCAATGGTGGTGGTGCTAACGCTGATACTCCAGCGGATGCCTGCGAAAAATTACAACCAAACAAAAATGATGGTGGTGGAGCTGCTCTCCTGCGAAGGCTGGACTTCATTTGTGCTTTCTTTAGCTGGTGGTTTGCCAAACAAATCTGCAATAAGCTTTTCCTCTATTGTGACTGTATCCTTCGATTAGCTATCAAGGCTACAGCAGCAAGATGTAAACTTACAAACCCTACCTTAGAGATGACATGTGTCACCCTTCACTGCATCTGATTGGCTAATGATCGTTGTCTTGGTTGGTTGGATTGGTTAGGTTGAGGCATGAGGAGTGAGAACAGTTAGGGTCAAGGTAAGGAATCATTCTGAGGAGGAGCAGACTAGGCCATGTCAACACTTTAAGAACATTATGCTCTCGCCAGGGCACCTGCAGCCCCCTTAGTTCCCGCTTTTTTCACTGCAAAACAGCAGGAGTTTGGTGAAGCTGCAGGTCTTAAGGCCCGGGGGAGTTGGTTTGTTGTCTTCTCAATGCACTCCTGTTTCTTTGCTTCATGGTATGAATAGTTAACCCTGTAGTCATCAGCAATGATTGACATGAGAATATGGGCAGTAGAAATTGGTTTAGCAAGAAAATCATTTTGAATCAATTCTGTGAATCTCGCATAAGGATCATGATCCAACAGGTGCAGCAGCTCCTTACAAAATTAGAAGCCCACTGCATGTTTTCTCCTTGCACATTCAGAGCTTTATACGAGAGGGGCAATGCAGTGATGTCTTCGAGGCAAAACCATGGTCACTTCACCTCAATTGCTTATCTGCTGTGAAAAATAGATATAATAAACAAGCAAATTATATTCATTTTTCATTTTCATTTGACAAACATGGTTAATTTTTTTTCAGTTTCATTTTCAGTTCATAAAAATGGTGAGTGAGCAGTGTGTTGGGGTGTAGTGAGGATATTCAATGCAATGACAGTAGGCTACATTGTTTTGATATGTTTTGGCATTATGTTTTCCATATGCCCTGTTTTCATTCTTGTGTTGTTTAGCTTTTCTCCCTTTCTGTTTTGTTTCCATAATAAACTAAAATTAGACATCTGATGAAATGATTAAGTGTTTTCGAGACATTCCTGATTTGATCTTACATAACTGTGTCTACTGCTGTCTGTAGTTCAACTAACATCTATTCATTCTCTGCCCCACCTGTTTGTTAAAACTGTATAATGAGTAATAAACCCATTGGCTTGCCCAGTATCAATATTGATCATAACAAAACAAGCCCTCGTTTCAGTTGACTAATGTTAGGAGAATAGAAACCGAAAGTTATTACGGCACCGAAGGAAAAACGAATCTTACATGAGGGGGCGGTGTTGATCAGCTGAGGCAGCCTGTATATAAACTGTGCTGAATTCAGACCTTAAGCACAACTACTGATCACCACTTGTTTAACAGTCGACGACTGAAGACCTGAAGTTTTCTGTGTCAAAAGGTAGGAAGCTCTCTTTAATGACGTTGTAGTGAAATACACTGTGATGATTGCAAATTGTTTTTCTACAGTAAACTTATTTTAAAATGTTTTGAATTGTCTTTCAGACAACTTTCAACATGGATATATTCATCACAATGCTGAGTGAGACCCACACCCTGACGGTGCAGCCAGAGGACACAGTTGGCTACCTGAAAACAGTCATCCAACAGAAACTCGGAGTTCCCCCTTATAAGCAGAGGCTGGTGTTTGTCAACGGCCAGAGGACCGACCTCAGCGAGGACGCACAGACAGTCAGACACTACGGTCTGCGGTCTGGCTCCAGGGTGATGCTGCTGGTGACCGAGCCGGCCACCATCCAGGTGTTCCTGAGGAACGATAAAGGGAAGATGAGCACCTATGATATCAAACCTGACTTGACCGTTGACGAATTCAAGCGCAAGGTCGAGTGCAGAGAGTCGGTGCCGGTGAGCCAGCAGAGGCTCGTTTTCCAAGGCCGGGAGATGTCCGGCGGTAAACTGTCCGACTACAAAGTCCAAGCTCTGAGCACCATCGACCTGTGTCTCCGTCTGAGAGGAGGCTGAGGACACTTTGACACAGTTAATACTTTAGACTGAGGACACTTTCATTCATGGAAAAGATACCATAAAGTTAATATACATTCTTTATTGTAATTGTGTGAAAACAAAGCAACATGCTTGTTTATTTATTTATTTTTATTATTTTGAAAAAAGATAATGTTAACTCAGGACCAATGTCGTATAATTCTTTTAATTTTATTCAAAACGTTTTATTTTTTTTACTATGTAATTCTGTATTCTGGTAATACAGTTATGATTGTTAAAGAGTTTTAAATTGACAAATACAACATGGTGTAAATGTGTTAACTGGACACTTTAAAATCACAATAAAGTCCCAAATGTGAATTTACATTTCTCATTTCCATTACCTTTCTTGGGCTCAGGGGTGGAGCTGTACCCATATAGACCACAAAAGACAATACAGGCACACTTTAACATTGCATCATTAAAACTGACATTATTTCAATGTTTAAAAGAGTCTATCTCAGTCATATAATTTAAGAATTACTATAACATCTTTGAGATTTTGGCATTGCTCTGTAAAAGAATAAATTTATTACAAACTACATTTAATCATGTTCAATTATTACAAACAGTCACGTTTCCAAAATATCATAGCAGCATGTTATAATGGCTTAAACTCATTTTATAGGTTTGTTAGGATTTAATCAGAAGAGCTACTGTATGTGAAAACTGCTGTCCAGATTAGGAACAGGTTTACAGTCATACACTTAACAGCCTGTTTGTATTATCTCAGTTCTCTGGCATTCACAAGCATTGCCACAATGCCACAGTAAAGAAGTAGTTTCCTCCAGATTTGTTTTCTGTGAAGACATCTTCATAAGAATCATTTCCTCACTGATGCCAGGTAGGCATACCAGAATAAGGCGATCGAGTTGGCAAACAGCACTCTGAACTGAAAGCAAGAACACACACAGAAGAGGAGAAAAAACATTACAAGTGGTGTCAGTGTGTGACTCGTTGTTTGTTCAACAAGCTGCTGGTGAAATGCATACCTGAACAGGCACAAAGTTGACATTAATGAACTGGAAAGGAGTCCAAACTTTCCAGTTCATCTTCAAAGCGGTCCAGTAACTTTTTCTCATCTTCTTTTCAAAGTCCTCCCACCCTTTAGCCTGAAAACACAGTAGAAAGGTTATAGTTGTGTCTACTTTGCAACTTTACACTTTATCCTTTCTCCACTGTATATATAAAAAAAAGGACTTCATAGCATGTGTTTAATAAACATGAAGACAGTGGACTAAATATTATGGTCATATCCAGGTTGAAATATTACATGAATGGCAGGAAATCATATTTAAAGGGGCCCTACCCCTGACCCTGGTCATGGGGAGTATTACACATCCTATAAAATACAGAAAAAAATTATAACAGAAAACCAGTGCCACAAACTGGGGGCATGGAGTTTGAAAGACATGGGCATTTATCAGGCAGGTAGTGTCTAATGATAAATGATGCATTATTGGAATTGTAGGATTCAGCATATATTGAGAGTTTGTCCAAATACCCAAACTTGGGGGCTAATCCAAGTTCACACATCGAAACTTCCACACACTTAAAGTCTTAACGTGCACTGTAGCAATTACTGGAAATACATCAAACACAAGTTGGGATTAAGTACTCGCAAATACCGTAAGTGAGGGTATCGGGACGGACCCACAGCCTGACCCATATGAGGTGCTGAGGGTCAGGATATCTTGGCTTCTGCTGCAGCAACTCTGGCCACTCTTTTTCCTAATCTGTCTCTTGTATGTCTCCCAACTTTATGGAAGTGAAATATCAAATCGCTGGGATGCATCTTTAATGAGATGATTAAGGGGGACTGTTTCTGAGATGACCCACCTCCAGGATGTTCATAACAAAGTAGAAAAGGAGTAGAAAGCCGGGGGCAAAAACGAGCCGATCCAGCAGCAGCCGTTTGATTATACAGTACGGGTCTGTGGTGGGCATCCACACCTCCATCAGCTGGTAAAAGTAATGGCTCACTGGTCCTGTAATAAACAACCTGTAACGAGCAACAAGGTATAATATAACTACAAAGAAATTGAAAATGGATGTAAGAGGGGGAGGCAATTTTAAGAAAAAAATATTTTAACAGTGAACAGTTCTCTGCAGATACTTTGCTATCAATGACAGTAACTATGTTGCACCATGGTTGACATATTTCACACTGTCACACACTCTGTAGTGTAACTTGAATGCACCATTACATTCATTTACTTGCCTTAAAAACATGTCTGTATAAAGTCTCACCCATAAATGGCATATCGTGCAGCTCCAGCTGTGTCAATCTCATTGATCGGGGCTCCATGTTTGGCCTTTTTTCTTGCCTCCAAAATCTGAGACAGAAGATTTCCTAAAGCTGAGAGTATGCCACTGAAAATATCAAGGACACACACACACACACACACACACACACACACACACACCTATCAATATGTAACAAGTGCATTCATAACAAGGCACCCTGATGAAATAGAAAGTGTTTTAAACTTTATAATGTTACATGGTCAATTGTTAGGGGAGGTCCTCCAGGCAGATGCTGATTGGCTAAAGCCAGTGCTGAGACAAAGGGCCAGTCTGCGGTCAGCGCAAACAAACACTGTTCACTGTGTGGTCAAAAGGATCCACACTGACAAATTAATAAGTGATTAATAAGTGTTAGCATTAACCAAATAAACTTAACTACAATGCTTCGACTTCCTCAGCCCAACAGTAAATGAGAACTTGTCATTTCTGACTGTCAAACTGAGGAAACGCGACAGAAAACAAGCAGCAGACTGCAGAGTCAGTGAACAAACAAAGCTACCGACCTCGTGACAGACTTGGTGAGGATGGGGTATTTCTTCAGAAGAACCAGGTACTGCTGGAGTAAACGGAAATGTATGGGCGCATCCCGGACTGGCAAACTCTCCACAGGCATTGTCACTTCTGTGACTGTGGTACTAACATTACCATTATACACTAAAGTGACAGGGGCGAAGTTGAAAAGGAACTCCGCCACAGTCTTCCTGTGAACGTCATTGCGTCACTGATGGAGCCACGCCTTCTCGTCGACGTCCAAAACAGCCAACAAAGAAACGTTTATTAAATGCGCTTGTTTACAAAAAATGGGTGGTTGGGTTGTGGGAAACAAATTTAATTTGCAAAAAATAAATAAATAAATAAATCTCCATGGTCATAGAAAAAGAAACCTTTACTATTATTGTAATAAAGTAAAGAAATTTCCTTTTATCGGTTCAAATTGTACAATGGCCCAAATACTATTGGGTAAATACAAAATTATAACAGCGACATGACAACCGCTGAACTACTTTAATCACTTATTTTTATTTTCTTCTTCAATGTGATTACTTTGCTTCATTTAGGTGTGTCATCAGTTTGACATGCATGATTGCTGAGCCCTAGCGACCACATAGAGTGCAGCTATTATTACTGTCATCACATCTTTGCTCGACAAGTAAAAATGTCCATCATTAAAAGGCATGTTGAATACAGTGGGTCATATGATGTCTTAAGTGATCATCACATGATCTAATAACAATTGTGTCAAACACTCTGAGGAAAACGGGAATGCATCTTGCTCAGAAGCAAAAAGGTCATTGATTTTCAGTAGAGGAAAGAATTTCCGTCTATTTTGGCAGATAAAAGTCCTGCATATTAAAGCTGACAGTTCTGTGAGGAGGATGCTGTTATACTCAAGAATAAGTTAGATAAAACTATTTTTTGTATAAAGGCTGTAGTTGAAAATGTTGGTGCAATAGTATTTGTCCTTGTCTTCTTACTGTAACAGGACTATCTAATCCATCATGTGTTCTCATGCAACCACATCCAAACCTCTTTGTAGCTGATAAACTGTTCCAATCAGAGCTGAACTGTCCTTGACTGAGGTAAAGGAGTATTTCTCTGTCTGCATTCTCTCCCCCAACATCGGGTCTTGACTGCAGAGATCTTACAGCTACCTGCTTGTGCATCCTGAAACCAGCAGCTGCCAGCCAGAGGAGGATACTTCCATATCCTTATTTGCTGTTGAATAAAAACCACAAAGACAGGCCCGAGTCTTAATCTTTTTTAAGATTTCCACAATAATGGCTTTCTGAGGTTATGCACTTATTGGTCTGCAACAAAGATTAAAAACTCAACAAGCAGAGAGGATGTTAATAATTGCGAGAAGTTATGATGGTTTTTGTTTCATGTTTAATTTTACTTCAACTGTACCTTTCCTATTGACTTCTTTGCCTTATCTTTAACCTTGTGCTTTTATCACAGTTTTTTTATTTTTGCTGACACTGTTCGGTGTACTCAAATTCAAACTGATGACAAAATGACCCTGAAATTCTGTATTAGAGTGTGGACAGCTTGGCTGAATTATGGGTGCCTGAGGAAGTGAGTATATTTTACATTAGACCTTGCTGAGCAAATGTAGAGACATTAAAATACCACATCCACCTTTAGGAACCACTTTTAATGGAACCAACATTTCAGTAAAAAAAAGTAAAAAAACAAAACAAAACAAAAAAAACCCAAAAAGGGCTAACTTTAATGTGAAAAATAAAAGGACCAATTGTGTACAAACATATTTACAGCAAAACTGAATCTGACAAGTGCAGAAGATACAAATATGCACTTCAACAGTAAGGCTTTTCAGAAAATTCAGTGTATAGAACAAAATGCCAAGATGAATTCTTTTACTACAAAAACTACTGCACATATTGCTGAAACAGGAAACTGAGAAAGCTTATAGGTGGGTTTTGGTCTGTAGTTAATTGTCACACACGTTAGAAAAGATGACATGACATACAACTTAAAGTGCCTTCCAGTCAATGGGAGACTTTCCAGATTTCTCTAGCAGCTCGTTGGCCTTTGAAAAATGCTTGCACCCAAAGAATCCACGATGAGCAGACAAGGGAGAGGGATGCACAGCCTGCAGCACATGGTGGCGTTTCTATAAACGGAGTGAGTGAAAATTTAGATATGTGAACGCAATAAAAAGCTTCTGTAAAGTGTGAAAGTGTTTGCATGAAATAAAATGACAGTGGAAAACCCACCCTGTTGATAGCAGCTCCTTTCTTCTGAGCATATGACCCCCACAGCATGAAGACGAGGCCCTCCAGGTTGTTGCTGAGCCACTGCACCACAGCGTCAGTGAACGTCTCCCAGCCTTTGTCTTTGTGCGAGTTGGCCTGGTGCGCTCGGACGGTCAACACAGCGTTGAGCAACAACACACCTGACGAACGAGGTCACAGATAGAGAGGATGGCAGGTCTGTTAATGACCAACAGCTCTTTTGTTGTGTAATTGTGTGTAAACATTCAACAGACTGATTTTTAAAAAGTACCTTGTTTGGCCCATTCAGTCAGATCTCCATGTCCAGGGTGCTGGAAGCCTTGAATATCTGACGCCAGTTCTTTATACATGTTCTCCAAACTGGAAATGAACAGAAGCAAGGCTGTGATAGATATGTCAACAGAATGATTCATGAGCACTATCTGATTTTGAGTTTTTAAGAGAAATAACTAGGTCACAAACAAGAGTTGAAAAAGTTCTGAGAGAGACTGAAAAGGCTTTGAACCTGGGTGGAGGATGTACTGGTCTTTTGACACTGAAGCACAGGCCATGGGCTTGGTTAGGACCATGATACGGATCCTGGCCAAGGATCACCACTTTGACCTGGAGGTAGAGACAGATCTTAAAGTGAGGCGACTGAGACAGTTCATACTACTCTCGTGAAAAAGTCAGCTAATGCACCAAAACCTATTTTATAAAGAAAGGTAATACCCACACAACAGACAATTCTGTGCCACTTACCCCTAAATTTGCTCATGGTAACTCAACTAAAAAAACAGAAAGAAGGTCGAAACATTGTCCCAGTCCCAAGCAGACACTGGTTTCTGTTCATTTGGCACACATTTAAAACTTGCTTGAGGACTATAATCCACCACAGAGAACATAAAAGTCTGCTTTAATTTTTGTCAATATTGGTATGATGTATTTCAGTGGCCTGCCTTACTTAATAACAATAATGTGACTTTTACCATAAAGGCAGATTGTAATTTTAAGGTTTTTTTTTTTTTTTTTTTTAAGGTTTCTGTTAATACATTTTCACATAACCATATAGAAATTAATATAAGCCCTGCAATTGGTATTTAGTGGTTATGATCTGATTCGTCTCCTGGCTGATCTCTTATTACTTCTGCTGTTGTTGTCACTGCCATATTTTGCAGGGCAAGGTGTGATAGAGTGTTTGCAGCCTTGGAAGTTGTGTCATATGTCACAGTGTCAGAGCTATTTCACTTACATCTCTGATGTCACACGTCTGTGTCCAGGTGAAGACATTTTCAGCAGGTGGGTACACAGTGTGGCGTTTCCTCTCTTCAGTAACAAAATTCATCAACTGTGACAGAAATATGAAGTTATTACAAAAGGTTCAAAACCATAAAGAGACACCACGTGCTGTGATGAATTGCCTTCTCACTTGTTTAAAATAGACCTTCCCAAACTCTGCAGACAGCCCTTTCCTCCAGCTCTCCCCGAAACCTGGAGGTGTATGAGCGGAAGCGAGTTTCTCAAGCGCTGCTCTCTTGTTGCGGGCGATCTTGTCCAGCTGCTCCGGGGACAGAGGGTTAGGAGGAGGACCGGACGGCTTCGACTCCACCGCTGAGGGCTTCAGCTTCTTCTGCACAATTTTAGTGTATTGAGCAAAGTACAGAGCAGGTGAGAAGCGGGCAGCTAGAGGTGCAACAGGCGTCAGAAACCGTCCACAGTGGCGTGCAAACATTCTCATGCCGTGGAAACTCAGAGAACCACTTTCAATAACAAGCAAGAACACAGTGGTGATTGTGAACGCAGCCTGGATTACGCTGCGCGTGTCGCGGGAAATGATAAATCCGTTTGAAATACTACAAGTACACTGTAAGTGGAGTTTAAATGAAAATAACGTTGTGTTTTAACATTATAATCTAAGCATGTTGTTAATGTTAGCTACATGAGGCAAAGGGGCACTCACCGGGTCTTTAGCATCCTCCTCGGTTTCATTTAACTCCTTAGAAATCCTTTTTTTCGAGACGGGCGAAAAAAATGAATGAATAGTTTTCTGTCCAATCATTTTCTTGAAAAACACTTGAGCAGTAAGTTGCAGAAAAGTGATGAAATTCACCGAATACCTAATAAAAAAGCAAAACAGTGGCGGGCTCCTCGGAAAACTAAAACTCCCCGACTGGGATAAAACTATTTGGCGCCAACACAAAGTGACGAAAGCAGAGTCATGATAATGAGCTGAGCGCTGTTCGAGACAAACTGCTGCTGACTGTTCTCTACCGTTTGTGGTACGTACTGCACCTAGCATTCATCTGAGAGAAATGTACAGTATACTTGGTGTTTTTACAGCTATAGACGTATTATTGTCATTATTTCGAAGTCTTTGCTGGTGTTAACACATTTTTGTAGAGACTGGTCGTTAAATTGAGGAGTCAATTGACAGAAATGAATCGTCAATTATTTTGGTAATCAAGTAATCGTTTGAGTATTTTTTCAAGTAAAAGGCTCATTTTTTGTCACAGGATCTTAATTGTGAGAATCTGCTGCTTTTCTTTGTCTCATATGATAGTAAATTGAACATCTTTGTGTTTCGAACTCACCTTGAGCTCAAGGAAACTGATTTCACTAGTTTTCACTAGTCCCTAACATTTTATAAACAAAATAATTAAATGATTATTTAAAGGTCCTTAATTTAACAAAATGTAACACATTTTTAACTCAAAAAATTAAGATATTGGAAGAAATACAGTGCAGTAAACAAGTCCACTTCAGGAAGACCCGCAAGATGCTTTTTTCACATGTTTTTTCTCCCTAAATATGTGTTACACCCCTCAGAGTGCAACAGATGATAGGACTGCAATGGAAAGGTTCTTGATTCCGGGACAGAAGAAACGCTCCTGTACCAGTGATGCTCTCACAAGAAGTCCAAGGAAGAAGATTAAACTGGAGAAAGATGAGAGGATGAAGGAAGAGAAGGATGAAGTAGATGAAGATTCAGCTTTAGCAGAGTTCTCTCATCCTGTTCCCTGGCAAAAAATAGAGGCAGAGGGACTAGACTGTGATTATGCCTTACTCTTCGCCAAAGAAGAAGCAGACCAACTTTTTAAACAGTTGGAGAATGAGGTGGTGTACTCAACAGGTACAACATCAACCCCTTTTAATTTTTAATTTATTTTTTTATAAGTTATGACCAGAAGTTGCAGTGCTGCTGAGCAATTGTGGCTGTTTCTGTTCCAGGAGAAGAAGCAAAGGTCCAGGTGTTTGGAAAGGTGTACAGTATACCAAGAAAGCAGGCGACATACGGAGATGCAGGTCTAACCTACACTTATTCTGGGGTGACACGTTCAGCCTGCCCATGGACTCCAACCTTGGAATCCATTCGAGATGCTGTCACAAAAACCACAGGACAGACGTTCAACTTTGTCTTGGTCAACAGGTGAGAAATTACCGAGTACAAGGTTGTAAAGGTCACAGCTTGATGGATCTCCCTGCTGAAAGTGTTCTCCGATCATGCACCAGGTACAAAGATGGGCAGGATCACATGGGTGAGCATCGTGATGATGAAAAGGAGCTAGATCCCCTCTGTCCCATCGCTTCTGTCTCTCTGGGAGCAGCACGAGACTTCATCTTCAGGCACAGAGACGCTCGGGGAAAACATAGCTGCAGACAGATTGAACCTGTGAAACTGGAACTCGCTCATGGGAGCCTGCTCCTCATGAACCCACCGACCAACACTTTTTGGTACCACAGCCTTCCTGTGCGCAAGAAAGTCCTACTGCCTCGCATCAACCTCACTTTTAGACGCATTGTACTGGCCAGCAAGAAATGAGAGGAAGCCACGGCCAAGCATGGATTATCCACAGGGGTAAAAAGTCCCTGAGCACATGGACAAGTATCACAAATCTAGAATGTGTTTCTTAATGTAGCAGCTGGATCTGAGTGACTAAATGGCAGAACAGGGTGAAATAAGTGAGGACCAACAACTCTAGAGAATGAATCAGTGGTTTAACATGACATAGGCCCAAAGCTCTGACTGACTCAGCTCTTACTTGATCAGGTTATGTTCTGTATGGCAGCTCACGTGAACAATAAAATAAACTGTTATGAACAATTTGATCTTCTTGAATAAAAATTACAGGCTCTCAATGAGTGCAGATTATATAGGCTACATTGAGCCAGAATGCAATGTTGCACTGTGTCCTGATTGCAGATGAGGCCTTTAACAGTGTTCATGTGTTGGAAGGAAAGATGTGTACTGTTGTAAAAATGTTACTTGTTTGAATTACAGCCAATGGATTATGTGATTAGCTGAACTGTAGATTGATATTCGTTAGTCTCAGCTCTGGATTACTATGATTACTATTTAACTCGAGGTCAATTTAACCCCGTCTCAGGGTCTTTACAAGCCGATGGGGTTTGCAAACTCCATCTAACTAAACTTTGTCAGTCTCTGCCAAAGTCCATTTATCCTTTTAAATGATGTATTTTATTTATTGTTTTTATTATTTATTGTTTATCTCTACAGAGAAAATCTTTGGTTTCTTCTGTGATGACCTCATGCCTGGTCATCTCACAGAAAATTATTATATTTGGTAGAGATTCAGTGTTTTGGTTGTGGACACCTCAGAAAAGTGGGTGTTGGATCTTAGTCATGTCTCAATCTAGCAAATAATCATCTTGCTTTGAAAAAATTCAACTCTAAAGTACACAATAGTTTTATATTTTTAATATCTGAAAACAACCACCTTAACAGATTGCACACAATACACACAATCTCACATAAATATACATTAGTGCAAATCGCAAACATTAACGAGGGGATTTCCACCAGGCCATTTCTCAAAATTTGACTTAGTTGGTTTGGTCAGAGTGAAATGGCAGTCATCAGTTACAGAGTTAAAAATATTCAGGATAACTTGCTCAAAAAACCTGCAGTCACACCCTGGCTTTATTAACTGAGAGCACATCTTTACTAATCTGTCACCATGCCAAGCGGCTCTGAAGCATCTCTTCTACAATAAGAAGAGGTCTTATTGTATGTTCACATCAGTTGCAGCAGACGTGGTTCAACGTGTTAAAAATCTCTTCAAGACAACATGGCACTTTAACCTCAACTGTGCAGCTCTGCAAATCATGACAGTTTAAGGATTATTGGAAACATAGAAAAATATCAAATTCAATTGAAACATTATTTCCATTACAGTTAACGTACACTGCTGGGAATGATTAGGCAAATTAGATTAGATTAGACAACAGTGAACCAGAGTTAAGGAATTATCTATTTGACTTTTCATAATACGTAACAAGTAACATCTCCATGAAGTCCTAATCAGCTACTTCTGTTGAGCTGAGTCAACACCTCTGACAGGCTCAACAACAGAAACACTATAAACTTCACACATGAACAATGTATTGCAGAGTTGGAATCCACTACATTGTCATGTGTTCCTGTTTTTTTTTTTGTCCTGTAGAAGCTAAAATGTTACATGACAGAAACTGTTACATGTGTGAAAGATATCTGACTAAGAATCCTGCAGGTCCATAATCTTTGGGATAAAGAGCGTCCTACTCTGAATCAGAGCAGCAGGCCAAGTGTCCACTCATGGAATTAAACATTATACAATGATCTTCAACATATTGCTGTGATCCATGATGCAAAATTAGCTCTAAAATAACTCTAGGATGGCTTTCCTGTCTGGCCTCATTGTCACAAAGTCAGAATCCGCCTGATGGTATTCATGTTGTAACTGGCACATACAGCTGTGACAGTTTGACTGGAAAGCCAGAAGTCCGTCCGGCTTTGAGGTCGTACGCTTCCGGTTACTCCTCTGAACGCAAAGGGAGGTTCAGTCTTCGGACTCTCTCGTAAAACAGCATGTAAGCGTTGGAAGACAGCACCTCGTGCAGGCTGGCTTTTCGCACCGAGTCATCCGACACCCACAGCCACTGGGAGCTGAAGGGTGAAGGGCTGCGGGGTGAGGAAGGGCTGCGGCGGTATGTGACGAAATGTCCTGAGTGCATGTCACCGTGATGAACCAGCACAGCTGTGAGCTGGAAAAGGTACTCTGTAGAACTGTAAGGAAAGACACTATGATCAAAAACATATACATATAGGTGTCAAATTAAAGAAAAAACAACAAGACTTTCTAGTAAACATAACATAAACCAGCTGTGACAGCCATCCTGCTGTTTCAGGATGCGCCAGAACCAGTGTTGTGTGTTCTGTTAAAAAAAGATCAAATGAAGCCACAACGAACATTTAAAAAAAGCCATCACTTTAACAGACAGGTGAAAGCCACAACATTGAATAACTTGATATGCATGAGTTCCTTGTATTGTTGCACGGTCATAAACTGCTTTTGTTAAGTTTACCTGTAGTCATATGTGAGGCCGAGCTGTGTGTTCACAGCAGGAGAGTGAAGAAATAAAGATGAACAGGTTCCATTAGAAAAAGGGTTGTTGTTGTTGTTGTGATGCTCTGCATCTGGAAAACAAGATCCAACAAATGTATGATGCATGACATAAAAAAAATGGAACGTGAAGCAGCATGATATTACAGAGTTGACAAATCCAACATACCAGTGCCATTGGCAGTGGGCTTTTCAATGGCATCTTCTGAATTTTCTGCTTTCATGACCTTTGGAGCACACATGGTCCGCTGATTTCTCTGTGTGGAAACGTTGTGTTTGTAGCGGTCCATTGATAGATACTCTGTGAACTGCACATGCTCCTGTCTTTTGATAGGGGTTCCTTCACTGGACCACGTCAGTCTTTGTAAATGGATGCAGAGACACTGGGGGAGCTAGAAGAAGGAGGAAAACATCATACACAGAAAGGTTTGGTGAAAAGACAACACAGTACATAAAACGTTAGAAGTTTTGATCTACCTAATAATGTTGACGAAATAATATATTATAATGACATCATAAATACAAATGACTGTTACCTTTCCCAGTTTAAGCTGTTTAACAAATGTTGTCCTCTGACTTTCCAGAACTTGCCCGTTTACTGTGGTCACTTGTTGAAGCTGAGGAGAAATTATCCAAAACAGAAATTAAACAAAATCAACAAAATGTATCTTTTTAAAGAAACATATGGACAAATTACATATTTGACAAATATGATTAGCAGAATTTAGCAAGACACTGTTACTGTAGTGAACGTACCTTTGTGCAGTTTTCACACTCCACTTCTTTGATGGTTTCTGAGGAGATAAAATGCTGAAGACACTGATCTAGAGAGATAGGTCGACCCTGAGGACAAATACAGATCAAATTAGGGCAAACAGAACAACAAAGAAGCATATTAAGTAGTGATAGTACAACAACTTTTAACATGCATGTGTTCCTGATACTGTATTTTTGCTTACCCACTGAGGTAAAGGTATGGACAGGGAGAGGCTCTCGAATGAGTCATACCGCACCGGACTCTATAAAAAGTAAAGCAGTGGTATAAATCACCTCACAAGTCAAGTAACACAAATTAACTCCTTTTTCACTTCACTGGCTGGAAAAAAAAAAAAAACTCACTTGCTGTTCGCAGCGCTTGCATGACATGTTGCTCGTTAAACGACCATGAAAAGGATGCTGAAACTTCCAAGGGCTTGGTATTGGATGAAGCGGGGCTGCAAAACAAGAAATGAATACAGTTGGAATATATATTTTTTGTGGTTTGATAATCTATGCTACATAACTCCTTTGTATTCTTACCTCGACTTCTGCAGGTCATAGTTTTCTCATCTTGATCAGGGAGACTCTGGTATAAAATAAACACATATACACAGAATAACTGGGAGTGCAGTACCAGATTTGTTATTTTTGCCACCTCTACATACAATACTGGCTATGGTTCACAAGCTGGGACAGACTGAGATTTTAAAAAGGTATAGGAGACAGAGTTTAGGTTAAAATAGTCTAAATACTTCCCTCCTGAGCACATGTGCTCCAAAGTGCAGAGCTCTAACTGCAAGACATATGGGAGCCATGCAACATGCAAGAGAGATTTTTGTGAAGTTTTAGGGACGATGCAAGTCAGGAGATGATAACTTGCCTCGAGGGACTGCATGTCAAACAAGTGAGTGACTTTAGGTTGACGATCCCGTTCCTCCTCCAGGGAAGATGTAAGGACATGAAAAAGTTCATGTGCATCCTAGATGGGATAAAGCAACACAAACAAACAACTGTTAAGACTTAAATAAAACACAGCACCATATATTATATATAGGCATATAGAAAAATGCCACTCAACAGCATGATGACCAACCTGCTCTTCAAATGAACTGATGTGCCACCGGTACAGTCTGAGAACATCGAGGAGGCATCCAGCATCAAGTACATCCTCCTCCCCAGGCTCATCACTGGACAGAGCTGCCGGTGTACAAACAGCCTCCATGTCAAAAATACAAATGAACACTGGGTGTCTAATACACTCTGGTGTTCCATCTGACAGAATGATTTTATATACCTTTGAGAAGCTGTAGCAGCGTCATGGACAGTTGGTTGTCTTTGCATGACTGGATTGTAGGTGAACCTGAAAACTTATCCAGCCACCTGATGAAGGACGGACACGCTGCCAAACCTTGAAGCAAAGAGTTCAGGAAGCAGGTGTTGCCCAAGTTCAACAGACCAGGAACCATACCTGACAGAAAACACGAGTCATTGTTAGTTACTGCTTTATAACCAGTGCCGAACATACAATCTGTAGATTAAATTATCATACCAGGTCTTACCTCTCTTTCTCTTCTTTCTCTCTGTAATTGGGCCCCACAAAACATATACTCCAGCTGCAATCGCAGCAGCTATCCCACCAATAACGCCCCAGTTCTTAATCATCTTGTTTCTGAAAAGACCATATATAGGAGAGTCAGGGAGGCATGAGGGTAATAGGTAAATATCAAAACCAGACAATAATGATACTGACATGGGTATGGGTTTTGTTTATTCACTAAACACTATATTTGATACAAAGTTGATTTTTGGCAGCAAAACCAACAGATATGTAATGAAAGTCAGTAGTGTCTCTTCCATACCCACTTCACACCTTCTCACCACACACAGAGGTGCTGATGAACTTTATGCTCATTTTTGAGGCGATAGTTTGTAGTGATGCTGAACTGTATTGTGTTCTACTGAGATATACTGAGTGTATTTTGAATATTTGGTCTACTCTCATTGATATAACTACAGTGGAAAAAATGTAAGATACACACCTAAATATAACACAATACAATCGAAGGGCACAAAAATACAGCCTCCAAAATGACGAGAGCTGAATAAACACACTTTTCAACAAAAACTGAACATTATAACTCTTGTATTAGACAGATTTAGTTTTAGCTGGGTGTACCTGACAAACTGAGTGTATGTTGTGTTTATGTAGTTATTTTTTTTATCCTGCGTAGTGTATTTCACTGCAACACCACTGTATCTCACACCAGATCATATTCTTCACACGTTTACAATCTAGCTACAATTTGTCATCATGATTGTCCATACAATTTTTACTTTGTTGCTCTACACCTTACAAATTTTGCATCGTCTGTCCATCCTGGAAGAGAAAGGCCTCCAACGTTGCTCTTCCTGAGGTTTCCTCCATTTTTTCCCCATAAAAAGGTTTTTTTATTGTTTGTTTTTTAAAGAGTTTTTCCCTTGCCACACAGAGCCTCCTGAGGCATATTTTTGATATTGGGCTTTATAAATAAAATTATTTGTTCAACTGATTTCATCAACAGTGGTAGTGTAGCACAGCCATCTTTTCCTGTGTGGACAGAGGGGGATGGTAAATGGTTTTGGACGCCTATTTTGTTTTATAGGAACCCCATGTGGGTCAAAATCAGTATATTTTACATTCTATCTGTTAGGATTGAATGCGTCCTGCTCTTAAAGCACAGACCAAACAACGCGTAGCGTAATGCAAACTAAAGAATTAATTACATGATCCTCCACTGACCCGTGATCCAATTAGTTTATCTGCGTTAAAAAAAAACAACAACAAAAAACCTCGCACAACTCATCTAGTCTGCTAGTGGCCCGGTTAGAAAACTTGAAATTGTTATTTAATGTTACGTAGCAACATAGAAGTTATACAATCTATCTAGTAACGACACTAACCCCCACACACATCTTGTCGATGTGTTCCATGAACTAGCTCAAACCAACATTAGCATACAGCTTAGCTTACCGACAACACCGAGGTCAGACTGCCCTCGGTGAACTATGTCGCCTCCATAAAGAAATATCCACGATGCTATCTAAAAACACAGTTGAAATATATCATTGCTTTGTGTGTCCGTTTGCAGGTTTAGTAACAGTATCCTAATGTTAAACCTGACTCCGTATCTGTCTGCGCATGTTGCACTTTGGGTCCAACGTACGGCGGCGCCGTGACTCGCGTTTCCCCCTGCCCCAGTGCACCAACTAAGCTTTGGTTGTTGTTTTGCCAGGTGGAAGGTTTTACCTGACTACGGGTCCAGTGCCAAGGAACTCCCCAACAAGCTTATCAGAGGTCTCGGGTCTGTACCGCAACATCCTGCTTTCATTGCGGAACTCTCCTCTGTGTACTGAGTGTTTCATGACGGACTCACGGAAGAGCGCGCGGATGTGGTCACAGTATACACTCCGGTGAGCAAAGTGTTTGTTGCGCACATTTCTGCAGTTAAGAGAAACATCTGCAACTGCAAACTTCTCATGCTAATAAAAGAAAAAGTTAAAATCAGATCTGTTTTTGCTCTGAATGGCGGGAAGTTTTGCGAGATAGTTTCTAGATTTGTAAACAGTATTTGTACTGATTTCTACCAGAATGCCCTGTTTGAAATTTTAAAAAATTACAAATAAATAATAAAATTTAAAAAAAAAAAAACCCCACTAACATTATCACTAAAAGATCTAAAGCAGATTTTTTTTTGTGGTCCTACCTCATAGACATGTAGCAGGCGAGGAAAAAGTAACCCCAAAAAATTCAAATACTTCAAATATACGATATCAAACGCACTGTACATTTTGGTTCACAGTTACTTAATTCTCATCAGAATTAAACCTTATACACCATGTTTGGTCTGGCATCTTATTCTTGTTTATTTGTATTGTATTTAATATTTTTTATGTATTTACTTTTATTCTATTTCAATTGATTTTTGTATAAAATCGTTTTTAAATGTAGTTTTAATACATTTCTTCACCTTATATAATACACTTTGAACTGCTTCTGTGTTTGAAATGTACTACACAAATTCCCATACGGTTTAATAGGCTTTCTTTGGTCAATAATTCCAAATCTGATTTATCATCTCAAATCTGATTATGGACTACACACATTTCACCAACGGGACTGGATTGGGGGTGTGAATAGATATAATGCTACAGTCAGATTAAAATGTCAGATTATCTGGGCTCACCCACTGTATTATGTCCCAGGTCATGTGTGGACCACAGCGGTCCTGCGGTCTCAGGTCCGCCAGAGCTCATCTTATTCTGACTCTACTTCTCCGTGTCTCGTGCTTTGACTCGCGCACGGTGGCTTCTCATTGGCTGTCAGCTGACGCCGGAGCAGGTCGCTCTCCTCGGTGCTGAAATCGCTGCTCGTCGTGATAATGTGAACGGCGATGAGGCCAAACGGAGCGTCGGCCAATAGACACCAAAATGGACGATGATCTGTTCCAACTGAGACAGCTGCCGTGAGTAAACCACAATCTGCATATCATCGCCTTTCACCGTTGTTTGGTCCATTTTCAACCGTGACAGCACGTTTGTCCGACGCGTCGCCCTCTGACAGCTTCGCATCGTGTTTGTTTGATTAGCTCGCTGGAGCACAAACAGCCTTACATGCCTCAAAAGCAGCAGTCATTTCATAACAATATTTATCCAACTGTTTTACCGAGATATGTTCCTAGATTAAAGATTAATTTTATGAATAAATAAATAAAAACAACCTCGCTTGTCCAGGCACCGCTGGTGGTGCACTTTGTTTACAGTCGTAGCATTTCCCTAAGAAGACTATTCTGGTTTTATTTAGTAACAGGAAGCAGCTCTATTGTGATTTCTGGCTGATAAGTTGTCCATCTTAACTTATAATTGTGTTTGCTGTCATGACTCAGTACCTAATGTGATTTATTTCAGCCCTAAGATCAAGGTTGGCCCATACGGGTCCAGCTTGCCCGTCATGGGGAATATGTCTCTAAGATATATTAAAATGACGATATATAGTCTTCCTGAAGAATCACATAATGACAAATGTATTTTAGAAAGTAAATAGTTTATCAAGCAGTTTGAAATCTATTCCAATGAATAAAAGACAAGAAAGGAAATGCATGGCTATATTTTCAAGGGTTTGCTACAGTATTGCTCCACAATTAGCCTACATATTCACTTACATGCATTTCTTTACAATTACAGTGGTTTATAGGAAAAGACAGACATTCGTTGACATCTCACAGACTGGTCTGCAGCACTGATATTTCCAATTGCAAGTAGGCAATGTTATGTAATTACAGTGATTAAGACATCACTGGTACTCTCCAAGTTCTCTTATAGTGTTTATCATTGATGAACTATCCATTATCTACATGTGGGAGAAGATTATACCTTCCATCTGTAAAGAACATGTATAACTCTGGGTATTTAGCTTTTATAAGCCTGCCAAGCAGTAAAGTAGAGTGTGCAGAGATGTCAGTTGACTTGACATGGTTCGCCCATAGGATGATATTACCACCCATTCACAAAATCACAGCCAGAAAAAGCTCATATCACCTAGGCAACAGCCTCTGACTCTCATTTGTACTCAGCTTTGCCCTGGCACTAGTCTTCTGTAACTCCTCTGGACAGCCATGTTGCAGATGTGTTAATCCTCCTGAGTTTTAAAAATTTTATTATTTTTTTTGTAGTGTTGTCCGCTTCCGTCGCACAGGTGAGAGCACACGCTCTGAGGATGATGGTGAGAATAGAGAACAGGTTGTCAGGATTGCAGAGCAGACTGATCTGGAGTCTGAGGCACTTGCAGAAGGAGCTCCAGTACCTCGAGAGTTTGCCAATCCAACTGATGGTACAGTATGGCAGCAGGGCTCCATTTTTCTCAGACAACCTTTTTGACTCCTTGTTACTACATTTCCCTATTAGGCTCATACTCAAGTAATATCTTGCATATGGCCCTCAAGATTGCTGCATCTCTCATACCTTCAGACACATTCATGGTAGAAGATGCTGTGGAGGCCATAGGCTTTGGGACATTTCAGTGGAAACTCTCCATCCTCACTGGTCTGTCCTGGGTGAGAACTGCTCTTTAACTTAAAAACAAATACACCTTTCAAGAAACTGCGTCTACTGGAATACTGATTTATTGTGTATTTCTGGGTTTTTTTGTTTGCTCAGATGGCTGATGCCATGGAGATGATGATCCTCAGCATCTTAGCCCCACAGCTCCACTGTGAATGGAGACTGCCCAGCCTCGAGGTGGCACTGCTTACATCGGTAATGGCTCTCTAATGTCCGTAAAGTGCTCTTGCTTGCAGTGCCACATGACTGTCCTGATAGTTATTGATTCAGTGCTTAGGGATTGTTTTGAAATAAGTGCTTGTATTGAACAGTGACAACCACATGGAAGACAGTAGAGCCCATAATGGTTTTTACATGTGTTGCAATATTTAGATTTGAATGTCTATCAAAGCCATTTTTGCTTTTCTGGGTATAATATAAAACAACATGCAAACAGAGGGGGGGGGGGGGGGGGGGGAGGTACACTAGATTTTACTAAAGGTATTACATTGAACAGTGCAGATTTCTAATGAAGTCACTTAATAAGATATGATTAAGACAGTTAATGCCACACTCAGTGTTCACGAGAAGATATTCAAATGGAAATTTTCACATTTAGTGACTTCTAGTGGCTCGCACCAAGACAAAAATCTGCAGTATTGTTTGCAGTATGAAAATATGCATGACAGGTTGTTGTTATATGTTGTTATTATATCAGCTATGTGAGCTGCTGCGACATGCCCAATCCCATGAATCTGCTTTGTTTTTTTTCCTTTTGTCACTGACACAGGCCGTGTTTATTGGGATGATGATCAGCTCGTCTCTTTGGGGAAACATATCTGACAAATATGGCAGAAAGACAGTAAGTTCTAATAACGCTTCTGTTTCACATGGAGTTGATTTCTGATTCCCGTAACTTTATCTTGGGCTTCTAGGTGTTTGAAGTTTAGCTGTTGTGTTTCTGAAAGAAAGAAAGTGTTTGACATCAGACACCTCAAGAGCCTTATCAGATCACCATGATTTATTTAGCAGCCTCTTATGTTTTCATTGTATGCACACACAGGGTCTGAAGATGAGTGTGTTGTGGACTATGTTCTACGGTGTGATGAGTGCATTTGCGCCAATTTATGGGTGGATCCTTGTCCTCCGTGCGCTGGTGGGCTTTGGCATTGGAGGAGCCCCACAGTCGTGAGTAACCCTGATTTATGTCTCTGAAAACAACGCTGTAATTAATGATTTGAGTTTGGATTAACAGTGAAATGTCCCTCCTTATAAAGGGTGACACTGTACGCTGAATTTCTGCCTATGAAGTCTAGAGCCACATGCATCTTGCTGATTGAGGTATGGACCACGGTGTACGACTAATCCATCAGCTGCCTAGCCAGAGCGTTAATAGCATCCAGAAATGAAAACGCATGCAACCGTAACTGACACAGCACTGAAATGCTCTGTTTTACTAGCAGGATTTTATATGATGTTGACACTAAATCTCTTTTTCTTTTACAAGTTGCGTTCACTGCTGTTGCTTTGCAGATATTTTGGGCACTGGGCACTGTGTTTGAGGTCCTCTTAGCGATCCTGGTGATGCCCACTCTGGGCTGGCGCTGGCTGCTTGGCCTTTCTACCATTCCTCTCTTCATATTTGCCATCCTGTGTTTCGTGAGTGTGATCTTATCAGTCTCAAAATGTTCTACAATATGTAAAGATAACAAGTTATGGCTTTATCAACTGACATGCCTGTTTTTTTGGTGGTGTGTGTGTGCAGTGGCTACCAGAGAGCGCTCGATATGACGTGCTGACAGGGAACCAGGAAAAAGCTCTGGCCACGCTGAAGCGCATTGCCACAGAGAACGGAGCACCCATGCCACTGGGAAAACTAATTGCTGCCAGACAGGTGGAGTCTCTATGTGCAGAACACAAATCCTCTGACTGTAATTCACACATCATTCATGTTTGACCAACTATTATTTTGTAATCTGTGCATTCAGTTCTGTATGTCTCCTCTTTTAATTAGGAGGATCGTGGGAAGATTCGTGACTTATTTTCATCCCACTTTCGCTGGACAACAGTTCTGCTGTGGTTTATTTGGTAAATGGAGTGAATGAACATGCCACACAGTCGAATCCTCAGTCACTGCTCGCTCTGTTCTTTTTGAAATTTCTCATCCCGTGTCTGTGTCTTCTCAGGTTTGCAAATGCTTTCTCCTACTATGGACTGGTGCTCCTGACCACGGAGCTGTTTCAGGAGGGAGGCGCATGTGGAGGTGAGTCAGTGCTCCTCAAACAGACCTACACACACTCAGACACAGACACACACACACACACACACACACACACACACACACACACACACACACACACACACACACACACACACACACACACATTTTAATTTGGCACACTGATGAAAGAGACATGGTAGTTTAGTGACTTGTGTGAGTAATATCTACTTTTAGTTAAACTGAATTTGAGATAAATAAACAGAAAAAATAAATCATGCTTCTCAAGGTCAGTGAAAACAGAGCACTGCAGGCGTTAGAACATGTCATAACAAGGTGTAACTGATAACACTAACAATGGCTTACAGAGACAGTTAACTGAGCCATCCATAATGTTGTCAGTTCCACCTGTGCTTTAGATAATATGACAAGATGAATGTATGCTGTGAAAAAGATTTATCTATATGAATGCCTTTCTTATGTATATAGGTCATGTTATACAGCTTTGTTTTTTCAAAAAGCACCACAATGGACTGAGTCAGTGTTGGGTGTATACCGTCTCGTTTGTTGTTTTATACCTCCCTCTAGTGTCCAAAGGAAATAAGATGGAGCTCCGATGCAGCTTGGAGTGTAAATATCTGAACTCTGACGACTACAAAGACCTACTGTGGACGACGTTATCTGAATTCCCAGGTACATGTTACTGAATTCTCTTCAGGTGAAGGTAAAGGTGCACTCATGTATTACTGTTTTGTAATGTAATTCTTAGTGCATTAGGAGGAAATGGTAATCATTATACTGTGTAACCGATACCATTCATGTTGCGTAGGGCTGCTGGTGACACTGTGGGCTATTGATCGACTGGGAAGGAGGAAGACCATGGCGTTGTGTTTCCTCGTCTTCTCTCTGTGCATCATTCCACTCTATGGTTGTGTTGGGAGGTAAGGAGGGCCATAGCTAGACTTCAAAAACTTTTTTTTATGAATTGTGGCTCCTGTGTTTATCCACTCTAACTGGCATTGGTTTCTCTCTTGCAGAGCGTCCATGACAGTGTTAATATTCATTGCCAGAGCCTTTATTGCAGGAGGGTTCCAGGCTGCCTATGTGTACACTCCCGAGGTTAGATACTCAAAGCAGAGTGAAGTTTTTTTGCGTGTATTGTGTGAAGTGCAAACAGTTATTAGTACAGCTCAGATCAAATGAATAGCTGAGTAATAAGAGGCAGAATCTGAGCGAGGCAACCTCCTCAGTATCTTCTGAAACTCTGCAGGTGTACCCAACAGCGACCAGGGCTTTAGGTCTGGGAACAAGCAGTGGGATGGCCAGAGTTGGTGCCCTCATTACCCCTTTTGTTGCACAGGTAAGAGCCAGCCGTCATTTTTCTAATTTAAATATAGCACAAAATGAGAAAGAGTAAAAATAATTGTTTATCCCTGTGCTTCATCCTGCAGGTGATGTTGGAGTCCTCTGTTTACCTGGCTCTCTCGGTCTACTGCTGCTGCTGCCTCCTAGCTGCCGTCGCCTCCTGTGCACTGCCGATTGAGACAACAGGTCGGGGCCTGCAGGAGTCCAGCCACCGTGAGTGGGGCCAGGAGATGATGGGCCGAGCCTCCTCCCACAGCTCAGGAGGACTCCCTAATTCCAGCTCCGGCTCCCAGGGCTGAGGACTCGCCGGCTGGAGTACAACTGAGAAGTGACCGCAGTGGAGAAAGGAGGCAATGAGAAGCGAGAAAGCCAAACCAGCTTTCCGTGTCCATCTCCAGTCCCACTCTATGACTCTTCAGTTTAGGCAACCACAGTGGCTTCAGAGAGCCAGGCAGCACAATGTTTTGACATGTCACTGTATTTATAGTCTTCAACCACCATTGCTGTCACAATTTTGCCACTGTATAACTGCACACAGGGTGATGGGAAAGACCAAATGACCTGCACGAGTGCAAGAGCAAATGGTGGACACAATGTGAAACCTTCTTGAACAAGTGAGAATTCAAATACTTAAAACAAAGTATTTGAATCCTGCTTTTCTAATGCAAGAGAAGCTAAGGGGAATAGAGAGGGTGAAGGTGTTAAGTGTTAGCTTCAAACCACTATCTTCTTTTCAAAGAGCCTTAAAACTACCTATTCAGTTTGTGGTTGAGAGACCTCCTCTCAACCCAATGAAAAAGCTGCTTCCATTAGCATACATAGATAAGAAAGATCATTATCTTGTGAACACAAATTGCCTGTAAAAAATACACTAATTACAAACTCAGCTTTACAAAAAGTACATGGCTGGAACAGCTCCACATCATCAAATCAACAGACCATTCGATTAAATAAAGCTTGGAGTTGCTTCATTTGAGATTCACTTGGGTCTAGGCAGTGAAAAGACATACTGTACAGTCACCAACTTTCTTAAAGTCAGTGATAACTATGTTCTTTTTTCTTGTGTCAGTATTATTTTACATTTTACCATGGATGATATTTGTTTTCTGCTAAAGAAATGAGGAATAGGGAGTTATTACTCTAATAATAACAAAAATACCGCCTCGTGTCTGGATCATTATGTCGCTGTTTATTTACAACAAGCTGACAAATCTGCCAAAGTCTTCATCAGAGCATAATGACATCGTACACTCTGCAATATTTCATAATTATGACACAAATAGAACAAGTCCACAGATTCTGGACTGCATTTGAAGACAACATTGTGTAAGTTAACATTGAAGTAGGGAATTTAAATCTGAATATTTTCATCATTCAAAGCTGACTCAGCCCTAGTTAGCAAAAAAATTACATGATTTAAAAAAATGACATGAGTATATGAGTCTATGGTGTTGTATGGTATTATGATTTATAAACCGTGCTGCGTCTCTTACTCTACTCTGAGACTGTGCACACGTGGACCTACACATGCATATACAACCATTTAGCAGGATGTTACTTTCTGTCTTTCTGTAAATAATGTATCGATACCTGGTTTAGTTGTTGTCTTTGCTTTTGTTTGTAACAAAGGTGATGTGGAGACAGACTACGAGTGACAAACTGAGCAAAGTTTTGTTTAAAAAAAAAAAAAAAATCAGATCAACTAGCACAGGTCCAGCAAGCTGACTCTTAGCTGCCAGTGTTTGAGAGATAGTGCTACATTAAGTGTCTGTGTGCACAGATTCTTGTAAATGCACTGGATGTAAATGTGTATGATACTATAGTAAATAATGTTTCAAAAAGACCAGTGGATTCATGTTGTTATTTATTACTAAAGAAAAAATCTAATAATCACTATCAGTAGATTTGTCTACTTTTTCATTTTCAAAGATATGTACACATTATGTCCTTTTTTATATCACCCAAACCTCCTTCGGATTTAAGCCTTACCTTAATTAATAATGAACAGAGACAACAACAGTTGTCAACAATGTCCCCCTTTCATGTTACATATACATTAGCTTGCTTGAACCCAAAGGTAAATGATGGTGTAGACAAAAGCAGTTTGTGCATCGCTGGATACAAGGCACTGATGTGGAAATTTGAGAAAGGAAAGCACCATTCATTACTCCAGGACACAAATTTACAAGCGAGCTCTTGGACCGTTGCCTTTTTGTTCTACGATCTGACCGAAGAGCCTCGCTGCCTCCTGGGCGCAGCCTCTGTGAATGGTGAGCCCGAAACCTCCATGGCCGTAGTTATGTATCACCTGAATGGGGGTCACAATGTTTTAGAAGTTCATACAATAACATTCATATGTAGAGTCCTGATTAACAGTTATGGTTTACCTCTATTGTAGTTGCACCGGAATGTATGGTCTCCCTCTCCAGTCGGACTTTACTCCGAACAGGTCTGAGGCCGGACCAGTCCTCCACTATCCTGGCATGCTGAGGGTAGACAACAACATGACATAAGCTGTCCCACCTTTGAACCTTGAAAATGTGTCCAAATATTAAGAAAAATGTTGCAAATGTTGAATTATTGTATTGCATGTTACAGTATTTTTACGTAACTCACTTAAAACCAAAGTTTTCTCTGTCAGAGCCAAATTGTTCCTTATTACAAACATGTTTTACAGAATAAGTATTCTAAATATATCAAAAGAAAAATGTTAAATATTTAGCACTACTGAAGACTCGCGGTAAATTATTTATCACTGTTGAGACATTAAGTTTTTGTTATGGCCTCTTTGACAAACAACATTTTGGTATCACCTAACCTTGAGACTGGGCTCGACCTGGCAGGCGTCTTCCCAGATTTTCTTATGGTCAGTGGAGTTGTTCTGTTCACTCCAGTTTCCTATCTGGAAAACTCCACCGACTGTCACAAGACGACTCCTGCAGACACACATGTTCTTTTCAGTCACGATAACAGATGTGGTTTTCTGACTACACTATGCTACAATCTCAAATCAACCCCCAAAATAACAGCGCTGTGACAGCAGGCATCACCATGCTGTAACCACTGCAACTACTGAATTTTTTTTTTTTAAAACATACCTCAAATGGAAAATTCAATTGGAGCAATATTTAGAACTGCATTACGCATTATGTGCATTATGTGCAAGACTCTGTACAGAGACATGTCTGTGTGCATCTGCAGTTCACTGTTTACAAGTGTGTTGTGTCACTACCGCTACCCTGGAATGATGTATGGTGAATTGTAGACTCCTGTTGTAAAGTTGTGGGTAAGAATCCAATGCTTCAACCATGGAGCATCCACCTGAAACACAGAGGAACAACAGGGTTCACAACTGCTACTTCCACTATGCCTTTATAGTTGGTTATAAAAAACAATAATTAAACACTTTAGGCTGTTCACTCTCACCTTCACTATCTGGCCGCGACCTGGTTTCAGGTCTGGATCCGGCTGGAGCTCTCCTGATCTCATCCCAGTACAGTTTATGATCACGTCTGCCCCAGTTTCTGCCAGCTAAAAACAGGCATACACGATAAGAGATAACAAATATGACGAGAGATAACATTTTGTGAGTCTTGTGAACATTTTGTAGTAAATGTTGTAAGATTAGTGGCTATAACCAGTATTTCTAAAAAAAAAAAAACAACCTATATTAAAAATGCAACTATAATATTGAAAAGCCCTCACTAACCTCCTTGAAGGACTCTATTTTCCTGTGGTAAAATTTCACCCCCCTTTTTTGCAACCTGGAAATAACAGAAAACCAGATATGTATTAGGAGGTCTGGAATACCACTGCAGAAGAAGAAACTTTTGAGTGAAGAACCAGTTCTCCTAAACATCACAGGACATCAGTTAGGTGGATCCAGCAGCTGTCATCCAGCAGCTGTCCAAATTTGCCTTTTTAACATATAACACTGCACAATGCATGGTGGTAGTTAGCTCTCTTTATTTAGTGACCACTAATTGTGCACTTCTTTTTACTTTGCACTATGGGATACTTTTACTCCACTAAATAGGGTATATACTGTATATATCACTCAGCATTACAAAATGATAAACACAGTATGTAGTTTATAGAATTTTAGACAGACGAGCTAAACCAAGACCATGTGTTGAAAATGTAAGATAAGATAAAACTTTATTTATCTCTGAGCAAGTGACGTGAATACTATATGTACATAACAGCAATCGAGAGCTTTCTTTCAAGTTTTTTATTGGGTAATAAATGTTGCAAACAGGTGCCACACTAAGATGAACTGAGTTCAACTCAGGACTTGTTAAGTTCTGGTTAAAAAATGCTGATATAACAAGTCACTTAAGAAATAAGATAAGCACTCACCAGTCCATCAGCCAAGGTAAGTATGTTTTACCTTCCACCATGAGAGCAGTATTGAACCACCCATAACTGGAGATATCAGAAGAGACAAATATGTTACAGTCACACAGTATACACAGTAAAATACGCTTCATATGTGGATGTCTGTGGCTGTGTCTTACAAACAGATCTGGGAATATAATGTTTAATATGAAACAGATAAACTAAGTAACTACTTTGATGCAGTTTCAGCTAGAACCTACTTGTATCCAGGAAACATCTGCAGCTCTCGTTCTGTGAGCTGTCTGAAGCCCAGGACAATGTCTTTAAATGAGGGATCCTGCAATGAAAAACAAGTCACTTACTATGAGACCACACAGGATACAGAATCCCAATTAACTCCTGAGTCTGAGTGAAAATTCCACCCTTAGCGAGGCCTCTCTGTTGATGTTTTCCAACCACTGCAGGCCACCATTCTTTGCGCAGATGAACAAAGCTCTAGTTACGGTGCTGCTGAATACTAATGGACTGTGTTTATGGTAGATATTGCACTGGTAGGTGATAGATTTATGAATAGTTATTTTTGATTACATTGTAACTGCAGCTACATTTTTCCTTGCACAGGACCTTTGTTCTAAGCTGTAAAAGGATCCTGGTCTCATCTTATCTTTGAAGTCAAATTTACTGTGCATTCTCCAAGGACCAAGTGCTACTCACTGGGACTGGTTCAGTGCAGAGGTTGTAGCCAGACTGAAGGAATATACCCATATTTACAGACTCTGGTGAACTGAGGTGGTTCAGCAAGTAGTCAAATGTCTCTTTATTCCATTTTCTGAGGGTGAGCACAAATACAGCATTAAAGTAGTGGTTACTTTTTGTATATGAAGAAGAAAATCAAGAGACAGATAAAGAAAATGCACTTACGTCTCCTGGACGTTGCCCTTATCATACAGGTAGGGCTGCCAGAAGCCAGCAGCTCCATCACTTGTGGTCAGCGGAGTGAAGCGGTCTGCATACACCTCAATGGTCAGTGGACGGACAATTGAGTGATACTGCTCATAGATGCTCTGAGCTGTTGACAGACCAATGACTCCAGCTCCAATCACTGCTACCCGCATGTCTGAATTAACACAAGACACACAACACATTTAGGCCTGAGACACCCATTATGACATCCTATGTGTCAACTGACCAACATTTTCTTTGAGGACATGACAATCTTGCTCATTGCTGTATTGTATTGTATTCTGATGCACCAGATTGGATATGATTAGACAAACTATCTCAGACATATTGCAGGGTTCCCTGAATCATGCACTGCAACTTTGCATTACATCCGCGATCTGGGCAGTTTATAATGGGAGAGTATATTATGTAACACAGCGGACAACATGTCGGTCAAAAATGCATCTTGGTTTAGCGAATTTAGCAAATTGTTGACCTTAAAAACTAAGTAAGAGACCTAAGTAAGTACAGCATTGATAAAACTGATCAATCTGTAAATGTCCGAGAAAGTTTGTCTTTACCTTCAGATTAGTCTGCAGTCGCTACTACAGGAGTTGTCGAAGTCTGTCACAACTCGCACCCACTTACTCACTGGGCCACAGGCGAGAGGGCGGAGACAGCAGCGACCCGGCACATGGTCAGCTCTATCAAGTTAAAAGTGAATTAATGTGTGTGTGTGTGTGTGTGTGTGTGTGTGTGTGTGTGTGTGTGTGTGTGTGTGTGTGTGTGTGTGTTTGTTTGCGCGCGCGCGTGTGCGTGTGTGTGTGTGCAGGAAGTACATCCAATCTAGTGTTACAATGCTGACACTGATACAACAAGCACCAATGATGGGACTATCTCTGCCTTAAATATTATAAGTACAACTAGTTTGGCTGCTGCTTTCACATTTAGTGACTAGGGAAATATCCAGAGGTACCATGCAGATTTCCTGGGACACACATCAACTTAATCTTTACTTTGAAATTTACTTATTGTTGTTGTTGTTGTTGTTATTGTTATTATTATTATTATTATTATTATTATTATTATTTTCTTACTTTCCTGTTTGCTACTGCCTCCTATTGCATCAAATTTGGGGTATTTGTTCACATATTGCATTGTACTGTAACTGCATAACTGCGGCCTATTATCATTCTGTATTATTTTATTTTCTTAAATGTGTTTTTTTTATACTTTCTTGTGTTTCTTTTGCATCTTGTCTTCAAGGTCCTTTAAGTCCTATTGAAATATCAATATAGTATACAAATGAACTTGCAGTGCCTTATATTGTTGTTCAGTCATTATTATTTTATTACTCTAAAGTCAAAAGTGCCATCGGACTGGATGGGGCCTTGAAGGCAGCACTTCCTGCACAGAGAGGCTTCCTGCAGGATACCAAAGCTCTTCTCTCTCCCTCTCTCCCTCTCTCCCTCCCTCCATCCGTCAGCTGTATGTATCGTTAGCCCAGCAGCTAGCAGCAGCTCACCAGGCCACAGCGGCCGGCCGGTGCATCATCCTCAGCTTCCAGCCATGGCGTTGGTTACTCTGCAGCGGTCCCCGACCCCGAGCGCCGCTTCCACCGCCAGCACAGCAACCACGACCGCGGGGGAGGTCAGTTTGGTCCCGGGTGAACTAAAACGATGCTCCGGTGTGGGGAGGTGTTGGTAGACAGGCTGGGGATGAGGGAGATGTTGCGGGAGATAGGGCCGCTGATTGAAGCTACGTTAGCACCCTTAGTTAACGTGTTATGCTAGGTTATTAGCTAACGGTAGCTAGCAAACGTCTTCGTTACTGATAGCCAGATATATCTGGTCAACACATATGTCAATACAGCTGTTAAACTGCATTTTTTTAAAGACGTGGTTACATTATAAAAACCCTCACACCTGTTAAATTTGTTTGGCGTTAATTTATAGCGCTAGCTTAGTGTGACAAGTGCCTTATTAATGATATAAGCTGTAGCTAACGTTAGCTGTTTATGATGTGGCTGGCTGACATTGAAAAATTCAAATTCTTAAACATTAACTATATCACAGGCTGTTTGGCAAACCATCAGCAGAACAATAGCAGGGCTCTCACAAAACATGTACTGCTAAAGTCACATTAACCTACTAATGCTACATCTGAGATTTTTATGTTTTATTATGTTGGTGTGGGCTGTGTTCTCCTTAGTAGACAAGCAATTAGAAACAGTCAGGATATTTCTATGTCAGATTCCATTGTGGTCCATTGTGGTCTGTCCAAAACGTATAGGAAGACAATATGAGATTTCCAGACTGGTAATCATCCATATGGGGGAGAAAGATTAAACCTTAAGGCTTGCTTCTACTTCCCTTTGGTAGCAGAGAGTCACACATTGAGATTTATTGTTTTGTGGATTCACAGCAAGAAAAGTACTTGTCTATTCCACAAAACTATAATCATTCAAAGATAACTTCCCTCTTCCTATGTTTAAGCACAGTCGTCAGTTACCAGATGAGGGCGCTAACTACCAGCTAGAAACAGAAAAGCTCACCTTGTTCTGCTCTGCATGACCACATCAGAGAAACCAGAACTGACATCTATGGCTGCATTTATTTACAGCCACAAGTGTCTGAGCTAAAGCTGTGTTCAGGACAAAAATAGTCCTTGTTTTCACAAGGATGTTCATAACCATGCAACACATAAATGTCATGACATAGTAGCTGTTTATTGCAAATCGATTGCTTCTTTTAAAATAATTTGTTTTGCTGGATTGACTGGGTTTTGTCCCTGTTCTTAAGTGTCCTGCTGGAGAGGGTGGTGTAGTCCAGCAGCATCATGGTGAGGTGTGACAGATAAAGCTGGCAGGAAGCTACTGCAGCTATGATGTCATCTACTCATGAGGGGTGGGTGGGGTGGAGGAATACTACTGTAGGAGGGGAAGGAAAGGAGAGCGGAGGTAAACAGGGATTTACGACATGCTGGCATGAGGCAGTTAATGTGTGAGATTATTTCACCTAATACACTTTTGAGATTTACCTAGTTATGGATTGTTGCATGCTCTCCTTGCACAATAATAATCTTCTGTCCATCCAAAAAATTGGAATTTTTTAGTTTTTCAGTTGTACACAGGTGGCTATACAATTTTGCTCACACTGAAAAACATGTCTTAGAGCCCCTAATCTTTTCTTAATCTTTTATGAACATTTAGGTTTTTTTGATGTCTCAACTGGGTTTTTGTTCATAAATGATTGAGTCTGCTCATGAATGTTAACGCATAAACTCTCCCATTTGAGGTTTTAAGTATTTAGTATTTTTAATTTATCATACAAAAAAAATCCACCACTTTATAGTTTAACACAGATTTAGATTTTCTAAAAATGGGTCAAAGAGGACTTTGTGAGTTTTAGAAAAATCTAATCATGATTAATGGATTGGGGCCTCCACAAAAATGAAGCAAAATTGATCTCACCGTTGTATTTTGGTGCAAACCCACCAGACATAGCTACCAACTGACATTCTCCTGTATTTTCCATCCTCATTCACCCAACTATACACATATTTTTGCTGGATTAACCCCCAAATGATGTTGAATTTGGTTTGTTTTCTGCAGGCAAAATTGCAGGATTTGTGAAGAAACCGAAGCAATACTTTTTGCTTTGGGTGCTGTGGTGTGTGAACTGAACTGGTCAAAATATTCACACGGCCTTGTCACCAGCCTCCCAATACACCTTTGCTATCATTTTCTTGCCATGTTATTTTTTGTAGACCATGTTAACGTCTGTGGAGCCAAATGTGTTTATTTATGTGCTTACGTCTTATGCTGATGAACTTTTAAGTCGAGGCTGCTCCCACAACTTGCACGCCTCTGTTGCTGGTGTGGCTGCTATTAAATGAGTGGTGGTGTCTGCTTTGAAAAGCATACCAACATAAAGACGTAGCATCTTTGTTTTTGCACTTGTGCTTTAAAGGAATTACTATATTTAGATACTGTTGAACATTACACACATTATGTTGAGTATTTCAGTTGTTGGTTCCTTGTCGGTTTCATTTATCAGTTTATTTTTGGTAAAATATAGATTAGCCTGTAGCTTCTGTCTACGTGGCAGGCTGGGAATATTTGTTTTAATATCATCAAAATGGATGTGGCATTAATTTTTTTCCTGTTATCTGCATTGCAGGATTTTGGGAGTGAAGATGAACGGCGAATAAATCAGAGGTAAGTTTATTTTATGTTTAGCACTTACGTTGGTAGTACGTGGTAAAGCAGGTCAAATTTTATACACAGGTGTTGCTGACTGAATGGTTGCATCTTGCAGACTAGCTGGCATGAACAAATGAGAACAACTGAGCGTCACTGTAATAAAACACCTGTCTGTCTGTTTTATTGGCAGTCATCAATTCCTAATAACCAACTGTAAAAACCTTTTTATACTAAGTAATCTCTCAAGTAATAAGTTGACAGGCGTGTCTGTTTTTTTTATCAGCACTTAGATTGATGAACTTGCTCTTCAATCGTGCATCATCACTTGACTCACTTGGCCTTTCCCCAGCTTTTTTATTTAGCTTTTTCATGAAACTTTTGATGGAATATTTCACATGAATTGACAGAAGGGTGATTATAATTTTGGTATTTGATTTTTTTGGTTATTTAATCAAATATTTGCTAGTTATAGCTTAAAAAGTGAACATTTGCTTGTTTTCCTCTTTTCCGTCATTCATATGCGTAAATGACATGTTTTGTCTCCGATCAAAAGATGAAATGTAGCACAATGCTTTGTATCTAGACTTTGGTTATAGCACGCAGAAAGACAAAGCACCATCAGAGTGTTCACACATGTTCCCTTTTCACCATGCAGGACAGCCATTGTTTCACTCTGGATGAGCACAGCCATAAAATGTTCATTTGTACATTACAAAGACAAATCAAATGAGTCACAGTATTTTGTTATTCTTCTGCCAGCTGTGTTAAAGTATGTTGCAAGAACAACAATAAATATCCAGTGAGTGCATGACAGCCCTTGATGTTGCAGTCAATGCTTTTTCAATCTAAACTTTTTGTGTGTTTGTGTTCCTGATAATATGATGGGCCAAACCACATTTCAAGGATAGTAAAATATTTCAAGAAACTGCTTGGCTCCAGTAACTTATGTTCTGTGCATTGGATTCTGATTCTTTGAATAAGAAATGAGTGTGACTGTGACAGGGTGATGCAGTTGTGTTAAAACCTTATAAAGTTAGTTATCTGTCAAAGGCTGTAGCAGAGTCCCTGGGGAGGCTTTACAGTAAAGAGCTATTTTGAAATAGAAAGAACTGACAGTTCCACTTTGTACTTTTATTAAGTAACCTTGTGTATTAACAGCAATATAAAGGTACTTTTTGGACAGATTGAAATCAATATGATCTAAGTATGTCTCTTAGATATTGAAAAGTTACATTGTATTATAGTTTTCTGCAGACTCATCTAATTAACCACCCATAACGTATAGACGTAGATGAATCCACTGAAATGCAATGACTGTGTAACAACTGTGGTATATGATGTCTCTGTTCTGAAACTGTTGTATTAGCTGACATGTTTTTTGATCCCATATATATATTATTGATTTGCCAGGATTTTGACTTGGGTGACAAAGTAGATCTTCATGTGGATTCTTG